GACATGGGTACAATGTGTGAAGCCCATTTCTGGTGTCCCCCGCCGTGATATTGCTGGAATATTGCTAAAAGCGGCGTAAAACCATACTCACTCACTCCAGTGAAACCCTATCAATCCGTGATATCAATCACTGCATTGTCTGGTCCAGACTCGATTATTTACAGACCGCCGTCATATAGCTGGAATATTGCCGAATGCGGCGTTAAACAACAAACCAAACCAGGCCTATCAATCCGAACCACTCTCTGGATTGATGAACCACGGATCGGGAGTAGTGTCCCTTTGTATTTACACAGATGTTCCCACCAAAAGTAACCTTGCAGGCACCTTCTTGTTTGACGGGATTGGGACTAAGTCACTAACACGGTTATCGTGTTTGTATATGCCATGGTGTTAACACATGTGACACATTCAAGTACGTTCGACTCAACAGAATATAATTAAGATTACTGATAACGACAGTTGATAAGAAATATGAAAAAGACGCATTAATCAGGGTTCCGTGTCTAAAATATTGCGATAATTCCTTTCATTATTATTCCGCCTCAAGACCAAAAAATTCAAGGCTCTGGTCTACATGCTGATAATTAAAAGCTAATTCACTGAAAGCAACGTTTACCAGCAATTACATCAGAAACCAAGTCTGGTGGCTTCCAAATTACGTACGCTGCAGCGAAATCAGATGCCCATCAATTCTGCCTCGACGCCCCATGACGCAAAAAGGCAGAGTGACGGATTTGGCCATGTATTTTACCATTTGTCTCAGTACATAGCTGCCAAATGCTCCTCCGCTTAAAAGCTTCCAAACGTCAATACTTTGTGTCCATGTACCCAACTACAAACTTATCAGAAAACACGCACCTATTGCTGATGTCTTCGATCACCTCCACATAGGACGTTTTCTGGGCCAAAGTTATCTTTGTTGCATGACTTCTTTATGATTTATATTGCATGTAAATACTTATCAGGTAAAGTACTTACAGAAGCTTAACCCTGGAACGTGTAGATGAATATTTGTTGTGTCCATGTTGGTCGATATATCCACGACACCTTGATGGCATATTGTTGATTAAATTGCATATGGTTGCCCTTGGTATTGCCAACCATTTCCCCTGAAGAGCAACCCAAAGCTGGGCTAGGTTGGCGATTGATGGGTCTCTGGCGTGCACTCTCGGCCCGAGAACATCCCACAGATGTTCTATTTGGGACATGACAGGGGACTTAGTGGACCAGTCCAATGTCCATATGCTTTCTCGTCGGAGACTTGAGCACTATGTGCAAAACCTCAATTCGTCTGTGTACATGGCGTGACGAACTCAATCTCAATCAAGAACTCGGATATGCTTTTACTAAAGAGTGGAAACATTTTCCTTGCATCACATACGCAGCACTGAGTTGTTTTTGGATAATGAATTTACGTTTCAGTTTTGTTCAGATACTCTCATTTTGACGGATGATCCGATCGATTATTGGCCACATGTTGTTTGTTGGCATTGTGTCGCACATAACAACAGACCTTTGTTCATTAAATGTCTTCACGCAATATTGTCTTTGGCTTCTTCAACAGATGCACAAAATATGACGTATTACCTTTCAAAATGGTGATCCCTAGCAGACTTTGTGGTATATGATTATCATATGTCTAGACCAAACTGTGATCAGACATTGTTTCAAAATGTCATTTGGAGACCAACAAATTGAATTGTACTTATCTATGTCACAGACAAGGTTTCTGTTTGACCGGGCCCTTTGTAAATGTAGTGAAGGCAGTGTGAGTGAGTGAGTTGGGTTTAACGCCGCTTTAACAGTATTCCAGTTATATCACGGCGTGTCAGCCAGAGGAAAGCCCGAAGTGATGCAGGTCTCAGACGTTTACCAGTTCGGTGAAACCCAGGAGCACGGGTATGGTGCTGACAAACCTAGAAACATAATCGGGGCGAACCGGATTCGAACCCACAATCATAGGTTTCTGGCATGCCCAAGGGACGCAACTCTGCACAGCGAATCGCGGCGCGTTAGACGACTGGGCCCCCCGTGCCCCCAGTGAAGGCAGTGAACGGTGTTAATAATTATAAATTGTCAATGCAAAAGAATAACCTGTGAAGATTGTCTGCCGAAACAAATCATCTGTGAAAATTATATGAATGGACCACTGAAATTCAGTGATGACACAGGTATTCCAAAAAGGTAAGCATGTCCTGCCCAACCAGTAGCACTCGTCATTCACATAAAAAAGTAAGTATTTCTTTCTTGACGCCACACAGCAGTACAACAAACTAGACGATCAAGTGATCCACGAACAAGAAATCCAACTAACACATTTAATGACTTCTTTCGACATGAAAGAGAAGTATTGACAAATATTGTCCAAATAACGTAAACTTCCTTTACAACAACCATAATGCATTCTCGTTGAAGGTCTTATGTAAAGTAGTCAGTTTCTGTTTTCCATAACTAGAAATGGCATAGCACAAACTGGAAGAACCAGTGACAGTTATAAACTGTGTTAGTGAGTATGGTTTTACGCCATTTTAGCAATATTCCAGCAATATTACGGCGGGAGACAGCAGAAATGGCTTTCACACTTTATACCCATGTTATAAATTGAGATGGAACCATGGACTTTGAGAAGTAAGGTTCTTAATGCAGGAATAATGGGTTTTCTAAAACCAGAAGATACACAATCTAAACTGGAATTTGAGTAACCTTGTTGCAATAGTAGGTACGTATGCAGCAAGAAAGTGTTTTGAGAAATACAAAACGTGAAAGAACAAATGGCATTGTTATAAACTGAACTAGAACCATTGAATCTTTTGGGTACAGGTTCCAATAAAGTAAACATTTCTATTTAAACCAGAGGTGCTTATGTCATTAACAAACTAAGCTATAGCATTTACTTTTTCCGGGTTCAAACGTCATTGGCAGAAGATTTCTGTTCACTTGCCTTCATATGACCAAACAACTTGTACCTTTAGGCCTGTAAGAGACCAGGATGATTTCTGTCCTCATGTTAAACACGAAGTTGGGTGGGTTGGAGGGTTGGTTGTTTTAAGCCGCACTCAGCAATATTCCAGCTATATATACTCAACAACAAAAGTTCCTGTGAAACCAATATTTTAGTGTATTTTTCAAACAAGTAAAGTTTGGTTTTCAATATTGTAGTACATGTAGGGAATCAAGTCACTAAAACGCAACTGCTATAAAAAAGTATGCATTCCATGCAAAAGTTGACTTTTATGCAAGCCCCATGGTTATAAAAAGATGTGCGTAAACAGGATTCCGTATGCATTGTTTAGCATTTTGCTGACAACCACTCAGAAAAAAACAAAATTACGCATTTATTCAACATTACGAAATGCCACGCCTGTCCGAAAATTAGCGTCTGCGAGCCATTGGTATGCTTGAAGCAGGATCGAGTCAACATGATGTTGTAAGACAATGTAACACCATTTGGTGTTTATGGCAACGTTGGCAACAGATGTATGCAGTCAGAGACCATCCTTGCAGTGGCAGGCCACGCGTAACCAATAATTGACAAAACAAATGGATTCGAACAACACACCTACGAAATCGATTCCAGCCAGCAACAGTGACTGCAAGAAGCATCCCATACCTTCGACGAAACGTATGTCGTCGCACAAGATGTGTAGGGATTGTCGCCAGAAGACCCGCCAGGCGTCCCATTTTGACCATCAAACACGTCTACAGTGGTGCAGACAGCAACTACGTTGGACGGCCATGCAGTGGGGAATAGTTCTAGTCACTGACGAGTCTCGTTTTCACCTCAGCCACAGCGATGGACAGATTCGAGTGTACCGACGTCGAGGTGAACGTTACGTCAATCCAGAGACCATATACCGATATGGTATATGGTCTCTGGTCAATCATTGTGTCATGGAAGAAGATCGGTTTGGGAGTTGCAGCGTTATGGTATGGGGTGGGATTACAGCAAGACAGGGGACCCGTTTGATAGTGGTAGAGGGTAATCTCAATGGACAGCGCTACCACGATGAGATCATCGGCCCTGTTGTTCTACCGTTTTTGCATCGTCATGGCCCATGCATTACCTTTCAACATGTCAACGCCCAGCCTTATATTGCTCGACTTGTTCAGGATTATAAAACATAAAAACATAACTTTGCATTAAATCTTATGCAATGTCACAGGAACTTTTGTTGTTCAGTATAGATACAGGAATATATTTGTCTCACTGGTCGCAGTGCAAAGTTGGGGCCGACTTCTACTGTTACAATCAGTTGCATACCTGGTACTGTGACAGCCAGTGGATTGTGTGTCAACTGCCAAGACTCCAATGGGCACTTCTCAGACTGAGCCTGCCGTGATAAGGCTGCTTGTTCCAGGTGTAGAAGGAATTTAGACAGTCGTTCCTGTCTGTGACAACTGTATTTGTACCATCCACCACCATTATAGGTTAAGTGAGCTAAGACAATGAAGAAAATTGGTTCATTGTTTTTCTTTTCCGATTAACCAAAGGCTAGACCATGGGAATGGCCACCCATGTGGGTTGACCTAGACAATGCAGTAAGGAGAAGTGTTCTTGAGCCTGACATCACTGCTTGCATCTATATTTGAAAACATTTGGGTCACAAAGGTTCACCACACAACACATCAATATAGACACCTTAATTTATAAAATGAAGTAATGTTTTAGAATTGTCATTATACTCATTTTATTTTGTACATCAGGCTGTTTAACATGTTTAAAGTAACATTCTGTCCTTTTGGACAAAATGTTTTGGTTCAAGCACAGCCAATCAATTATCATATAAAAACATGTCTAATGTTTTGTGGTCCCATGAGCAAATCCATTGTAATCTGACATCAACACATGAAAATAGTGAGTGAGTGAGTTTGGTTTAACGCCGCTTTTAACAGTATTCCAGTTATATCACAGTGTGTCAGCTTAATGTGGGAGGAAAGCCCTAAGTGATGCAGGAGTCAGATGTTTACTACTTCGGTGAAACCCAAGTGCACAGCTATGGTGCTGACAAACCTAGAAGCATAATCTGGGTGAACCAGGATTTGAACTGACAATCATAGGTTTCTGGTGTGCCCAAGGGATGCAAATCACAGCGCCTTAGACGACTGGGCCACCCATGCCCCCTCAACACATGAAAAACCTTCAATACACTTAATTGTAGTTGTATGGTTTCTGTATTCTGAAGTTCATATGTGTTTAGTATACAACCTTCACTTCTCTATACACTCAATCAACACTTGATCAGGAATTGAAGGTGCATTTAGCCATGAAATTCTTCAAATCCGACATCTGTCAAATCTGATATTTTCCACAGTCTTAGCATTGACAGATTACAAGGTCTGCTGTCTTTAGTTCTTGTTATACCTATACATAGCTATATTACCTTGATTGATCTACACAATACCACTAGGAAAGGCATTACTGCCAAATCCATTGTCAACATAAATACACCTTTACAACTTCTTGAAACTGCAGAGAAACATATATCCGACTGCGCCCATCTACATCAACTCCTAACGGTTTCTCAATACCGTCCTCTTTTGTCAGTATGTTTCTTACAAATTCTCCTGACTCATTGAGATGGATGACACAGTTTAGAGAGAAGTCTGTAACCAGGATGTCACCTGTGCAGGTACTTGTGATACCCTGAGGACACTTCAGTGCGTTGTCTCCAGCAGGCCTGTAAGTGAACACCACCTTTCCCCTGGGGGTCAGACAAACAACACATTTGGTTGCCCCGTCAGACACCAGGATGTTTCCTTTCCTGGTGGTACAAAGGTAGTTGGGACACTGTAATGTCCTTTTACAACTGAGGAGTGGATTGAATGAAAACAGCACATTTCCACACATATCCACAATATCCACACAGGGAGGAGACTTGGAACCTACTGCTACTGTATACGGGGTCAGATATGTTATACCCCAGTACTGTTTGTTGGTTTTGATGGTTGACACAAGCTCCAGGTCGGGGGTGACTTTCACTGTTATAATCTGTTTCATGCCTGGCACAGTGACAGCCAGTAGTGGTTTGTTTGTCAACTTAGTCAGACTCCACGGGGCACTACTAAGACAGAGCCTGCTGCGACAATGTTTGTTGTTCCTGGTGTAGAAGGAACTCAGCTTGTTGTTGATCCTGTCCGTGACTATAACTGTATTCATACCATCCACAATCAACACAGTCACATCAGCAACCCATCCTTTATTTCTGGCTCCAGCTACTTGGACATCTATGGTGTCTAGTAACAAAGGATTGTCCTCCAGATTCACAACACCCTCATACAGGACCTCTAGTTCACCCATCTTTAGATCCCTTACTTCCTGTTTCAGTCTCTTAATGTCATGGTGGAATGTGATCTTGGCGATTCTTCCTCTTTCCGTCACTTCCATCTCTCGAGGAGCTTCCACCTCCTCTGCTCCACACCGCAGATACACCTCATACACTTCCGAGTCACACTCAGATTGTAGAGCCTGGTCTATCACCTTAGCATGTATTTGGCACATGTGTGCTTTCAACTCTTTTGACTTTATTTGTTCTCTCAGTTGTCCAATGTGTTTGTTGGACATCTCTTTAAGTTCATCAAGAAGTTTTCTTTCGTTTGATTTGATCTGTTCTATGGCATTCTGTGTAACTAGCATTATGTCTTCTTCCATTTGTGCATATCGACATGCTTCTCTACTTAATGTCGATTTCAATTCATCAGTTTTGGGTTTCAGGTCTTCTTGCCTCTTTGATAAAGCCTCTTTTTTCTTTATGAGTTCTGTTAACATGGTGAACAGGTCTGACTCTATCCTGACAACTGAATCACATTCATTGTGATATAAGATGCGACATTTGCGACATATTGTCTTCTTGCAATCCTTACATACTAATTCTATGCAATATCTTTCGTGTATATTACACATGGCTTTTCGCCTTTTTTGGATCTCTCCATACAGGTTAGTAACGTCATGGTAATGAGTAGAAGGGAAGCGACTGTGTACTCTGACACATTTCTCGCAGAGTGCGTCATCACAGGCCCGGCACCAAACAGCAGCTGGAGTTGTCTCCCCTCTGCCTTTACAATATGCACAGTTGGTTGTATCTGGAATGCATTGATAAAAATATGAACTGTTTCTTAACATTTCAACTCAAACAAAAACCTGAATAGAATTTTACTAATGCCATAACCTGATACTGATTGTTGCAAATCATTGCCAGGACTAAACATGGATTTTTAGCATGTGACCTCATAATAAACTGAACCGCAAAAGAAACTTCACCCCAAGTAACATTGCATGAAAAGTTGTCATTTAAATATATGGGTAATTTTTGTCAAAGTTCCCAAATTAAACATTACCTTGTCCGGAAAAATAAAATTTGATGATGAAAAAAAAAGCAGATGACAATAAAACTGATCGCCGAAACACATCATTGCAACGGCCATGGTAACCCGAAGCAAGTGAGTTCCGTGCAAATTGAAATGCACATGCCTTCCCCAATTTCTTGCCCAATAAAAATCCACGCAGATCGGATAACATTCATTCGTCATTTAATTGCTACCATATGCCAAGATTGACATGAAATCAGCGACGATTGCAAGCTGGACAAACCGCCCGGCAAGTAGCCAGTGCATTTCAAGTTCATGTAAGGACCATATACAGGCTCCATCAACGGTACCAGACCACCAACTACAGATGACCGACCATGTAGTGGAAGACCCAGGGTCACCACCTGACGTCAGGACCGTCAGATTGTGCGACAGTATCTTCAAGATTGGTTTGTTACTGCTGTGGAAACTGCTTGACAATTCGTTGACAATTGACGAGCAGACACCTCCACTGTCACAGGCCACACAGGACTCATTCTGACACCACATCATCACGGGGACCGTTTCCAGTGGGCAAAACAGCACCAGCATTGGCGCTGTGCCGAGGTGAGTAACCCTAGCAACGCTTGCCATAAGCAAAGTGTGCATGGTTGGTGTAGCGCAGGTGACAAGAAATGTAGGATTTTGTGCCATCTGTCCCTCCAGAATTGAAAATAGTCTATCTGGAAAAGTCTTCTTTTAAGAGTGTATACAATATTGATATACGCAACTCCATCTGACGCCAAATCTAGTAGTATTTAAAAACACATGAATATGTTATACATGTATACGTAGCTGAAAATTGTAAAGAATTTGTCGACCTTGGCAGGCAAACAATTGTAACACAAATTCAAAATGGCGGACCATGAGTATCTGACATGAAAATAGGTCTTTTTACGCCTAAATGATCCACATTAATCTACACAACATGGTGAAAGTAATACTAAAGGAATACATCACCCATCGCAGATCAATTTAAGAATTAGAGTGGAAAACGGAAGGTCTAAATTAATCTAAATCATTTGTAAATGGAGAGCTCTGCTGGGACACGTCCAAGCTGTAGCGCGACAGGCAGTGATGTGAAGAAGGTGACCTTGCCCATATTCAAGGTCACATGACAGCAGCGGTTGTCAGTAAAAGTGGGACTTCAGAAAAACAACTTTATTTCTTCACACGAGACTATCACCATTGCGCGGTACTTCTTGTTGTCTTAAGGCAAGCAGTGAATGCATTAAGGAGTAATGCAGGATAAGTTAAAAATAACACAACAAGAGTTTGCCACTTACATGGCTATATTCCCTGCCCCTGTTGCAGAATTTATGACATAATTACATCTAAACAAACCCTAACCTTTTTTAACCGAGGTTGAACTTGTCATGGAAATTGTAAAAAATAGAAGAGTTTGGAACCTAAGTCCATCTTGCTGCCATGGAAACGTAAAAAAAAATTAAAAAAATAAAATTTCTAAATAGCAAAAGGCACCAGTTCAGCATGTACCTGACAAACCTGCAAAGTTTGATGAAAAAATATTGAACAGTTTATGAGTAATGCTCCGGAAAGGAAAAGTGACGGACGGTCGGAGCCCGTTTCTATATCCCCCGCCAACTTTGTTGGGCGGGGGATAATTATACATCATTATACAATAATAAGGAAATGCGACTGCACACTGATGTTTAAGAGGAAGAGGAATTTACCACTAGGTTCTGAGTCAGGCGAATCCACAGGCTCCAGAATGACATTGCATGGCTTGACATCGGCTGATTCCTCCACTGGACTCTCAGGTTCAGGTTCATCATCATCATCAGATTGACCTGACAAGATTCATTTGATGACGTCAAGCCCAAAAGACATTGTCAAATTACATATAACACTGCGCTTAGTGACAGTACAGCAAATAATGTGAAACCATTAAAACATGTTGGAGGCCAAACTGTGTTGTGCCATTACTGTGATAAATGTCTTTATATGATTCTACTGTACACTTGTCAATCTCACCTCTTTATATTAAAAAACATAACATCTTTATTATACAATTATACAGACATCGTTATACAATAATAAGAAAATAATTGAACACTGATGTTTAAGAAGAAGAGGAATTTACCACTAGGTTCTGAGCCAGGTGAATCCACAGGCTCAAGCATGACACTGCATGGCTTGACATCGGCCAATTCCTCCACTGGACTCTCAGGTTCAGGTTCAGGTTCAGGTTCAGGTTCATCATCATCATCATCATCATCATCATCATCTTCAGATTGACCTGACAAGATTCATTTGATAACGTCAAGTCCAAAGGACATTGTCAAATTAAATATAACACTGAGGTGACAGTACAGCAAATAATGTGAAACCATTAAAACATGTTGGAGACCAATTTGTGTAGTGACATTACTGTTAAGGGTGAAACGATACACCGATATTCCGATGCATCGCAATACTTGACCCACGGTACGATATACGATAAATGTGGGCCCATTTATTGATGCGCCACGATACGGAACGCAAATCTCAAGTACAGCTATTGTGCCTTTCAATAAACCGCTAACTTGGTTATAGCGCGCGGTAACGCATGGCTCCCCAAAACGTACTTACATATTTAATAAGCTCAGGTTTTACACTGACAGATGTTTTTCCCCATCTCAAAAAACATTATCAGCTGATCACCGCAAACACATTACACCGGAAATACCAGTCAGCAAAACCGAACTGAAGTACACAATTCAATACCATCATCATACTATATTGTTATTAAAACGTGTTCATTGTATATCTGGACATGTGTTTATAATATATTTTATTAATTTTATTCAAACTTTCATTTAATATTGTTTTAATAAAGTTAGGTGAAATCGTGTGTGAAGAGATACAGCAACCACGGTCAGATAACAGCTTTTGACGCATTGAAACGATCTTTAGTAGCTAAAGAATGGATACATATGTTAAAAATGACATACTTTGACTCGTTAAAAGTCATGTTTGTGGAAATTTGGCAAATATCTTTCAACAAAACATTTTCGCAATCGAAATACCTGTCGTGGGGAAGTCCCTACGGTGACTGGTCAAATTGTTCCATACATAAAAATGCCACGCTTGTGGTTTTTATAATTTTAAATACATAGAGTAAAAGCTGCAACTAAAGTAACACGATATTGGAATATATTATTCCTGATAAAACAATTATTTCAGATACAATTTCTTCGACCACTGCATACAAATTCTTTGAAGTTGTATAACAGGTGAAGTACATTAATTATTTTCTGGTGTTTGAACTTTGAATTGTTTTGAAGGAAAGTTAGAGAAAGTTCCACTTTGAAGCTTAACAAATTCAGTAATCTGTATTCAGTATTATAAAATAATGTTGAATGTTCCAAAATCATGAAAGGTTCAATCTTGACATGCTTTAAGTCTTGTTTTTGTATCATTGCGACCAGAATATCGAGATGCGTATCGTATCGTGACCTTCCTGTATCGTTGCAGCCCTAATTACTGTGATAAATGTCTTTATACGATTCTACTGTACACTTGTCAATCTCACCTCTTTATATTAAAAAACATAATATCTTTATTATACAATTATACAGACATTGTTATACAATAATAAGAAAATAATTGAACACTGATGTTTAAGAAGAAGAGGAATTTACCACTAGGTTCTGAGCCAGGCAAATCCACAGGCTCCAGCATGACACTGCATGGCTTGACATCGGCCAACTCCTCCACTGTACTCTCAGGTTCAGGTTCAGGTTCATCATCATCATCATCATCATCAGATTGACCTGACAAGATTCATTTGATGACGTCAAGCCCAAAGGACATTGTCAAATTACATATAACACTGCGCATAGTGACAGTACAGCAAATAATGTGAAACCATTAAACATGTTGAACCATTAAAACATGTTGGAGGCCAAATTGTGTTGTGCCATTACTGTGTAAAACTTCTTCATACTCTTCTACTGTACAATAGGCAATCTCTCCTCTTTACATCATAAAATATAATAGCTTTATGTAATAATGAGGATTGAGTTTAACATCGCTTTTGACGGTATTCCAGTTAGCGTGTCAGCTTAATGTGGGAGGAAAGCCCAAAGTGGTGCAAGTCTCAGACGTTTACCACTTCGGTAAAACCCATTAGCACGCGTATGGGGCTGACAAACTTAGAAACATAATCAGGGTGAACCGGGATTCGAAACCACAATCATGGGTTTCTGGCGTGCCAAAGGGACACAACTCTGCACCGCGAATTGCGGCTCCCGATGACTGGGCCATTCGTCCCCCCTGTAATAATGAGGAAATGTAACTGCACACTGGTGTTCAAGAAAAAGATGATTTTACCCTTAGATTCTGGATTAAATGAACCCCCAAGTTCCTGCAAGACAACGACTGGCTTAACATCATTCTCCAGTGCCTCCACTGGTCTCTCAGGCTCAGGTACTTTCGTCAACTTGCTGCAGAATGGGCAGATGAGAGACTTGGCGCTGATGGCTTCTGGTCTTGTTTTGGTGTAGTTGACGACACAATTACGACAGAAGGTGTGATTACACACAAGTGTACAGGGATTGACAAATACCTCTGTACATAGTGTACATGTCTGGAAGTGCTCTGTCGGCTTCTGGGAGGTCGCCATCTGGAAGGAGTGAGTGAGATAGTTGGGTTTAACACCTGTGATTTTGGATGGAGATGAGATATTTTGTTCAGCAAAAGCTGCAAAACCAAATATTTATTTACTCAAACCCGTGGGCTTGAATATTTTATTTAGAAATACACCTGCAACAGCGTAACTTTGGTGGCAGAATTCTGGGACAATATATTTTTTCAATTACAGTACCATCAATGATCTGAATCATTGTTCCAAGACATTCAATGATTCATGCCACCGTGGTCTTTTTGTAACAGTTTTTTTATTAGTCAGCATTCCCGTTTACCGGTAATTACCAGTTTTTCCCCGGTAAAATTAGGCTTGGGCCGGTAATTCATGTGACTGACTGCCAGTCCCTGTGGATCGGCAAATAAAGTACCTTATAAATCTTTGTTGGTGAACGAAACATAGGTGATATACATATAAGTATATTTTTCGAACAAAGTCAACTTGTCCATCGGGGCTTCCCCTTGTCTATTTCTAGGTTAAATATCCATTCGTAGCGACTTTTGTCTAGAAATATTTAAAAAAATGAGAGAAAATTGTGACTGAAGTTTGTGTGAATGACGTAAAAATCTAACTAAGTTCCTTCAGAGATGACATCTTTGCACTGAACATGATGTTGAAAGAGTTAAAACCTAATAATTTTCATGCATTTTTGTTATTTGTTGAAAGTTGGGACTGGCAAAAATTAGTGGGGACTGGTCCGCAAGGACTAGCAGTTTCTAAAGCCAGCAGGAACACTGTTAGTAATAATATGATCTCCGTTATTTGTCATCAAGATATACAAAGCCCTCTCTGCACAAGGACCAGGCCATGGCCTGTAAATGGAAAGTAATTTGATAACTTGAAACTCCATCTCTGCTCAGATACAAGCAAATTCAGACTACTGGAGGATATAGTAAATGGGGCTTGTGGGTAATTGAATAGAAAGTCCGTGCATTTCTATTATTATTTATTCAACAACATTATAAGCTGATCATATGTCATATTTGGCCTACTTGTTCCTAAAGTTCCTGATTCCTGTATGTTGTTAGTTGTTCAGTTATTTACTGTAGAAAGACCATGTTTTTCATATTCAGTATTTATTTGTTTGTTTGATTGTTGTTTAACACTGCACTCAGCAATATTCCAGCAATATTCCAGCCATATGACAGCGGTCTGTAATTAATCGAGTCTGGACAAGACAATCCAGACTACCCCTACCACATCATTCTCTTTCTTTAGAGCTGACAGGATAGAGGAGCTGTAATGTGGGGATGATTGGGAGGGCATATAGTGTGTGATATAGGATAAGTATAGAAATATACAATTTATTGTAAAAAAAATAAAATTTTAGAAACTCATCCTATCTCACATTTATCCCACATTGGAAAATGAGCCGCAGATACCCTACCCTGTAATAGACTATAACCGTGAAACAGACACAAGGGCTGGTGCTTAACAGGGAGATAAATAACACTCCATAACACTGCCTAGTGTAGTAAAGACAAGAACCTGTGAGCCTGAAAACACACCAAAACAGGTGATATGATCTCTATATGTTAGACAGATGTAACAGCATGAAATCGGGAATACCCTGCGGTACACGTTTTCACGTATGACATCATTTTATGAATGATTGCATAGCTGAACATATTTTACAGCTTACAACTAATAATCGATCCAGAAGGCGTCTTCAGTCAATCGATTCTACAAGACTCTGGTGGAGAAAAGGGTGCACCTGCTTGGCATCTTTTTTAACACATAGTTGAAGTCAATCAAGCCTGAGGGATTTAAGAGGAAGAGGAAAGATAATGTCCAGAAGGATCTTCAAGCCAATAGCAGACAGCACATGCTCATACCAGTCAGCAGTCTTGGTTTTGAGGGTGGGAGTAGCCGGAGCAGGAGAGATCCTGGTGACATCAGCGATCTGCATAGCTTGTAAACGGGGAGCGATACCAAGTCAACGATCGAACCGCTAAATCTGTACAATAATCTTCTTCCGAAAGACAGCGATCAACATGACAAGCAGGGGTGGTCTTTGATGCATTGATACGAGGGCTGGCTGAAAAGTTCTAAGCCTAAGTGGGATATCTCAATTGGATTGAACCAACTTTTGCGACCAACAAGTACAATCATTTAATGAATCATAGACATAAGAACTGCAACTGTAGTGTTATTATTGTCTTTGTACCAGACCATCTTGTGAACCTACCCATTGAAATCACCAGAAATGGACAAAACTGGCTATAGGGCAGTCATCAAGTACCTGCAACTGAAAGGGCTAACTCCAACACAGATACATGCTGACATGGTCTCCACTTATGGGGATGATGCCCCTTCCTTTTCCACTGTAAGAAGTGGGCTGCAGAATCCAAGCGTGGCAGAGAGAGCCTTGATGATGACCCGTGTCCAGGAAGGCCTTCAACAGCAACCATTCCGGAAAACATTACCCGGGTGCATGACATGGTGATGGCTGATCGACGATTGACCACTCGACATATTGCCAGTGTTGTGGGCATCTCTCATGACAGGGTTGAGCACATTATTATTATTATTTGGGAATGACAAAAGTTTCTGCAAGATGGGTGCCAAAGCTCTTGACAGCGGATCAGAAACCCTTTCAGATTCCTGACGTCCTGTGACAATACATGCCGTTTTGAAGCAGATCCCGATGATTTTGTGGCCCAATTTGTAACCATGGATGAGACCTGGATTCATCACTTTCAGCCAGAAACCAAAATTCAGTCTAAACAATGGAAGCATCCGGAATCACCAGCCCCCCCAAAAAGCCAAGTCGGTCCCTTCTGCTGGAAAGGTAATGGCTTCAGTCTTTTGGGATTCCAAGGGTATTCTGCTGATTGACTATCTTGAAAAAGGCCAGACTATCAATGGAAGATATTATGCTGACCTACTGAGAGAGTTGCGTGAAGCTATCAAAGCTAAGCGACGGGGAATGCTCACTAAAGGAGTCCTGTTCCACCAAACAATGCTTCTGTTCACAAATCGGTGGTTGCCATGTCAGCGATCCATGATTGTGGCTTCAAACTCACTGACCATCCCCCTTATTCACCCGTCAGACTTCCACCTGTTTCCCCAAATGAAAAATGAACTAGCCGGTCACCATTTTCCTAGTAATGATGACATCATTTCCGCTGTGAATGACTTTTTTAGGATGGCTGAAGAAAATTTCTTCTTGACCAGCATCCGGGCCTTGCAGCATCACTGGCAAAAGTGTGTAAACCTGGAAGGGGACTATGTGGAGAAATAAAGGAAAACCATCGACTTGGTACGGGTCTTTCACAGTTAGGCTTAGAACTTTTTAGCCAGCACTACGTGCAAGATCAATCAGTTGAAAGTCATCTTGGGAAGGTCAATTAAGAGAGTGTTGATCTCGAATGTGTCGACTTACAGAACTCAAAAGTTGATAGTAGGAATGTCGATCCCTAGAAAAGTGATTCTTAGAGTGTCAATCTCTGGAATATTTGAAAAGGCACGTCGATCTGACAGAGGCGATGGACTGATCCCAACTAAGTCAATCCTTGTTAGCGGTAGATGACAAACTTGATGATTGATCCGGGGCAAGGTTGGAATTGATACTGTTGATTGGGAACAACTGTGTCCTGGTTGGTTGGTTCGACGCCGTCTAGAACAACATGTGTAAAGACAGGGGACAAGGAGCGACTGTTGGATGATCATTGTGAAGCTCTAGGATTGTGAACAGCAGGCGCTGTCAAAGTTGGCTTGGACAAAACGTCCTTAGAGAGAACCATGTGGATGTCTGAAGCTGCTGGTTGCGCCAACGTAGACATGGACCCGAACTAACTGGGTTTTTGTACTGGTACGGAGGGAATGTGATCAGTGCAGAATCTGTCGGCTACCCAGTCTCGGGAGCTAAGTGCTGTCACAACTTTGAGGTCAAACTAAAATAGCGATTTTGTCATTTCGATGAATAAATCAATATAGATCTACCCTCTGTCACGCCTACGACAGTTATAAAAGTGTGCTGAAAGACTCATGATAGGTCCATCTGTACTGAATCCTTGTAAGTTGGTTTGTTTACACATTCTATGCCTCTCAATTTCTTCAATTTGAATCCCCACCATTGGATAATGCTCCCAACCAAATATGGTTGATATCTATCTCTTTGTTCCAGAGAGAAGAAGTTGTTTAAAATAACAACGCCAAATGACCTCTATTTAGCCTTCCCCCTCAGGGTGTGATCAGCCCTTCCATTTGTACAGTTTTGAGTTCTCACCACTGGAGAATGCTCCCAACTCTCTATGGTTGATATCTATCTCTTAGTTTCAGAGAAGAAGTCGTTAAAAGCAATAACGCCAAATTACCCCTATTTGGCCCCACCCCTCAGCCCCTTGGGGAGTCAGCCCTACCATTTCTCCAATTTGAATCCCCACCAATGGCGAATAAGGTTTATTTCTAACTCTTAGTTCCAAAGTAGTCATTTATAGCAACATAGCCAAATTACCGCTATTTAGCCCTGCCCCGCAGTCACGTGGGAGTGAGTGAGTGAGTATGGTTTTACGCCGCTTTTAGCAATATTCCAGCAATATCAGGACGGGGGACACGTCACGTGGGAGGGTCAGTGCTACCATTTGTACAATTTTAAATCCCCACCACCCGGGGATGCTCCCAGGCAAATTTCGTTAATTTCCAATTAGTGGTACAGAAGAAGAAGTCATTTGAAAAAATTGTTGTCGTACGAACAACATACGCCACCGTATGGCATAAGCTCAACTTGGTCCTTTGGACCCGGTGAGCTAAAATTTGGCGTCCTGGGTTTCAAAAAGATAACGGTGTACATGCAGCCAGTTTCCTGTAGAATGAGTGACATGACCACCAGTGCATTAGTCCGTCGATCAACGTGACATCTGATGCATGTAAATAAGTTGGAAAAGTCAAATTTCTGTTGATTGCACTAGTAAAACTGTGGAGCAAGATCCAGTCTATTTTCATTACCTTGATAACATCTATCTTAAGAGGGTAATATTTCGATCTTGTAAGTTAATAAAATGAATAAGTTAGCAATCTTCTAGAGCAACAGATAGAACGAACATCGAGGATAGAGCCCAGTGATTCCGTAATGTCTCCAACCCGACATAGTTAATCTGATCGAGGCAATGTGTAGGTGAATGAGTGAGTGACAGAGTATGATTGTTGCAAGATTCCAACAGGATGACATTGATTCATTGACATTGACTCTTCTATAAATGTCAATGCAATAGAGTTAACCATGTTAACCAGTCTTGATCATACAGTAGAGTGGGTGGTCAGCTGAATGCGGGACTGTAAAAGGCGGTCATGTATCTTCACGCACACTGGCAGGGGTCATCATAAAGGCGGGAAAATGGACTGTGAGGAAGGAAACAGATAGTGTGCATGTGTCCTCCTTCATGTGATGGTCGATGATGTGGTATTGAAAAAAAAGAGACGAGGGAGGCACTATAACAATGGAGGCACTATAACAATGGAGATCAGGTTTCTTGGTTGATGATATTACAGAATTCTTGAATGAAGCCTTGAAACTCTGATCCGTCAAATACTTGACACAGTTTTCCCGTTTACTGTTAATTACCAGTTTTTCACCGGTAGAGTTAGGCTCGGATTTGTAGTTCATGTGACTGTCACATGACTAACATTTCGCTTTGCTTCAAGGTTAAATATATATTTGTAACGACCTTGTCTTAATTAAAAACTTCACATATAAAAGTAATCCCATATATGATATACAACGGACAAATGCATCAGAGAAGGTAATTTTTAATCATTAATGTCCAAAGAAGGATTTTAATTAACGGTGGTAACCATAATTTGTTCCAAGCACCTACGGTATTCGGTAATAACATCAACAGTTTAAATCATAAGTCCCAAGCACGAGAATCTGATGGCACACAAGTTCAGTAGCGTGTATGGCCACCATGTGCGGTGACAACTGCCACACATTGTTGCTGAAAAATGGTGCCAAGGCCTTGCAAATTCTGTGGTTGGTTCTGGAGAGTGCGCAGACTTCTGCCAAGAGCATCCCAGACGTGTTCGATGGGATTGAGGTGTGGAGACCTTGACGACCAGTCCATGACGTTGACTCCCGCATTCTGAAGGAAATTCCTTGTCAAAATTGCTGTGTGGGGTCTGGCATTGTCGTGTTGGAAGATCAAACCGGGTCCATGTGCTGCCATAAAAGGCAGAAGTTCTGGTGCCAGTATCTGGTCGCGGAAAGCAGCAGCGTTGAGGTTGCCATGGATGACAAGAAGCCTGGAACGTGCATTGCCACAGAAAGCACATTGCCACATGACACTCCTGCCTCGAAATCTGTCAACTTCCTGTACACAACACTGAAGACAACTTGATTCCAATTCCTCTGAGTACATCGTAAGTGTCGCTGTGCCCACAATTGACGTTGACGTCTGTGTAATTGAGTCAGAATCGGCCCGCAGTATGGCCGTCGTGCTTGAAGGTGAGCAGTTCTCTGACGGTTTCAAACAGTTTGCGCACTGTACAGTTCATTTCTGGTTGATGTAGGCGTCAAAAATCGGTTACGGAGGTGACGTTAGACAATCTGACGATCCTCTGCATGTGACGTCACATGTGGTCGACTTGGCCGAGGGCGATCAGCGGTGGTACCCACTTGCTGTAGACGCGTCTGTAAATCATAAACAGTCAGTCAACTACAACCCATCGTCCTTGCGACTCCAGCTATGGACGTTCCGGTCTGCAACATGCGTGGCATGACAAATGGCCATAAAGACTTTTGTTTTCTTGTGTTTTTCTTTTTTTTTGTTAATGACTGCTAACAAGTTTGGCTGAAAACATGTGCAGTATTTTGGCCACGTGACCAGTTGCACGTGAAAAACCACTTTTGTCACTATAGTGCTGTGCACATGATTTTGATCGATTCACCTGCATGAAAAAGGGTGTTATCTGAAGACAATACACGGCCATTACTGTTTAAATACACAATAAGGGCCCACAATGATATCTGGTCAAAATGTTAAAATTGTGAAGTTTTTAATTTGATTCAGTATATATATCTAAAAAAAGAGAAAATTGTGACTGAACTTTGTGTGAATGATGTGTAGATTGAACTAAGTTACTTCAGAAATGATGTCATGGTATTGAACATGATGTCAAAAGTATTAAAACCATGTAATTTTCATACATTTTTGTATTTGTTGAAAGGGACTGACAAAAATTAGTGGGGACAATTGCAAAGACAGGTTATAAATCCATCTTGGAATCTTGGAGCATTGGTGACATTGTTTATAGATAGAACATGTGCCCCAATATCGATGTCCACTTACGTCACTTCATAAGCGGAGAGTATTGATGTTGACCCCCTAGTTGATCCGTAGGCGATGAGAATCAATTTCGATCCTTAGAACTTAATATAGAAGATTGGTATCAATGTTGATCTACTAAACGGCCAGAAGAGAGATATGGGTAGAAGCGATATCGATCAACTGCAGAACTGTCAATCTGAATGATTGTTGACCAGGAACGAACCCAGAGGATGAGTGAGTGAGTGAGTTGGGTTTAACGCCGCTTTTAACAGTATCCAGTTATATCACGGCCTGTCAGCTTAATGTGGGAGGAAAGCCCGAACTGATGCAGGTCTCAGACGTTTACCACTTCGGTGAAACCCACGAGCATGGGTATGGTGCTGACAAACCTAGAAACATAATCGGGGCGAACCGGGATTCGAACCCACAACCATAGGTTTCTGGCGTGTCCAAGAGACGCAACTCTGCACAGCGAATCGCGGCACTTTAGACGACTGGGCCACCTGTGCCCCCCCCCCACAGGATGAGATGAAAGTTGATGTCAAACCTGATGTCACCCTGCACCCTGTGTCGCTCAAGGAAGCATGACGATTGTCAGCGGTACAAAAGTGATCCTGGTTCCGTCGCCTGTTTAGCAGAAATAGAGGACATACTTGTGTGACCGTTCAGCTTATCAAAATCAATCCTGATGTCAATCCCTGGGTGGCGTATAACAATAGTAATCAGACATAGATCTATGATCCATATACGATGGGTACCAATGTTTAACAGGCAAGTGATGCATAAGGGTAGAAGCATGTTCAATGGTATCGATCCCAGGGGGAGGGGTATCGATTCGAGCTGTGATAGGTTGGGTAACGGACAGGTGATGCAAAAGCGAAACATGACCATAGCGAAACATAGGCGGAGGGTACTTATCCCAACTGTGTCGATAATCCATGCATTCGCAATGCCAAAGTTGATCTCTGGAGGATGTCTTATAGTCATATCGATAAGGGTTAATTCTGAAGACATCACTGATCCAAATAACTCGTAGTAGAGTGATACCGTGACAAGCAATCTGCAGAGCCGGTATAGTATCATGCTCCGAATAGCTGTGATTGCCCTGACGATTTGAAGTCTTACTCATCAGTAGTTTTGCAGTGAGATCAGAAGAGCAACGATTTCAACGATTAACATTTCACAATTATTTGTGTTTGCAAGTGACCCTGTAAGTTTAATAATAATTTCATTTATTTTACTTCAAAGCATGTGATGTTTTGACAATAAGTTTAGTTGCGCCTCACAGTCAGAAACGGCAAATAAACTGGAGTAGAGGCTCACTTCTAATGTAAACATGTTTTTACATTTCACAATTATTGGTGTTTGCACGTGACCATGTGAATTCAATTGAATTTATTTCAGTACCAAGGTAAAAAAAATAAATAAGGTTCTGTTTTTCATCATGCAAAAGTAGCCGTTTTCCCTTTAGGCGGGGTGACCTTTTCTCCATCGGTGCCGTTTTAGCTATAGTGTGAGTTTGGTGTAACGCCGCTTTTAACAGTGTTACAGTTATATCACGGCTTATTAGCTTAATGTGGGAGGAAAGCCCAAAGTGATTCAGGTCTCAGATATTAGCCACTTCAGTGAAACCCACGAGCACAGGTATGGTGCTGACAAACCTAGAAACATTATCGGGACGAAACGGGATTCGAACCCACAAGCGTAGGTTTCTGGCGTGCCCAAGAACTCAACTCTAGGCCTTAGAGTTAGACGACTAGGGCCACCTGTGCCTCGTTTTAGCTATGTACCCCGTTTGACATGCCTGGAACGGGAACGCAACATGCACCTACCATGCTTAGAGAACGGCTTGTTGGTTGCGAGATGGACAAAACCGAGGGTTTGAGAGCGACCATGGACGCGGGGACTAAATGAATGTTCTGATTACCCTCACCTCATTTGACGCCATCTTGGACGAGAGCGGACGGCTGGTACTGGTTTCCTGCGGTTCCTGGTCACCATCACACCTTGCCCTTTTAGGTTCTGCCTTCACGAACCATCCCTTATTCTGGCCCTTATTCTTCCTTTTCCCGGTCATGCTGCTCCTGTTACGAGCGATATTGTCTGTTCTGCGAGCGAAAATGCTTGGGAAAGACTGCAGAGTCCCCAAACCGGAAGTAACGTTACGGAAGTTTACGAATCAAAAACGTTCCACGCATGCGCACTACTTTATTTACAGTTGAAACGAGGGGAACCAGTCTAAAACGAGGGGATTTTACCCAAATACTGGAGTCGACCCATCGCCGGAGTTGCCCCTGCCTCTGTTGCGTACGCTACGGAATGTTTTGTGCAGCTGTTATCGAAGGGCGGGGAACCCGTCTAACCCCTCGCTTGAATGTTAGACAGGAAAGGAAGGCTGACATTGATGATCCTGAATAACCTTTCCAACAGTTTCAGAGTTACCTCCCTTTATGTTTTAAGTTACAGTCTGTAGCTTTCAATGTAATTTGATCTCAAATGCTTTCAATACAACATAACAAAAGTAGATGTAACACGAACGTTGTGAAATATAACTTCGGGTTGGGGGTTTGTCAAAGCAGGAAATGCAACGTATATAATTTTAATCATAAAAGCGAAACAACACCCAAACGGCTTTGAAAGGATTGAAGTATGGTTCGACTGCTTCTTCGCAGATTTAACATTTGCTTATTACTGATTATCACCGTTTGACTTGTGTTCTGTGCTAAACTCGCTGTGTTCCGATCGGAGGAACGGGAAACCAGATATAATAACAACGGATACAAATTATTGCTATCGGTCAACATCATATCATGCCCAGCAGAAAACTATATCGTATCTCTTCAGAGAATTAGGTGATAACCAATTAAGGCATTGTGACCAGAACAAATACATTGTGCCCCCCCCCCCCACAAAAAAAAAAAAACACACCAAAAAACCAAAACAAAACAAAAACAAAACAACAACAACAAACAAAACAACAACAAAACAAAACACACAAAATACAATAAACAAAGAACAAAACACAAACAAAACAACAACAAAACAAACCCCCCACCCCCAAAAAACAAAAAACAAACAAACAAACAAACCCAACAACAAACAAAACAACAACAAAACAAAGCAAAAACGACACAAACTTGACGCGATATTTACCTCCAGGTAAAAGTAAAAGATCCGCTGTAAAAGAGTAAAAGATCCGCTGGAACTTGTATACACGTGGAACAAAATATTGTTTACTGCAAGTTTTATGTGTACCCTCCCTACCCAATCGCACGAACACACACGCAAGCGCCCTTTTACTATTCATTTCCTGAACGGTACTTGAGGACATCAGTCAGATATTGTAATGCTGACCAGCATTAGGGAATTCGGGTTTGTTACAAACATGTATGTATGGACTAATCCAATATCTATTCAGCTTATTTGGAAAAGTGACTCAATTTTCATATCCTTTGTTTTTCAAGTTTTGATCATGTTTCTTTTTTGACATTTCCTCAATGTGTAACATTACAATGAAATGACGACCTTTTACTGTTACATCAAAACTCGTTACTGTTAGCCTTAATTTAGTTAAATATAGAAAAGAATACACCGAAAAGTATGTAATGTGTAGTATGTAAAAGTATGTGAAGGGTTTGGGGCGATTGCAGGGTTGTCTATTTCGGAGATACATCGCTAGCCAGTATCATAACACAAACTACCATCGTTGTCAATATCGCCCAACGTTGACATCAGCAACGTATCATCACTGTCCAGTCTCACCATCATAACATTACCTGATTGTTACCCCCACCGCTCACAATGAGAAAAGTATAATAATACAATTATATGATGCTGTATCATATTTGTTATTATATTGTTCCAGTAAAATTCACAAGTCAATATTACCTGTTGTTCGCATGTGCCAATGGATTTCTTATGATTATGAAAGGGTTTTGTTGCTTACATATTGAAAAATGGGAACATATTCCTGTTTCACTTAAATTCCAAATTTAGAAACCCGACAAAAAAAGGTAAACCACGGCTAATGTATCGCTCCATGTTTTAATATAATTTTAGTTCTGAATGAACGATTTGCAAAGGCTAATTGCCGTGTAGCCATAGTGTAGTAAATGTCGAGAATCACCATTTTATTGAACATTTTACTCTCAACCAACTGAGCTGTGCAGATGGCTTGCCTTCTTATGACCTACACCTCATATGACCTACTATAAATATGATGGCAAACTGCATCACCCCTATCACGTTAATTGGCATTGTCTGCCCCAGGCTGTTAACGAAGACAGCTCCTTTCGTCGTTTTCTGATTGCATAAACAAGAGTTGTTCATCTTGTTGACAAATGGACCTAAGCTAGATGTTCACAGGAGACTATGGACTCTTCTCACATGCTTCTTTGTTTGTTAGACCGCCTCCGTGGTCTTGTGGTAGAGCGTCCGCCCGGAGAGCGGAAGGTCCGGGTTTCGATCCCCGGCCGCGTCATACCAAAAGACGTTAAAAAATGGTACTTGTTGTTACCATGTCTGGCGCTCGTCATTAAGGGGCTAAAACAAGGACTGGTCGGCTCGGAGTAAGTATACTGTGTCTGAGTGGGGTATTCATGTTAAACTGCGACATGGTATCTCAGTGTGCTAGAACTATAAATCGGCATCAGTCCGGACTAGTACAAGCAGCCACACACACACACGTGCATGCACGTCGCTATATAAGTACAATAATCTTGGACGGCCAGGGAGTACTTCATGCAAGCATCAGTTCCAGGAACCAGAGATCCTGTCATCTTAGAAAGAACATGGGCCCAGACATATGATGGAAGAGGTTTTCTGTGTGTAGAGGACGGGGAAGATGACCGACTGCTTGTGTTTGCTACCACCGAGAGGTTGTCTATTCCACTATTCACAGCCCCTGTGGCGTCAAGTGACAGACATGGGTCTAGAGCATGCGGGAATGCATGAACGCCAAATTTCCCTGCCACATCTGGAACCAGCACACAGGTCCCCGTTCTAACAATCATCCTGAAGGTTTTCACTGTTCGTAAAGAAAATGAAGAAGATTCATGTAGAAAAAGCCGTCAGACGTTCAAGAAGATATGGAATATTAATTACCAATAATTAATAACTGTTGTTTATATTTGATGACTTAATCCGTTTTCCGGTGGGTGACCATGGCTATCTAAGCCTTGGTTCAGAGACAAAGAAAGGGAGCTCTCACCCTAAGCCAAGCTAGGGTTAGAGTAGGTGTTCCGGGGGCACAAACAATACACCCACTATTTGCTGACATGGCACATAGTGCTTCTTTTATATACCGGCTTGCATAAAGCAAACTCAATGTTGTAACTTCCTTCCGAGACCCGTACGCAGTCCCCTTGCATATAGGGATATGCAAATACTCACAACCAACGTCACAAACGCCTCGCTGTGTTGTTAGTTCGGAGGAATACACGTTTTTCATTCATCAAATAATTAACACGCTTTCTCATTTAATGCTCACTTAGATAAACATTATCTACTCATGAACAAAGTGATTAAAGTCATCAAACCCATAGTCAATGCGTGTAAAGGACACGTGCAACGGAGCTAACTCAGCACTTATTGCATTGCTGTTTCAATGGTTCCCCTCCTCTCGCACAATCGGGATCGAACCCACAAGTAGAGACTTTAAGGAACATTTTGACATGAAACATCAAACGTAACTCGTTTACTTAATCCTGCAGCTCCATACGTTTTTGAGGTATAGTCTAAGGTAAAAAACAGTACCTGTGTTACCATGATGTTTTTGTCAGTAAATTTCAATCACAACTCACCAATATCTTCTTAATTTGTTGTCAAATGTTTGTTCTATCCGATGACATTGGTATCGCCCAGCTCCTGTGGTCAGTCATCCCATGCCATGATTTTTGCCATTTGTCATGTTTCAGAAATAAGAGTGTGCTTAACTTTTTTCATTGTGTATATATCGGCTTGCATACAGCAAACTTGATTTTGTAACTTCCTTCCGAGATCCGTACGCAGTCCCCTTGCATATAGGAATATGCAAATACTCACAACCAACATCACAAACGCCTCGCTGTGTGTTGTTAGTTCGGAGGAATACACGTTTTCCATTCATCAAATAATTAAAACGCATTCTCATTTAATGCTCACTTAGATAAACATTATCTACTCATGAACAAAGTGATTAAAGTCATCAAACCCAAAGTCAATGCGTGTAAAGGACACGTGCAACGGAGCTAACTCAGCACTTATTGCATTGCTGTTTCAATGGTTCTCCTCCTCTCGCACAATCGGGATCGAACCCACAAATTGAGACGTCAACGTGACTTGTTTTATTTGGATTGTTATTAGGAAGGTATTGATGTTGTTTTCAATTGCAATAGTTAATCAAGCATAAGTCTCTGTCACTTCCTTCTACCGCACCTATATCAGTGCATCTGTCATTGATGGAGACATTCTACGACGACAGTTACATTTTTGTAGACATGCCGCTGTCTGCACGTTTGAGTCGACACATGGCGATTAAGAAATGACACAGACGACTGATAATTAGACATACAATGTACCAAGAGTTGCAGACATATTTGTTTTATTGAGCAGTGAATAAGTGAATGTTGTTAGAGGTCACAGTCAGACATATATAAGCTGTATCATCAAATAACCAGTGATTGATATTATGAGCAACTTCAGGGTGCAATGACACGCAATCAAGCAAGTCAAGAGCCTGACCGCCAGATGCATATAAGTCGCCTATTACGATAAACATGTGTTGCCGGAAACAAACTATGTCCCTGAATTTCAGCGTGTAATAATTACAAAAGTGATTGCAATCATACAAGGCAACATATGGGCGATTTAATTATTCTTTTGAATTAGTAATATGCATTTTTGTCCACGAAATATCTATACATAGACGGACATACGAATTTACTTCGTCCATCCACACAATTCGACGTTGATAGGGATTGCGGCCATGTCTATTGTCAAAACATGAAAATCTTTACAACAGCTTGATCATACATACAAACATACATCCGGCCACAGCCATCTACTTCAACTCCTGACGGTTTTACAATACCGCCCTGATCTCTCAATATGTTTCTAACAAACTGTCCTGACTCAGTCAGATGGATGACTTTGTGCTGAGTGAAGTCTGTAACCAGGATGTCACCTGTGCTGGTACTTGTGATACCACGTGGCCACGTCAGTGCTGTGTCTCCTGTAGGTCTGAAGGTGAACACCACATCTCCCTCAGGGGTCAGACACACCACACACTTGGATCCCTGGTCAGACACCAGGATGTTTCCTGTTCTCGTGGTACAGAGGAAGTAGGGACTTTGTAAGATGTTGTTACCATTTTGGAGTGGGCTGATTGACTTAAGCACGTTTCCTGTCATATCCAGGATATCGACACAGGGAGGAGACAGATAACTTGCTGCTAGTGTTGACGGAGTCAGATATGTTAAACCCCAGTACTGTTTGCTGGTTGTTATGGTTGACAGCAGCACCAGGCCGGGGTTGACTTCCACTGTTACAATCTGTTTCATATCTGTAACTATAACAGCCACCTGATTGTGTGTGAGTTTTGTCAGACTCCACGGAGCATTGCCCAGACTGAGCATACTGTGACTAGGCAGATTGTTCCTGGTGTAGAAGGATTTCACACTTTTGTTGTTCCTGTCTGTTACGACAACTGTATCTGTACCATCCACTACAATCACTGCCACGTCGGCGACCGATGGTGCACATCTGTCTCCTGCTATTCTGATGTTAATGGTGTCTTGTAACACAGGATCAACCTTCAGGTCCAAAACACCTTCATACAGCGTGCATATTTCCCCCAGTTGTAGATCCCCTAGTGCTTTACTTAGCTTCTCAATGTCATGCCTGAATAAGACCTTGACTACTCTTCCTCTTTCAGCCAGGCCCACGTCTCCGACAGCCCCTACATCCCCCGCTTCACACCCCTGATACATCTCATATACATCCATGTCACACTCAGATTGGAGAGCCTGGTCCATCAGCTCAGTCTGTTGTTGGTACATCTGAACTGTCAACTCTCTTGACTTGATGTGTGCTTTCAATTGTCCAATGTGTAGGTCTGACATTTCTTTCAGATCATCCAGAAGTTTTCTTTCCTTAAGCTTGATCTGCTCTATGGCTTTCTGTGTTATAGACATAATGTCTTCTTCTATTTGTGCATATCGAGATGCTTCTTTATTAACCGTCGATTTCAGGTCATCAGTTTGGGTTTTTATGTCTTCCTGTTTCTTTGATAATGCCTCTTTCATCTTCATGAGATTTGTTTTCATGGGCAATATCTCTGATTCGATCGTGACAACTGAATCACATTTCCTGTGATATATGATGCAACATTTTTGACATACCACCTTCCTGCAATCCTTACATACAAATTCTATGCATTCCTGTTTGTGTTCGTCACACATCACTTTACGCCTTCTTTGGATCTTGACCTCCCCACACAGGTCAGTGACGTCATGGTGACGAGTAGATGGGATGCGACTGTGTACTCTGACACATTTCTCACAGAGTGCGTCATCACAGACCGTGCACCAAACATCAGCTGGAGTTGTCTCCCCGTCCTCTTTACAGAAGGCACAGTAGGTTGTATCTGAAATGTAGTAATCAATCCTGGTATTTTTGCGATGCATCATGTTTTTCATGTGTGGAAGAGGATTTTTGAGATTTTATTCTGATGATTTATGTATATGTAGTTATATTTGATGAACTGAACACCAACGCCTTCAAGAAAAAGATTTTCACCTTTAGATGCTGGACCAAACGAGTCTAAGAGTCCCTGCATGACAAAGCTTGGCTTGACGTCATCCGCCCACTCCTCCACTGGTCTCTCAGGGTCAGTCACTTTCGTCATCTTGCTGCAGAATGGACACAGGAGAGACTTGGCACTGATGGCTTCTGGTCTGGTTTTGGTGTAGTTGGTGACACATTTCCGACAGAAGGTGTGATAACACACAAGTGTGCAGGGATTGTCAAAGACACCTGTACAGATTGTACATGTCAGGAAGTGCTCTGTCAGCTTCTGGGAGGTCGCCATCTGGAAGGAGATGACAATACAATATACTGAGTAATGTAGTCGTAATAAGAAATAAATGACAGGTAGGAGTTGTTTATCGTACAATGAAACACTGCAGGGAGAATAAACCACGAGGGGTGCACCCTATATGCTCTATTCTGACCGCAGTGTTTTATTTTAGGATACACAATGACCAAGAGTCGTTTATTCCTTATATGAGAAGCCTCTTTAAGGATGATGATCAAATGCACAGGCTTTAATTTTTTTTGCCCGTATTTTAATAATGATGACTCCCTCTATTGAATCCGACCTCAGCAATGTCGGACATGTCCAGTTTAGGCCCAAGTTGGTATTTCGCGCATATTCTCACAATCCTCACGTCGATTATCTGTACCTTTTCTCCCAGTACCGATTGTCATATCTCTCCCGCTTTTGGATACGAACGTTCGGCCATTGCATATATCTGCCTAGCCCAGGAAATATCACTGGATATTCCCATCTTAAAATTAACGTCGTCCAATATGTACGACGTGCCAGCGCATCTTCGAATCTCCACAAATGACGTCACGGTAGAACAATGTTTTATCGTGCAATAAACCACGCTTCGTTCTTCATTGTTCTTTATTATGTGGCTGTCTTATATTGAGGTATCGCATAGAACAATGAAGAAATATTTTTAAAGCTTGTAATTATATCATCATCCTTAAAGAGGCTGTACATAATGTTGAAACTCATATAAGAAGTAAACGACTCGTTATTATCGTTTCATTGAACAACGACCACGAGTCGTTTGTTTCTTTATCAGAAGAACGCAGAAGTATACGTTATTTATGGTGAACTAGCAAGACGCTGCCAAACACTTATTATCTGTTGAAGTCGCCAACAGTTACGTTCAGGTACCAAACATTTATTACCAAGGTAACTGTTGGAAGGTGATTTTATTCAGAATAATCGTTTGTTTCAGAAAATGTATGGGTTGAACATTGCATCAGGAATTCTGATAGAATAGTCTTTCTCGGCGAGGTCTAAGTGTCGCCCTTCTAATAGTGATACATGTCGTCGGGTTAACCCCTCACCACGAAGACGTCATTTACGATACAGCCTTAAATAGAATAACAAGAACAATATTGGTATCTTTCAGACATCCCCTGTTGATATGGACTAATCTTATCAGCCATGCCACCGTGGTCTACTTGTAATAGTTTTCTGAAGAGCTGATGGGTCTACTGGGTTAGTGAATAGAAAGTGCACGCACATACATGGTTTTATATGGATGTTTGTAACACGTCACATTTGGCGTACTTGTATTTAAAATGCCGGACATGTTATTAGCTGTTCAGTTATTTACTGTCGAAATAGTGTATTATTCAGTATTTTAGGAAGATAATAGCATAGAGGCCAAACATATTGTTTTAAACAGGCCTGTGTTGGGAAAATGTTTGAGACATTTCTTTTGTCGACCCAATCGTATCGATGTCACTATATTTTTTTCTTATCAGAACAGAAAAGAAGATAGGACTTGTAAATCATAGTATAGAGTATGGAGGTTGAACACAATGTCAATACATATTTTCCTTTATAAAATTAGCAATGTACATAACATGTAATTTCGAGTTGCACTCCAGAAAGAGACACAATTTGGCTTCATTTGGAGTCTCCCAGTAAAATTTAAAATTAACTTTTCTATTGCATTATCAATGTATATTTCTTGCTAATATATGTCAATCATAATCATATGTCAAACAATTTGTATTATTTTTCCATATTTCTTGACTGCCATATTTTGGTTCAATAAATATTTTTTTCTTCAAAACAATTTGTTCGTTGATCTGTTTCCCGCCTAATGTTTATTCATCGGGAATCGCGTGTTTCACTTCTCTCATGCTCATATGGAGGCAGCAATATATGTGACGAACAAAGACTTGCTTTGTGGCCGTATTGATGCCTTGCATCAAAGTGTCTTTGTATCATGCTTGTACACTAATTGCATGGTGTACCTGAATCATGTGTGAGCATGTGTGTACCACGTGACTTACACACAGACTACGTCATCTCATTATCATAACGAAAGTAGACGTAACCAAAGTGTTCTACACTTGCGGGTTCAGGTTTTCTCGACGCAAGTCATATACATTTATCATATTAATCTTTAACAACTTAAAGATACGACATAGACCGTCTGACATTTCATTTGATGCCTCTGACACACAAATTCACCTATTACATGACAAGAATATGAATGTATCTTGTTTTGGTATTATGCTTATGTAAAATGGAATATATGTAACTATTCCCAGCGAGCGCAAACATACATACATTTAGAGTAGTTAGTCAGATCTATGTGTGTATGATCAGGCAGTCTATAGTCTTTGTATAGTATCCCTGGTATGTTATGGTGTAACATAAAAGCTGTACATGCGTGTGGTTATTACTGTCACAGCTAGAGCGTCTGCATACAACCTACCTCCACCTCGGGGTCACCTGACTTCCGCGCCGGGGTTGAAGAAAGAGTTGCCTCCCTTCTAGCGCGATAGGAGGAAACGGATAACGTGAAATAGGGAACTGCGTTGTTATGCGCGAGAACAATTATTCACAGAAACCCTTCATATTTTATTAACATTTCAGGAATGCGTGGGACTTATAATATTTATATGCCATTGAAGTTTGCTTTAAAAGTGTTTGATATTGTTGTTCTGACTATTAACAGAGTGTCAGAAACATGATTATATTCAGTTATTACTTGTTTTGTATGTCCTTTTCATATACAAGTTTATGTACTTACTGATGTGTGCATAAGGATCATATTACTTCGTCGGGCAGGTAATAGAAGACCTCGTTCTCCTGCAAATGATAATGCCCTGAAAAATAGCGTTACCCTTATAATAGATAATAAAATGGATGGAATTTGTTATCAAATAAAAAGAAACAACAACATCGGTTTTGAAACATTTACTGCAATCAATACGAATGTCACTGACCCACTTTTACAAATATGGAAACGTCATAGACCAAACCTGATGACGTCACTATTGGTGAGGTGAGGTAAAATTGGGTTTAACGTCGCGTCCAAGATTATTGCACTCATATAGCGACGTGCATGCACGTGTATGTGTGGCTGCTTGTACTAGTCCGGACTGATGCCGATTTATAGTGCTAGCACACTGAGATACCATGCCGCAGTTTAACATGAATACCCAACTCAGACACAGTATACTGACTCCGAGCCGACCAGTCCTTGTTTTAGGCCCTTGATGCCGAGCGCCAGACAGGGTAACAACAAGTACAATCTTTTAACGTATTTTTGTATGACGCAGACGAGGATCGAACCCCGGACCTTCCGCTCTCCGGGCGGACGCTCTACCACAAGACCACGGAGGCGGTCCACGTCACTATTGAACGTGACGTCAAGCAATATGAGAGCATTATCGAGTTACAGTGACCCGCTCATTTCTGATAACATGCGGTTGGTTTAATGATAATTCTATCAATTTTAGCTGTAATACCTATCAGTAAACATGTGCCATTGGACTCTACTTTTAGAAGAACATTTTAATGATTATGGTTTTGTCGCTTTTATTTTTTTTAAAATTGGAACATGAACACATGTTAAGTCCAAATCTGGAAAGCTGTCTGAGACATAAGAATCACGTGCATGTATCACCACTAGTTGTTCGATATTATTAGTTCTGTCTTATCGACTGATTCAGGAAAACATGTTTCTGAATGAACGTTCAATTCCAAAGGTTAGTTAGGATGTAGCCGTGACATGTATATGTCTAGAATCACTTAATTATAAGGTGGGAATCCTCATCACCACGTATCATAAATTACCTTAGCCTAGCAAGGGTTCAGACGACGTGCTCCGGGACGCAACAGTCACTACCACTATGTGCCGACCTGCGTACACAGTGCATCTTGTATATCTACTCGTATAAAGCAAACTTGTATATACCGCAAGCTGTCGACTCCATGTCACTCCCTACCTAGATCCGCACACGCCACCTTGCATATTGGAATATACACATATTCATAACCAACGTCACACACGTCTCTGATCTAAATGCGCCGTGTGCGTTGCTAGTTTGGAGTAATATAGTTCTTTATTCATCCAATAATTAAATCGTTTCCTCATTTAATGTTCCACTTTGAGAATAATTACCATCAACAAAGTGACCGATGCCGTTTATATCAACAGACCGAATAGTCATTGGTAATAGAAGAGTTTCTTACTCTAAATTCGGCACGAATGACTGCACTGCTGTTTCAATGGTTTCCTCCCGTGAACTCAATAGGGATAGAATCCTCAAATTGAGAGAATATTACTATTTTTCTTGGACTATTATCACGAAGGCATTACGGTTGTTTTCAACTGTAAACATTGATTAAGCATAATTCGTTCAGTAGGTTATTTATGTACCTTTTCGCGTATAGCAGTCATCTGACAAGGGGCATAAACATCCTTTATGGTGGAGAGTGAAACCCGTACCGCTTTGTGTGAAATCTGAATTAATAAATATGACGATTTATGAATCGTTGGTAGGGAGTAGTGTTCATTTTTTTTTTAAAATAGGCGTTCCCACCAGTTATTGTCCTGCAGGCGGGGTTCCGGGATAAAACACGTGTCACTGTCTGCACGTATTTGTCGGATTCAACTTCGCTAGCCTCTACACTAGACAATTACATAATTACAAAGGCGAATGATGATCAGACATATAATGCACCAAGAATTGCAGACATATTTGTTTTAGTGAACAGTCAATATGTAAATGTTGTTTCCTCTGTCAGAAATAGCCAAGCTGTATGACCGGACCAGAGTAACTCCGCGGTCCGGGCCAGTGTAACTTGTGACTGATATTATGAACAGCGTCCCACGTGGTCAGGGTGAGGTGACACGCCAAGTCACAGAGCCTGACCACCAGATGCATTTCAGCTGCCTATGAGGACAAACATATGTTGCCGGAAATAAATTGTATCCCGGAATTTCAGTAGAGAACAATTACAGAAGCAATGGCAATCAAACAACACCTACGTGTGGAAGGTTTTATGTTTTTTTAATGATGGAGCAATGTTTTATAATTCTCATTACACTCATGTTTAGTTTGCATTTAGTCCATCCGCACGATTCAAGGTTGATAAGCATTTGCCATGTTCACTGTCAACTCATGTACGTCATCACAACACCTTGATAATACAGACCAACATACATCCGCCGACGACCATCTACATCAACCCCTATTGGTTCTTCAATACCGTCCTCAGAAGTCAGTATGTTTCTAACAAACTGTCCTGACTCAGTCAAATGGATGACTCTGTGTAGAGAGACGTCTGTAACCAGGATGTCACCTGTGCTGGTACTCGTGACACCACGTGGATTCTCCGGTGCTTTGACTCCAGTAGGTCTGAAGGTGAACACCACATCTCCTCCGGGGGTCACACACACCACACACTTGGATCCCTGGTCAGTCACCAAAATGTTTCCTGTTCTCGTGGTACAAAGGTAGGTGGGATACTTTAACATGTTGTTACCATTGTGGAGTGGACTGAATGACCTCAACACGGTTCCTGTCACATCTAGGATATCTACACAGGGAGGAGACTGAGAACTTGCTGCTAGTGTTGACGGAGTCAGATATGTTAAACCCCAGTACTGTTTGCTGGTTGTGATGGTTGACAGCAGCTCCAGGTCAGGGTTGGCTTCCACTGTTACAATCTGTTTCATACCTGGCACGGTGACAGCCAGCTGATTTTGTATCAGCTTGGACAAACTGTGGGGGCTTCTGCTCAGACTGAGCCTACTGTGACAAAGCTGATTGTTCCTGGTGTAGAAGGACTTCACACTGTTGTTGTTGATGTCTGTGACTACTACTGTATCTGTACCATCCACTTCAATCACTGTCACGTCACCGACCCATGCTGCATATCTGTCTCCTGCTATTCTTACGTTAATGGTGTCTTGTAACACAGGATCACCCTTCAGGTCCACTACACCTTCATACAGGACGTCTAACTCGCCCAGCTGTAGCTCGCCCAGTGTTTTACTCAGCTTCTCCATGTCATGTCTGAATGTGACTCTGGCTATTCTATCTCTTTCTGCCAGACCCAACTCTCCGACAGCCTCCACATCACCTGCCTCATATCCCCGATGCATCTCATACACATCCATGTCACACTCAGATTGTAGAGCCTGGTCTATTAACTCAGCCTCTTGTTGGCACATCTCCTGTGACAACTCTCTTGACTTAATGTGTGCTTTCAATTGTCCAATGTGTCTGTCTGACATTTCTTTCAGATCATCCAGAAGTTTTCTTTCCTTAAGCTTGATCTGCTCTATGGCTTTCTGTGTTATAGACATGATGTCTTCCTCCATTTGTGCATATCGAGATGCTTCTTTATTTAATATCGATTTCAATTCATCCGTTTTGGCTTTCGTGTCTTCTTGCTTCTTTGATAAAGTCTCTTTCTTCTTCGTCAGTTCTGTTTTCATTGGCAATATCTCTGATTCGATTGTGACAACTAAATCACATTTTCTGTGATGTAAGGTGCAACATTTGTGACACACCGCCTTCCTGCAATCCTTACATACAAATTCTATGCATTCCTGTTTGTGTTCGTCACACATCACTTTACGCATTCTTTGGACCTTGACCTCCCCACACAGGTCAGTGACGTCATGGTGACGAGTAGATGGGATGCGACTGTGTACCCTGACACATTTCTCACAGAGTGCGTCATCACAGACCGAGCACCAAACAGCAGCTGGAGTTGTCTCCCCGTCCTCTTTACAGTACGCACAGTAGGTTGTATCTGAAATGCATTGACAGATAAAGGAACTATTTCTTACTATCTGAACTTAAATCAAACATGAAGAGACCTCAATGGAATGAAGAAAACGTTATACGAATAAACCAACGTAATTGGATATTTATCTTTATACCGTTGTATTAAAAGCAACATAAAGTAAACAAAGAAGTTATCTATAGATTGTGCCTACTTTGTCATCCGTCAACTTTGAAAAATGTCTATCAAACAATACAATAAATATTCCAAACCTATTCCACAAGGAACGTTTCTTTCAAATATTCTCTGGATAACGAGGGGACACATGCACAGTTGTTCTCGTTAGCTTTTCATAATACACAGCTAGTTTCAGATTCCTCTTTTGCTTTCGTCCGACTTGATAAAAGCCATACACTCCAATTCACTCACTCAGTGATGTTGCATATGACATCGTTTATACACTGATTTCTAAAACAAACATATACAAAGCAAAGCATAGCCATATAGTTTGATTCGATCAGAAATGAAATGAATATTTACAGACCGCCGTCATAAAGCTGGAGTGCGGCGTAAAACAAAAACAACAAAAACAAAATGAATATACATGAATGTAGACTGCCTAATAGATCACTTCCTACCGACCCTTTAACGAATGCATAGGGTGTTAAAATAAAGCCCTTCTAAAAATCTGTCCTTTTGTATTTTTGCGTTGCATCACGCTTTTTGATGTGAAGAGAAGGATCCTTCTGATTTTTTTCTAAGGACCATTTCTACCGGGAAAGCATAAAGGAATAGAATGTTCAGCCACACAATACATTGTTGAATATTGACAGATATAAGTATAAATATACAATATATATAAGTATATTTAATAAGTAAATACGACTGCTCACCAACGTTCAAGAATAAGATGATTTTACCTTTAGATGCTGGACCAAACGAATCCAAGAGACCCTGCATGACAAAGCTAGGCTTGACGTCATGCGCCCACTCCTCCACTGGTCTCTCAGGCTCAGGTACTTTCGTCAACTTGCTGCAGAATGGGCAGATGAGAGACTTGGCGCTAATGGCTTCTGGTCTTGTTTTGGTGTAGTTGACGACACATTTCCGACAGAAGGTGTGATAACACACAAGTGTACAGGGATTGACAAACACCTCTGTACAGATTGTACATGTCAGGAAGTGTTCTCTCAGCTTCTGGGAGGTCGCCATCCTGAAACAGTAACACACTGCAAAATGCATAAATATTTAAGTACCAACGAACTTGGGCTGGGACGAGTCTAAAGTCAATACCCGGGTATTCGCTGTAGATATTTAGAGATAAGTACAAACTGTCCGATTTGGAAAAGTATGACCGTAGCCCTGATAAAATGTATTAAGGTACGCGTGTAAAACGATCTGGTCATGCATGCACTGAAGATTACTGCATGGCGTTTTATCTTTATTCCAACATATAAAAGTCAGAAGGAATAAGGTAATTAGTGACTTATAGTGTAACCATAAAGTTTTAGATAATTTATGTCATTACACAATATATCACGTGACCACGGGTCCGGGTAGTCCTGTGGGTACCCGGGTCCTTATCAGGACCCAACCGACCCGAGTACCTGAGTTACCCGTCCCAGCCTAACAACGAACTCTTAAAAACGCCGGGAAAGTAGATAACAAACGATGAACGAATTTTCTTAACAGTTTAATAGGAGTGTAAAGATAATATAGATATAATAATTAACATGTATACGCCACCTGATACAAATTATGAGTGACGTTGGAGACGCCGACGGTGACCTCCAGGTACCAAAACACTTATTTAAAAAAACAACTGCTGACAGGGGTATTATGTATTACAACTATCGTTTGTTTAAGAATTTTGATAGAAGATTCTGTCCTGGCGATATTAAAGGAGTCGTCGATTATCGAACACAACAGGTGGTGCTAAATTTTGTCACGCGAAACTCCCCACCAGTGAGTTCAGATTTTACGATAATGTCTGAAATTCTACAACTAGAAGACAGTCTATATTTATTAAACATCCAGTGTTGATACAAAGGTTAAACGTGCTCAGTTTATTACCTTATCAGGTTTGAACACAGATTGTTGCTGAATCATGTGTATACCACGTGGTTTACACACGGACTACGCCTCCTTATTATCAAGCTGAAGTAGATGTTACACGAGTATGGGCATAGATTTTGTCAAAGCAGGTCATATAAATCATTAACAACTTGAAAGATGCCAGTTGATGTGTCGTCTTGTGACGACATAGACTTAATTACCTTTTATTTAATCCATCTGATCCCAACGTCCAGATGTTAAACCAGAGGTATTGATGTAATGAACTAAGGTAGGGTGAGGTGAAATGGTTTTAACGTCGCGTCCAAGATTATTATTACACTTATATAGCGACGAGCATGCACGTGTATGTGTGGCTGCTTCTACTAGTTCGGACTGATGCCGATTTATAGTGCTAGCACACTGAGATACCATGCCGCAGTTTAACATGAATACCCCAACCAGACACAGTATACTGACTCCGAGCCGACCAGTCCTTGTTTTAGCTCCTTAATGCCGAGCGCCAGACAGGGTAACAACAAGTACCATCTTTTAACGTCTTTTGGTATGACGCAGCCGGGGATCGAACCCCGGACCTTCTGCTCTCCGGGCGGACGCTCTACCACTAGACCACGGAAATGAAATGAAATTAAGTCGTATATGTGTAAATGTGAGAACAAGAGCATTCTGCTTCTTTAGTCAAACCTATGTGTGTATAACATGTTTGTTATGGTATTATGTATGAGCTCTGTGTGTGGCTGTAACTCTTTAAGGTAAAGTATCTGTTAACATACCTCGGTGTCACCTGACGTCCCTGTCGAGATGAAAGAAAGAGTCGCCTCCCTTCCCACCGGATGCTAATTGAAACTGATAACGTGAACTATATTACTGGTTTGATATCTACGATACCTTTTTTTTATTGAACCACATATAACTTATAGCTTACTTAAAGACGTCAGACCTATGCCGTTATTTACAGTCATATGATTAGTAAAGTGCGCAACAAAGCTGGAAATCACTTGTACTATTTTGTAATACTTGGTAGCTTAATCAGATTTATTTTTCAAATCCGAATTTCTCGTTATTTCAATTATTTTCTTGAAATGTTGATTATTTTCTCGTTATTTCGAATAGTTTGTCGTTGTTTCGGGGTTTTCTCGTTATTTTAAATCTATTTAAAAAATCAAAATTTCGATTTTTCTCTCGTTATTTCAATACTTTTCTCGAAATTTCGATTTTTCTCTCGTTGCTTCGAGTTTTTTTTTATTTCACCTTATTTCAAGTTGTTGTTTTTTTAAAACCCGACATTATGAGTCTTTCACTCGTTATTTCAAGTATGTTTAAAAAGTTGTAATTTCGAATTTTTAAGATCACCAGTTCAAATCACGATGAAATTATTGAAATGACGTTAAAATAATGGAGATTTCGAGTTTGAAGAAAATCGTAATTTGAGAAAATAATTAAATAACGAGAAAATATTCGAAGCAACGAGAAAAATTCGTAATTTCGAGTTTGTGAAATATACTTGAATAACGAGAAAATAGTCGAAGTTACGAGAATAACTCGAAGCCATGGGAAAATAATTGAAAGTACGAAGCTATAACTTTAAACTCAAAATTTCGAAAAAATAAACAAATGATTGAAGCAAAATTATTTTTTTATGTATGTTTTTTATTATGTTACCAAAGTGGCATCATAAGGCTTTCGTTCGTAGCCAGTATAAGGCATGCATAATCAATGGGATGGGCGGAGTGGGAAAGCGGTGAAAAGCGCCAGGCTAGCAAGCGCCAGATGCTGAGATCGTATGAGATCGTGCAAGTGACCGGGTTGTTATTCAGCCTTTGGACCAACAATGTTTACAGGTCTTTACAGTGTTGTCACTAGCCCTAGTGTACAGTACATACACTCTGTGCACTCAAAAGAACCGACTCGTCCGATGGTATATGACCAGATGGTGGAAACACGAATACGTACATACACCCGAAACACAAGTGTCAAAACGTGTGGTGTCAACCTGGGCAAGCGACTTAGTTCAAATGTGTCTCCGTTCACCCAGCAGGGAATTGGTACCCGATATGTCAGGTGGATCTTAAAACCTTCTAGCGCCCCTAGGCAGTTTGGGTTGTATACTCCCCAGGGAGTGCAATTGGACACACTGGTCGGGGAACAACTATAAAACCGCATTTGAGCAAATACCCCTACATGGATACCTGCGGTACACAAATGCGTCAAAGCAAGAGTCGCCTCCCTTCTAGGGAGCGTTGTGAAATATGGCAATATGTTGAAAAGTGTGTGGAGAGAGAATGAAATACCTAAAATAGCTCGGTAAACATCGCTAATGTTCGGCACATTCCGATAGTTTACATCTTTTAATTATTCATTCTCTTATTAAATTTCGTAATTTTTCACTTATCTTTCCTGTTATTATAATTTCACCTCAAATAAAGTACTTTTTTCTGAAAAATATTAAATCTATAAACAATCCCCGCGACATGTCAGGAAATACGTCACACGGAGCAGACGTTTATTCAGCTACAGCTGCAGCGCCTGCGCATCATACCCAGGGAACCAGGCTGACGTTTATTTCACCTGACAGCAGCCTCCTTTCGCTCTCGTGCATTTGCTCAGAAATCAGTAAACGCCATAATAATGGTTAATATATCGTGTTTAATATATCGTGTTTGTGTTCGAAGGTAGACTGTCTGTAGTACCCGTGCCGACAACGACCCCTTCAGTCCCACTGAAGGTACAAGTGGCTCAAGTGGAATGGCCCTTGTTTAAAACCTGGATCTGCCCCTGAATGTACATTATATTGCAGGATGCTCATTTGGGGCCTTCCGTATCCACCAGTAATATTGTAAATCTAGTTTGTGTAGAAACTTTCGCATATTAGAACTGTTCCTCGAAAATAATACCTGTGCAAAAAAACTTCTGTTCTTGTCGTCGCGTCTGATGTGAGTGTTAAAGTGACTTAAAATTTTAATTCAGTGTTGAGATAGGAGTACATCCTTGTCATATCATTATAAAACACGCTTTTAGCAGCACATTTCTTACATGTAATTAGTTTATGCCACTCCACGTACCACGCTGTTTATGAGCCTTTTCGAATAATTCTTTTGAATTTTATTTCATATTCACATATCTTCAGTTCGACATTTCTGTACGTGTATGTGTCATTAAAATAAAATACATTAGCGACATCCGAAGTCAAATAGTTAAAAACAATTGTTCACTGGACATGTTTGGTGTTCTGAAACAATTATTATGGTTCCATCAGTGGCAATGAATTGTAGGCCATGGAGCAGTATGCTCCCAATATGTTGAGTCATACAAATAGTATTGGCATCACATTCATTTATTTTGTATGATGACAACTATCTACATACATCAGGTATAGCTTAGAGACATTTGGATATTATTCAAATAGTCTCAATCTCATCCAAATGTGATGTCTTGAAGTAGGGACAGAAAATCTAAATTGTTGAATCATATTATTGACATCATATTTTAAGAACTCGGATGAACCATTTGAAAAGTCACAAAGTAGCCTCAGCCTCAGCAGCTGCAAACGTCGTATGAGTTGGCGACATAGAGACTCCAGTCGGCGTCGGTGACGACATTTATGGTGGAAGCCAGCAGCTCACAGTTGGACATGTTGGCAGCCAAGGGGGAGAAATTAAAACCCACACACTGAAGCCCCTCCTGGCACGCCCGGGCGCACATTTCGAGCGATGACGTCATCATTCTCAGCTTGTTGGAGGTGACTCGTTTGTTGGTCTGACGAGTTAGGGCCATCTCTGGTAAAGAAAAAATGAAGTGGTACAGAAATCTTAATGCATGACACGTGTGTATTGTCGACTTCTTTGATCAATACCTGTATGGATAAGTCAGTGAGTGTGTTGGGTTTAACGTCTCTTTAAACATAATTCCAGTTATAACATGGCGTGTTAGCTTCGTGTGGAAGGAAAGCCTACAGCTCTAAAACGTTTACCACTTGGGTGAAACCCGGGATCATGGGTATGGTGATGACAAATCTGGACACATAACCAGGGCGAACCAGACATGTATTAATGACCTTACATTATACAATAGGACGTATAAAACAACAGTTGGACATAACAGCAGAAAAATACATCAAAAACGCTCTGCACATTCACTTTAGAAGAACAAACAACAACATACTGTTTGGAACCCCCATGACTTGGACTTCACACAGCGTCAGCAAGTCTGTATCGTTATTCCAGGGGATCTGTACCCGCAGGTAGCGTCCGCTGAGGGGGGAGTGACAGGGGAGAGTCTCTGTCAGGCCCGTCCCCAGCGGGCCCGGGTAGTGGCGACAGACGAGGGCCTCATTCATCGTTACGTTATCAGCCAGGAGGATGTCGAAATCATGAAGACGTTCACCTTGGTTTGACAAAAATTCCTACGTCATGATGCAATGTGCAAATAGAAAGACTGAGCATCCTTTAATACCTGGATGACGAATCATTTTAGCCACACTTAATCGTACATGGGTGCATAAATTGTACCATTATTTGATATTTCAATAACATAGTTGGTGCAGTTGCCCTCAAACTGGGAGTGAACGGTTACACTTTCTGAACAGCATACACACATGTCATTCTATACCATTACGTATAGGGTATACAATAGAATTTGGTCTAAAGCACATGGCAAAGTGGGGTATGCATGCTCAAAGGAGAAGGGGCATATCTCAATTATGCTAAACTCTTAATGCGTATAATAGGCCTCTGATACTCTGCTGTCCTGGTGTGAATATGCTGTGTTCACGATGTACCAAAATATTGCTACATAAATATCGACATTGATATTGAACGATACAGGACGATGTTTCAGAATGTGTCCACTAGTTTATTGAGTCAGTAAATATGCTTTTACGCCGCTTTTGGCAATATTCCAGCAATATCAAAGCAGGGGATACAAACAAATGACTAGTTTACTTGTGTGTTTGGTGTATCAATGTTGTATTTAACGTTGAATAGCAGACATAAGCAGAATCTCCAAACAAATAAAAACAAATTCAAAAAGGATCTTGCACTTTGAATATAATTCGAATTCCTCGGGTGAAATGAGAGGTTAGAACTCACACTTTAGAGAGGTAGGGAACTAGTTAACTTTGCTCGCACACTCAAATTTCTGACTCACTTCTGTAATAAATTTAATTGATTGTGTAACCAATTCCCTTCCACTGATTTAAACCAGACAATCCAGTGATTGACATCATGAGAATCAATCCACACAATTGGGATACGATGACATGCATCAACCAAGTCAGCGAGCCTGACCAACGGATCCCATTAGTCGTCTCTTACGACAAGCATAGTCGCCTTTTACGACAAGCATGGGTTGCTGAATACCTATCCTACCCCTGATATTCACGGGTTCAGAATAAAAGTACCCATTGAAACCGCCTCATCTGTTTCATATGTATGACACGTGAGTGATGTCAACTTTCCAATAGACAACTTTACCGTTATGTCAAGCAATATTCCTGCTGCAATATTTAGCAGCACCAGTCCTGTCTTAATTTTCACAAATTTTTAGGTGCATTTTGGCAAACATTTTCTTCGAAGATTTAAAAGAGCACAATGCGACTGATCAAGTTATCTGTTCAGGTTTACAACATTCAAATGTAGACATGTGGATGGTATTGCCAAATATGACGCATCAGTCACAACAATGATGTCCCATGCAATTCCCTATTTTTTATTTGTATGTTTCTTCAGGTTAACATTTGACTTGCCGCTGCATGTGTTTGTGACGGGTAACGCTCACCTTGAGTTGAGGCGCAGGATACGCGCACCTTTTCGCAAACATATAACATCACTATTTGATAGTGATTCCTGAACACTGTTCATGATGAAGTTAATTAATTGTTTTCGGAAAAACCCTCACGTTAAATTGAGACGTTGAGTTGTAAGGAACGTCAACTGACAGGAAAACGTTGGCCAACAAAACATATCCTTATTACTTAGAATTTGTGGAAACGGAATTAACCATGAACTCAACATACAACAACACATCCTAGTTAGAGGTTTCATAAGGGACTATGTTCTGTGTGTTGTAAGAAGGCTTGTTAGCTTAGAAGGGAATCTGGATACCTCAAAATCCATACATACTACCAAAAGACAAGGTTGAGGACCAACCGATTCTTTATATATTACTATAGTTTCTATATCATGTCATGAGTGAGTGAATTAAAATTTAACGTCGCATCGGCATTATTTCAGCCATACGGCGACGAGACCAAGTTCATATATTCACAATTGAGTCATGAATGCAAAGTTATATTTAAACACACATTTTATCAAACACGTTTCGGCATAACTATATCATTCATACAGTTTAAAACACGGGCTATAGGCCACCAGTAACCAAAGCTGGTCCACCTCGCCGGGGTCATGGGGACTTACGGTACCTCTGCTTCCTGCACGATACTTCAGCAGGATTTACGTCATCACCTTAGTCTCTGGTGGTTGTGCCCAGTACTAACAAATATTTAAAACTAATCAGGAATGAGTTGGCTCAAAAGACTGGTTGATGATAGTTACATCGGTTATGATAGGAATTACGTGTCACACAGGAGGGCCATTATTTTACGATTCGTTAACCTCCTGGACAGACAATCTAAGTTGATAAAATCATCACACCAAATTTCAAAAAAGCAAATAATGATTCTCTTACATATTTAAAATTTATTATACAGACCAAATGCCAGCTTACACGGGAAAAGAGATCTCTCAGAATTTTATCTTTTTGATAATGTGAATGCCTTGCAATTCCCAAGACCACACAGTCAGGCAATATATGCTTGAAGGTGAACCTTTCATCACAAGGGATACACTTTTCGATTATTGATTCCTGGGTGTGCCACCTATTTTGCATTATAACGTTTGAGGGTTGGTTTATAATCACTGTACATCATGCCATGACACATTATCCCTAGTAATACGAGAGATTTGGGTGGTCCTTACCGTCTTTTGAGTAGTATATAAATTGACGGAATACGCCTTAAAAGCTGGAATACTGACATAAAGGAAAGAAAAACCAATACATAGAGAGAAAATTTACCAACCAAGGATTTACTAACTTAAAAAGAAAATTGACCAACCAGCATAGTTTCTGTTTGTGATGACTACCTCTGAAACAAAGAGAGAGCAGCCAAGGTCCACTTGCCACCACAGATAAGGTTCTGACGGTGTCTGATGCCTAGTGGCAGTGCAGGACCCGTTCGGGTAGTGTGGGTCGCTGTTCCCATCCACTGCCCGGCTGGCGTTAGCGGAATCCGAAGTGCTGATTTGTGTGCTTGGTTTGTTCAGAGCCAGGTTGATACCTATCCCTGAAACTGCAATTGAAAACGTTATGGAAGCAGCGGATCTTATATTTAGATTATGTTGTGGATAACTTAGGCCTGCTGAAGTGGAATATGCTTTTCTTAGCCTATCGAAAGATCCGTGGTTTTGTTGAGGAAGTATATTGGCATGCACATCACAAGTCACAAGTGAACAAAAAACAAACGAGGGACTGGAGATAGGAGAGTTATCTGAAAAAGGAGGGGTGAGTGGGTAGGGGATGCCATTGCAGCATGATGTTATACTTACCTATGTGAATGAATTGCCATCCAATAAGTACTGATGCTGAATATTGAGTCATGTTTCTCATGATTCAGAAACAAACGACTGCACACACGTCAATACTTAGTACTCTGCTCACACGACCAAATATGACAGGTGTGACGTATGGTGACTATCTGTGACAACACGCTTGCTTGGGACTTTTACACCGCTCCTGCCATTTGCTTGCCCAGCCAAGCCAAGCCCTGGAATCCTTGCCACCCGACTGTGGGGTGATGTATGAACTGCGGTACTTCTAACCTTTGAGCAAAACTCTGAGGGTGGAGTTGCTGTGAATGTCATCCCTTTGTGATATTTGCTAATGTTACATTTCCAATATAGAAAATGCAATTGAGAAACTAGTAATCAGCAGAACCATGGTCTGATTTGATATGCCTGGAACTACCGATTTGTGCTACATAATGGCACTAGTTATTACTTTTGTATGCTCAGTATATGATGAAGAACTGCTGTAAACAGTAATCTTTAGGTGTTTTTGTGCATAAAGCGATATTTGCATCAATGCTATTGCTATTTTCGTTTCCTGACGCATCACAGACCTACTGAATGCTGGTTGTCGGTAGAGACGAAGGAGTGTACACGCTTCTTTTCTTGTTATCTAATGACTATATTAAACTTCAGTGACAGCAAAGCATATTCTTATTTCCCCAGGGTAAATGGGAACTCAATATATAGTAATAAATAATTGCATTGATTTTTTCACATCCTATATTTCATCGCTACCATGTCTATTATTTTGAATAATATGAAATTGAACCCCCATTAACCTCTCTGACGTCCAAAGCATGCTTTAGTAGGCCAATCGACAGATTTGAATGAGGCATACGTCCCTTTGTTGGTCAAGTGTAGGTGGCATGGCGCAAGTCACCAGCAATTTGATTGGCTGTTTGGGTTCGATTTCCCAGATCCTGGTTTAGGATTAATCAAAGCTGAACTTGTGTTGTTGACCTACATGAAGGGCGTACTCTGCGGGACCCTCATTTACATTTTGTGTCTGCAGAAACCCTCAAAGTCTGCAAATCACAGACTGAGTCACATTGAACATACAGGCTTCCTCTCGGTGAGGTCTGCCAGCTAGAAGACTTTCAATAGCCATTTTTCCTTCAATGCGTTGTAGGCGGCACTATTCCTAAATGATCACAAATACTCCATTAAAGCAAGAGTAGAGAGCTCACGTGTTACTTATGCCTCAGAGCGATTTGACGACCATTCACTGAAGTGACAAAATCAAGAATGAACCCCAACCCACATGCACGGTTGAATTGCGTGATCCACGTGCAATGTTTCTGGTGTGTTGGGGCGTTAGGTTGTGGCCTTGAAACCGTTCTCGCAGTCATTTTTCAAACTGATCTCTCTTTATCCATGGACCGACTTTAATGCCACAGCTGTATCATTGAATGTGTTAACACATATAAAAGACAAGATGGATGACTAAGTAATCGAAGTTAACAAAAAAAATGGTCAAAGTAAAACTACGAATAGCCCGACTACAGACACACACCAAACTGCGCATGGATACATGAATAATGTCTCCCATAATGTGAGTGTTAGTATGTTATAAGACGCTTTAGATTTGAATCCACACAAAACAAGTTCCGATTTTACAGAATTTATTACTACTGCAGGTAAATTAGGCATTATACATTTGCTTGAAAATGTGACATGCTCATATCACGAAAAGTACCAACTGCAATGTTTTCGTTATTGAATTATGGTTCCATAAAATATGACGTAAAAGCTGTGTATTTTATATAAAAGAATGGGAGTTCTGTGGCACGGGGCCCGATTACATGAACGTGTTAACAGTTTCTGTACGGGAAACGTATGGACGGGAAATAAGCAGCCTTCTGTCTATAGTTTCGCTTCTGTCTACAGTTTTGCCTCTGTGCCATGTCCCAGGAAAAACGTTGGTTTGAAAGTGGGATCCTGAATCGCGTCTCTGGTGATGTTGAATTGACTGATGTTGTACTGGGTACGGCCGTCAACGGCGAGCTCGCTCAGGACTTTTCCAAGCAGACTTGCAAATCTGAAATATGAACAACCACAGAAGTAATTGTTAACGATGAACGAGGGTTGGTTTGTTGTTTAACGCCGCACTCAGCAATATTCCAGCTATACGAAGGCGGTCTGTAAATAATCGAGTCTGGACCAGACAATCCAGTGATTGATATCATGAGCATCGATCCACGCAATTGGGATCGATGACATACATCAACCAAGTCAGCGAGCCTGACCACCCGATCCCGTTAGTCGCCTTTTACGACAAGCATAGTCACCTTTTGTGGCAAGCATGGGTTGCTGACGGCCTATTCTTCACGGGTCCGATAAACGAGGGGAGATGATTAAACATTGATCTGTCATTACGTATATGTCCGATTTGCACACACACACACACACACACACACACACACACACACACACACACATACACACACACACACACACACACACACACACACACACACACACACAGACAGACAGACAGACAGACAGACACACACACACACACACACACACACACACACAGAGGAGTTCGCGTTTGTCAATGATCGATACAGAAGTCCCTGATTTTGACATTACGGTTGATATACGATGTATTGCATTTACCCAAAAGCATAATACCACATCGTCGGCATTCATGTCAGTGTAAATTGAATTTAGGATATGATTTTACCAACAAAGTGTCGCGCTGAACAGCTGTAAGATTGCTGATGCAGTGTAAAGCAAATATTACACACTCATTCAACCAACCAATGTTGTGGCATTTAAATGATATGTACCTTCAGGGAACTTTGAATACACTGAATGCAGTACGATAACCTTCCGGAAAACTATACATCTTCACGTTATTCATATACTAGTATTCGATGGCACATAATGCATGGTCTCACACTCAAATCAAAGTTCATGAATATGGATCCATGCCAGTCCATTAATTCGCTTAAACATTAAATAGAACAGGTTCTACAGCCAGAATATGCCCAATTAAAATCCTAATAATGGTCACTACATGTTAGATGATGCATTCCAAGGAGTGCTCACTTGTACGCATGTCCAGCTCCACAACAAACGATGACGTCAGACCAGCCCTTGTATGCGCATGTGTCGACCACGAAGTGTCTGTCTGGAGGCATGGTGTAGAGGCAGGTCTTGGTCTGAAGGATTGGTCCCAAGAACTGTAAAGACCAAGTACAAATCAACATTCAGTTTGTAGTTTATCATCAGTTTGTCACTGATGTTAAGGTTATTGTACAGTGGGACATCTACCTTGGGACAAATCTCCTGCAGCAGCTCAGTACAGGTCCGCTCTCGGGCAGGATCTGGCTCAAAGGTCCTCGTGTCGGCGGTGACTACGTTGCCTCCAGCGTTAACCCCGATCTTCGACCCCGTGTTGCCGTGGATGGGAAGGGCGTAGATGCGGTAACGGGGGCAGTGAAAAATCCAGATTGGACACCTAACACAGAACGGTTTTGAGTGTTTCAACTTGTAGTCAAGTTGTTTCATAATCAGGACCATGTGAAATTTGTCAAATTCATTGGCTCTGTCAAACTTCCCTAAAACTGGCGTGTCTTGGGCACATGAGGTGACTGATAACCGTTTTAAATGTGTTATCATATAGAAAGTGAGTCATTTGGGATTGTCATGCTCTTTTATCAAGGGGGTCAGGGAAAACTGTCATCCTTAAGATTGGAACGGGTCGCCCAAACACATTTTCACTTGTGAAAAGCATGCATTTTGTTTCTGGTCCTAATTCATAAAGCCATTGCATAGCGATTTATAGTTGATCTTCTCTCTCGTGAGACCTGGACAGGGAGAAGGCCTTTGTGAGTATAATATTGTGTTATTATGAGGATAGATATGTAGAATGATAATTTTGTGTTTAATTGTAAATAAGGTTTGTTTTGCTAAAAATATTGTTCATTGTTTAAATGTAGGTTATTATATATTCCCTTTAAATGAGAATGTTGAATTGAATTCTTGTATCATAATACATGATAGATGTAACAAGTGGTTAGTAATTTTCATGATTTCGGGCCTTGGTGTGATTGCTCCTACTTTTGATTCCCAACTCGGCCATATTCATCACCAACTTTAATCAAACCGGACATCTCTCTGGACATGAGAACATATCAAAAGAGGACATTTCAGTGATGTTCTGAAGATGACCTCAACTTTTGTGTAGAACAATGCTATATTCAATGTTATTTGGCCATATAGGAAACGTGGGTGCACTCAACAATGAAGTACCCGCAATACCATTTGATCTTTTGTATTAAATCACATGTGAAAATACTGTTGACTTCAATACGTGTATTCAACCTTAAGGGTTTCTTTTTCATTTGTAATAATGTGTGCTGAATATCCTTAGTTCAGCTTTTGATGTGTGACAGGGATATTAACCCAAATATCTGCTAAAAGCTGAGTCCATTGTACGATTCCGACGATATCATACCAAATGTTCGCAAAAGGTGAACGCTTCAAGACCACCTATGGTAAGTCAATTGTTTCCCTGAAATAGCAACACGGAAACATAAAGTACGAGTCAAAACAGAATATTGCATCGGACATCATTTTTGTCACTGATGCGTCGAATTCATAATTGTTCGCCACATGTCCACCATAACCTCTTTATGAAGGTTATGCTTAGGCCTTGAATGTTGTAACCCTGATAAAAACATTTGAGTCATAATTGTTTTCTACAAATTATAGTGCGCTTTGTTTAAATCTTTGTAGAAATTCCATTTTCGATTGTACCTCTAAAGTTGTGAAATGTGTCCACCAAAGCCTGGAGCTGCTTAAATATTGCTTGACATAAAGGGATAGTTGAATTCATCCCTCATCCACTGACTTGTTTTTTAATCTCTCTGATTTTTTATGCACATGTCTAAATATGAAACATGGGCGGTTTCACTGGTTTTCTCCTTTATTTCTAGCTCAGGTGAGTAAATCATTGAAAGGGAATTGGCTATTTTACCTTTATTGGATCATGTTAGATCATTGATACATCATTTATTAGTACCCATGGATAAAGGAATGAAGTATTTTCGTAAGTTTGTCGTGTGACATAATTGAACTTGGTACTTTTCTGATATTCGCAAACATTCAGACAAATACTTAAGAATCCACCTGTCCACTTCACTCAAATACTTTCTGCAAATACTCACTGCTATACTTTAACACATACATAACCTTCTGATGAAGATCACTTTGTGCATGTGGTCTTTAGGGTTATAGGTTACATATGTATAGAGTTTACTTCGGTTGGTGGAACCAAACGCATTAATGTTTGGTAGTGTGGCTGACAAAAATAGCAAAGAGACCAAGTCATGTTCAGTGTTTGTACTTACTTTTCCTTGGTGAACTCCTTCATGTGCGGCGTGGCGTAGTACGTCACCTGCTCCTGTGTGACGGTGACGGGGACGTGGACGCCGATTGTCCCCAGGACCGAGTTGAGCCACCCCCCTGCCGTCACCACCACCTTCCGGCACTCGAACACGCCCTTCGTTGTGTGAACCTAACAATGATATGTTTAGTCAGTATCCACAAACAAACTATCTCCTGGCTTTTCTTGTTCAATAAACAAATGGTACACTTTATCCAGCGATATCTCTCAACATGTCTGAATGATAAAGAGTTGAAATGTGTTTGTTTCAATGATTTTGAAATGTGTCATGTGTCTACAATGATGTATGCAAGGCGTTTAAAGATACTTTGATATGAGGGTTCACTTGCACGTCAGTCACGGTTCGTCTGTGTGGATTGTTTCTCGTTCTTTTCAAGGTAAGTTGAGATGTACATAAAATATTGCATTGCAGTTGAGCAAGTCAAGAATGTGAAATGACTTTTCCCTTCAAGATGTAAAGTCCGCACAATCAGTGTTTATTGAGCATGTAAAGTACGTACAATGACGTTGCCGTTGTTGGCCCTAGTGAGCCTGGTAGCGGGGCAGTTCTCCAGGACTTTAACCCCGTTTCCCCGGGCCAGCTGAATGTGGACAGCGTTCCCCACAGCAGCATCTACGAGGCCCGCTTGCTCCTGGTACAAGCCCACGATATCTGGACCCACTGTGAACTGGGGGTAGCGGGCCATTAGTTGCAGGTTTGACAACCTGTCGTATCTGATGAGGAAATGAAATGTATATAATTTAGTTAGTATACACGGCTGACTTATGGGTATCACCAGATGGCTCCATTTAAAAGAACTCAAGAACGGACTCCAATTCAAATAAATTTGAGATAAAATCATGACATGACATCCAATACACATAATAACTCACTTGATGTTGCTCCTGTCCATTGATTCAGCGAACTTCTCCATGATGGCCTCAGTCGGTCCCTTCCTGGCCAGGCGCAGACCCCCGGTCATCCATACAACCTGCAGGCCGGACTCGCGCTCAATCTGGCGCCATCTGCTCTTGGACAATACAAATGAATTGTTGTTAAAGTAGTCATCGAGTGCTCACTAAAAGTTCTGTTTAATCCCAAAACGTGGCTCACATATTTGCATTAATTTTGGCGTACACTTTTCAATAGGAGTGATAACTCATTGCTGTCCCCTTATTGTTAGACATGTGCGTGTGTTTGTTTCTATAACAACTGTATGGTATATTTGTTAATTTGTCAACAGTGCTTGCTTATATGTTTATCATTGACTTTTATCGGAAAACATTTTCTCCAGCGCATTTCAGTATTTCAGCATTACGTCTTACACTACCAACTGACGCCTGGATCAACCCTAGATTGATCAGTCAGATCATTGAGACGTTCATAAAACATTCATTGATCAAAACTGCAGGACAAAAGACAGTATTCATCTATCTTTTATGGATGCTAAAATGAAACAAAGATAGGATGTATTTGGTACAAGTGTCGTAGTTGTGTTTTTTGGAACTTAAGTTTGTAGTCTTTCAGCGACTGTTTTCAGTACGGTAGCGATTTGTAATGATTTTGTCAAATCCTATTTATAGTGTGTGCTTTCATTTGCCCGGCGTTTTTTAAAGCCTGTGACCTTCATCACTTTGTGTTTTCCTTCAACATGCTGTGATAAAATGTGTATACTGTTCAAAGTGATGTTAAACTCACTCAACTCGCACGGACTTACGCCTTGAATGTGTCGGGGATGAGTCTGGTGTAGCGATCATCATCGTACGTCAGGCGGCTGAAACACAATAATTACCTCCCATTTTAAGTAGATACTTATTCATCCGTAGTTTCGTCAATGTATTTATGTCTGTCAATTGACGACGATATAATAAATAAAATCTGATCCATTTAAGATACGTATTCGTATATCGTGTCAGAAAAAGTAATCTGGACACGTGGTCTAACCCTTTGATCCCACCTCATGTTTTAATAAGCGTAATGAAACTCATCCATAAAATTGTCTCATAGAACTTATTAAGAACAATTAGTAAGCTAGAACTGGGGATGAAAAGAAACGATACATCTCAGTTGTTTTTATCATATGTTTGACTTTCAATTGAAAGTATCATAAGTTAATCAGCACTCAAAGAATATTCAACATGGTTTTATTTAAAAAAAATATAATTTGAAATATTACTTAAAAATTCGCATAATACACAACTGCTTATGGGTATCTTAAACATCTTATCTTTGAAAATCAAAGAAAGCTTTTTTTTGTACAAATTTGCAACATTTCAAATATGGTTGGTGTCAAATACCAAACACCAAATATGGTTGGTGGTTGCAAATTCATTTCTTACTCCAGTCTCAATTGAACCAATTTAGTTTTACACAAATGGTCTAGTGATAGAGCGTCCGCCCGTATAGCAGCAAGTCCTGGGTTTGATTCCCGGCTGCGTCATGCCCAAAGACGTTTAAAGATGGTTGTAACCCTGCCTGGGCGCCCGAGGTCCCTTAAAGCAGGTTTTATGAAATCGAGTATAAACAGCCAATCAAATCGCTGTTCACATGCGCCAGTGAACCATTTCTCAAACGTTAAGTGATTGTCATGTTACACCTAGTTCTTCTTTATGCTTATCCATTCATCACTATCACTCGACACTATTTTGTATTCGCTAATCATACATTATTATCGAATATCCCCTACGTTTTGTGAGAGTTTATGTAGGACTCAGATGTATGGTAGGCCGTCTCCACGGTGCATTCTCAGATCTGTGTCAGGACTCCTGCTGCATGACGGACTCTCAGATGACAAATACGTAGGGTAGCTTTGATCATGCGGATAGTAGACCCCCACAGAGTTCTACCGATATGTGTTTCATGTGTGTCAGTGGCCATCACCATTACATAAACACGCTGCTCCTTTACTTAGATTGAAAATGGAATTGTAAATGTATTATTTTTAAAAATACAGGTGCTCGGTCCAGCAGTGTATTGTCAAGTTATAGGAGCTCCAATAGACTTTATGCTAAGACCGCCTTGTGCAACTGGTCTCCGGGGAAGGAAGTGTGGTATGCATAATAACATTTGACGTTCAGCATGACGAATGCAGTATCTTCTAAGTTATTGCTTATAAGCATAGTAGTAACTCATGATAACATTGTTGTGCAGAAGTACAATATCAACGTATATATTTTGTTTCGTGTAAATTTCACTTCTCCGTTGTAATAAACTTACATGATCCTTGATACGTCTTGTGAGCCTCCTCTTTCATGACCGAGGGAAAACTGCTCGAGACCAAGGACTGAAATGTATGATATAATGCCTAAATATGGAAGTGCGTGAAGGATTTTATTTAATTCAACGTGGGTCGTCATTTTCAGCCGATTCATTTTCTTGCTGTTCTGGTTTTCGTTATTCCATCGAACTTTCTTTTTCTTTACTGTCTATCCAAAAGGAAATACTTTGATGTAATTTTGCTGTAATCACTGCCGTTCTACATTAGAATAAAATCTTAAATTTTCAGAAAAAACAACAAAATAATATTTATCCAAACCATTATGAAGGGCTCGTTACGTTATCTCTTGTTATCCGTAAGGTTTTCATGGAACACGTTTACGTTGTATTACGATTTTGAAACAGAAAATATGTTATTTCCATTTTAAAAAAACATTTTCATTGCAGCAGGACCGTTAATCAAGGAAATCTCACACCAAAATTTGTCTCGGTTTGGAAGCTGTTCATACTTGTTTGAAATGGCATTTCCATTGTCGGTTAAGAGATGGTTAAGAGATGAAATAATATGTTATTTGAGAAGAAAAGAAAATGTTCTAATGATATATTCTTAGGCAGATTATACCCTGAAAACCACAGTAACGATTAGGCAAACTAAAGGAAAGTAGTTACATCATGAAGTGCATTTTCTCTTTCTCGGGTTTACATTTTTAAATAATGATAGTATTTCATCACTAAATACATAAATACAACTTATTCACTGATTTCCAGTTATCCATTCATATAATTGTCACCACTACGAGTATTGTGCTTTTTACGCCCTGTGGTGGAGAGTCGAGAGAGATTTTTCATTAGTATTGGCTTTTTATTATATATGTCATTTATTATTTGTCGTTGAACTGAACCATATTTATGTGTTATGAACCAAGGTGAAGATATTCTAGAGTCAAAACAACACCTCATGTATAGCAATAAAATGGTTTAAATTATCACAATGAGTGAGAACAGTATTTGAACAGTATTTTAGTTTTATCACGGTGTGCCAGATTGGCGCAGGGGAAGATCCCGAAGTGATGCACGTCTTGTACTGTGGTGAAACCCACGGGCACACGTATGGTGCTGACAAAACCTAGAAACTTAGTCAAACCAACGATCATAGGTTTCTGGCACGCCTACGGGAAGCAACTATGCAAACACAACAACTATTTATATCATAATTTTGAGCACGGTAAGAATATACTTGGAAAGCACTACATGTACCCGTAGCTACGAAGTACTTGCATATCAAATATGGCAAACTGGCACCTCACCTGAGCTGGAACGCTTTGACAACCAGTATAGAGCTCCGCTGCCTATCCCTCCACAGCCGATGACAATGTACTCAAAATACTGTCGCTTAGATGCAGCCATTGTGCAATATATACGAGACAAGTGGAGGAGAACCTCCTCGTTATCCGACCTAACAGCTGCTCACTTGTACTGTTGTAAGACTTTATGGAGCTGTCAATAAAAAATAGGTCAAATGCTCCAAATAGGGCAACTGAAGCTCTATGACTATCCATGCAATTTACTGCATAATACTGTCGAGTGGAAAGCTGGCTTTGTTATTGGTAATGTTTAACTCTACTGATGCATTGAATTTGCATGTCGTGTGGCGACATGTGAAAACAGATTAGATAACCCATACATCTGTTACAGTTACCTGACCTTACCTGACTTTTGTCAGGATTTTTGTTAAATGATCTTACACAGAATATATATTTGACGTACGTTTGTTGAACATTCTGAATTTTGTTTTTGACTACTTAGACGTGTGGTACCATTTTTTAAAGTAGAATTTCACTTGTTACCTCAGTGAATATATTTTAGGCTTAGCGAAAGAGGCATTTTACATGCTTCTGTGTATGTTGTGTAAAGTGTTTGTGTTGTAATTTAACCTTCCGTTTTCTTGTACTCATTAATATTAATATTAATATTAATGTAGATTATGTAATTATTAAATGTAGATTATGTAATTATTAAATGTAGATATAGAAGTCGGCTGGCCTGAAAAGTGAAAAGTTAATATTGATATGAAATGTAGATTATGTAATGAATTTATTGAGACTGTCCAACACATTGTCAGTTGATGCCCAGCTTTGGCACAAACATAGTATCTTAAGCAATATGAAGAGGTGGCTCGATCCTTTTATTACCATCTTACATAATCTACATTCATTTTTACATTTTAACGCATGATCAGATTAAATGAAATGTAAAGTGTATGGTTGAGATTAAAGGTGGTCTGTTGGTTTTGATCATAATGAGATGTTGCATGAGTTTGCGATGTGTGCAAGCCCATGGCTTTACGTCAGTCAAGGACAGTTTCAGCTCCCTGGGAGGTATGAACGCTTCAAAAAGCTCAGACAGAATATTAGCAATATACACATGAAATAAAGGTAAGCACTATTGTTTTTATAAACTAACATATATTTTTGGTAATATCAACATGACGTTGATCTGGTTTTAATAAATGTGTAAAATATCCACATGTTGATACGTTTGTTGGTTTTACCCTGCATGTACTAAGTCATGTCATGGGGAGGGGTTGGGATTTTCTGCAGAACTAGATAATTTTTACTTTGAGACTGAATTGTATTTTTAGAAAGACGCGCAACAATGTCATTTTTGTGAAAGGGAATATCTTTTTTTAATGGTCTTTTAAAGAATTTTCGTACACACTTCATTTTTTCGACAAAATCCCAAAACGATGTTGCCAAACATTTAATGTTTATTAGAAGACAATATCCAGGTTTTATCTGGACAGCTATGATGGTCGTGAAAGTGTCGACAGGCGTTCAGAGGAATATTATAGCTTCATTTTCGTCGAGATCATTTTCTACCCTTTGTACAAATGCAGGGACACGTTCAACGTGTTCAAAACAACACGATTTTTTGAGACAACTTAACGGTGCTGTACTGCTATGATCAGCTGTTTCTCCAGACCTCTCCTCCATTGAAAATTTCTGAAATGAGATGGAGCAACGCCCACGACAGGACCTAACGCTAGCTCAGTTGGGCCAATCTTTGGTTGACAATTGTTTTCAATCATCTTGTGTCTTCAATGCGCTGCCGCTGTCTCGCCTGTATCAGCGCAAATGGTATTCACATTGTTAATTGAGTCGTTACACAACTCTTTTCATGTCGCTGTGTCTCCTGTTACCGGGTATAGGTTTTGTCAGTTCATTTGTTATGTTAAAACGTTGATGAGACGAACGACCAAACCTTATGTTGTTATTGTCAACATTTACATCACTTTATATTAAGCATAGTTACCTTTCCACCGTCACTGTGGTCTTATTAAAATTTGAGTTTACTTGGCTAGCTCCTGCGTTTGTTTTTTTACTCCATTGGTTGTGGCGTTTTCCACCGCTTTTTGCTTAATTTAGGCTAACGAAAAAACCCTGAGCGCACTGTTGATGTTTATGGGTTAGACATCTCGATTAGATGGGGTTCCCGGGGTACATGTGTAGGGTGGGGTCTTGTAGGTCTGTGCCGGGCTGGTTATTTTAGAACTAGGGCTGGGTGGTTGAGGTAATCGTACCCATGTGGTGCTATACACAGCTGCGGGCTGTTCCACTGTATTTAGAATACCGATAGAAGTAAATTGTTTTTCTTTTTCTGCACTTATTTGTTTCAGTGACTTCATCAGCTATGGTGTCATGTTAATCAAGTTCATTTTCATTTGTATACAGGATCTTCTTATATGACAGTTCACACTGCTGATGAAAAAACATGAATTGACGTACGCATATCACTGAAAACTTAATTCATGTAATTACTTGTTAAATCCTTTTAAATATGCTTGTACATGTTAATACCTCGTATAAACTAACTGAATGAAGCCCCCCACTGCAGTGCATTTCACCCCTGCTGACATATTCTTCACGATTTTAATCTTGAAGAGATGCGAAATTAAGATGGCTTCTGTTCGGAAGTGACGTCGCCATGGTGGCCAATGAACATGGATCAGGGAATTTATCGTAACAAAAAGGATCATACACTGGTAAATCAGTTGTTCAGGGAGAAATGAACTTGCTTAATAACATAACAAATCTTAAATGTATGTTTCTTTTCAACAATGGCATGTGTTTTCTTAAGTTTGAACATTGTAGGTGTACAAACATTGAAATATTCAGCACAATAAGTCAAGAAGTATGCATCTCCCTGGACACCACTTGTGTTCTTCCTAATGCTTATCTGTTTTTTTTGCTTGCGAGTCAGAATTTCTGCTCGGTTTGGAGAAATCAAAACAAGGTAACTGGGCCAAGAAGTTTAGTAACAATGCATCCCAGTGATTCAGCTTGTAATTGATTCTAGAAATTCAAAAGGTGTTTGGGAGTATGCCTCACAACCCAAGGAATTATGTTTTTTTCGGACATAGTATGTTCTAACTGTTTCCTCAACCCTCATTGATCGAGGCACTGACTGATCCAGTTGGGAGTAGGTGGCGTGAGGTGCGCATCCCCACTTCAATGACGTGCCAATGCACATTTGAGTATTATCGGTTTTTATTCTGTCCCAATATACTTTTGGCTTGACTCTAAAACCCATACAAATACATACAAAGATATATATTGATGCGGCCAGAACATTTACCACCTAATTCCTGTTTCAAAGATTAACCATAACCCTTAACACAATCAAGGAAAGTCATTCCTTATATTCACAGAAAGTATCAAGATTTCAAAAGCATTTGCTTGAATGTTTGCAATGTCAGAAAAGAAGCAAATGGAATTATGTCAAAGTGTTTGATATTTCAACTTTGTACACCACTGACCTTGAGGAAAAACTTTATCCCCTGATCCATTGGGTTTTGTTACTGAACGTAGTAACCATATATATACTTACATATCTGTGTTCTAAGGTTGAGGACAATGTGTCATAAATGAAAGGAAATGTTATCTGAAGTGTACTGAGTATCAGTATGTCAGTATGTTTTTAGATTTGAATCCACACAAAACAAGTTTTACAAAATATATAACTACTGCAGGAAAATTAGGCATTTTACATTTGCTTGAAAATGTAAAATGTTCATATTAGGAACAAGTACAAATGTTTTCGTTATTGAATCATGGTTCCGTTCCATAAACTATAATGCAAACGCTATCTATTTTATATAAAAGAATGGGGCTTTTGTGGAACGAGGCCCAATTACATGGACGTGTTAACTGTTTCTGTACGGGAAACGTATGGACGGGAAATAAGCAGCCTTCTGTCTACAGTTTTGCCCCAGTGCCACGTCCCAGGAAAAACGTTGGTTTGAAAGTGGGATCCTGAATCGCGTCTCTGGTGATGTTGAATTGACTAATGTCGTACTGGGTACGACCGTCAACAGCGAGCTCGCTCAGGACTTTTCCAAGCAGACTTGCAAATCTGAAAAATGAACATTCATGGAAGTTATGGTTAAGATGAACGAGGGGAGTTGAGTAAACAATGGACTGTCATTACGAATTTTCCGATCTGTTGTTGTAACATTTCTTATGAATATGTGCATGCTATGATAATTTAAGTGTGCACCATCTCCCAAACACATACTGCTGTAATTCAGTAAGGAGTGAATATTGCTGAGCAAAGCGTTAAAAAACAAACAAACAAAAAAACAAAACCATTTTGAAATTCAAAAGTATATCTAGCCCAAGATATTTAGGTATACAAGTGTTCACCTTGGGACCGATTCTAAGGCTTAAGATAGTGATATGTATATTTACCTTGAATTCGAGATAAGCGGTCAGATTTATATGTATTTATATAGTGAGGCTGATGGGATAGGTTCGACATAACGTATCTTGAGATAACTGGGTCCGACTGTAGTTAGCTTCTATGAATACGGGGAAAACAATTAAGGATATGATTAACCAATAAAGTGTAGCACTAAATAGCTGCAAGATTGCTGATGCAGTGTAAAGCAATAATTACAAACTTACTCAACCAACCAATAGTGTGGCATTATAAATGACATGTACCTACAGGGAACTTTGAATACACTGAATGTCAGTACTATAACCTGGCTGAAAACTAAATCACATATATCATTACGCTATCCTTATGCGATGACGCATGATGTTTGTTCTCACACTCCAATCCAAGGTCACATGTACATGGATCACACTCTCCATGCCAGTCCATGAATTCGGTTCCACATAAAAAAGAACAGGTCTTACACCCAGAATGAGCCCAAATATAATCCTAAATATGGTCACTACACGCTAGATTGTGCATTCCAAGGAGTGCTCACTTGTACGCATGCCCAGCTCCACAACAAACGATGACGTCAGACCATCCCTTGTATGCACATGTGTCGACCACAAAGTGTCTGTCTGGAGGCATGGTGTAGAGGCAGGTCTTGGTCTGAAGGATTGGTCCCAAGAACTGTAAACACCAAGTACAAATCATCATGTAAACTAGCATACAGGCGTTCAACCACAAACTGAAGACATGCAATTAGACAATCAACATGAAAACGACGAAGTTGTATACACTTAATTGTCCCTGTGCAAAGGGTCAACCTCGGGATATCAAGTCTTCGAGATACAGGGACGATGACTAATTTGAAGATATCAATAATATATTCCAAGGTTTGAAGGAATCTGAATCAATCGTTTGAATGCCAGAATCATAGTTGTATACAGTACCGAAAAGACTCGACATATCATCAGATAAGTATCTCGGAATACATATTCAGTATTTTCTTCTCAGGACCAAAAAAAAGTTTATGCCATCTGAGTAACAACGGGGTACTTGGACGATATCTTTTAACAACCTAACAACCTATTATATATACCTATTGGTATTCAAACAAACCATGACTGCTCCCAGTGAAGATCTGGGGTTAGAACTGGCCTACAGCAACCTATGCTTGCCGTAATAGGCGGGATCGGGTGATCAGACTCGCTGACTTTGTTGATGCATGTCATCGTATCCCAATTGCGTAGATCGATGCTCATGACCTCAGACACAGGATTGTCTGGTCCAGACTCGATTATCATGACCGTCATCATATAACGGGAATATTGCTGAGTGCGGCGTTAAACAACAAACAAACACACGACAAAAATCATGACTACGACTGACTGATCACCTGCCCCTCGTACATAACTGATTCACTTTGAAAGTTTATCCTTAAAGAGGGATTTTGGGGTTTTAATTAAGCATAATCTCTTTAACAAACAAGTGATATGTATAACTTAATTCATATTCTCGAAGCTCCTCAGATATCATGTTTTCATACATACATGTATATGGTGACTTTATATGCCGAATGTATACGTGGCGGAAACTGTGATATCCGATATCGTATACAGTGAACGTTTCATCTCCCGAGCAACCTGTTCTGTATTAATGTACTTAGGTCTTGTGATTTTGATCTGGGGCGCGTGCCACAAAGCGAATTGTAATATTGCAAACTAACAAGCTCACAAACAAAAGATAGACAGAGCACCACAATCGCCTTGTGAATGGGACCCTAGCATGTTAATTTAATGACCATTCTAGGCTGTGGCATTTATCATCTGTTTATCACTGAAGTTAAGGTTATTGAACAGTGGGACATCTACCTCAGGACAAATCTCCTGCAGCAGCTCAGTACAGGTCCGCTCTTGAGCAGGATCTGGCTCAAAGGTCCTCGAGTCGGCCGTGACTACGTTGCCTCCAACGTCGACCCCGATCTTCGACCCTGTGTTGCCGTGAATTGGGAGGGCATAGATGCTGTAACGGGGGCAGTGAAAAATCCAGATCGGGAACCTATCATAGAAAAGTTTTGAGTGTTCCATCTTGTAGTCAAGTCTGGACATGATCAGGACTATGAGAAATTTGTCAGTTTTATTGGCGATGTCAAACATTCCTAAAACTTGCGTGTCTTGGGCACATGAGGTGACTGTTAATCGTTGCAAAGGTGTTTTAATGTAGAAAGTGAATCATTGGGATGGTCACATCATGTGCTCTTTTAGCCAGCTCTTTTATCAAGGGGGCTACTCTTATGGTAGGGATAACTGTCATCCTTATAATACTGGAACGAGCCGCCCAAACACACCATTTTGACTTTAGGCCATGCCATAGCGATTTGTAGTTGACGGGAAGAAGTGTGATTGCTACTACTTGTGATTCCCAACTCGGCCATAGTCCATCACCAACTTTTATCAAACCGGACATCTCTCTGGACATCAGAACATGTGTAACGAGGACATTTCAGTGATGTTCTGAAGATGACCTCAACTTTTGTGTAGAACAAGGCTATATTCAATGTTATTTGGCCACATAGGAAACGTGGCTGAACTTGACATTGAGCAACAATGAAGTTCTCGCAAACCGTTTGATTTATGGTATTAATATTCCATTTAACCTTATGTGAATATACTGTTATAAATGTAATCGACCTTAAGAGTTCATTTGTAATAATGTGTGCTGAATATCCTCAGTTGTACTTTTGATATGTGACAGTGATATTAACCCAGATCTCTGCTAAAAGCTCAGTCCATTGTACGATTCTGACTATATCATGAACATGTGTTTTTGAATCACTGTCATTGAGTGATGATACCCGGTGCTCGCAAAAAGCTGAGCGTGTCATGATCACCTGTGCCAAGTCAATTGTTCCCCTGAAAGAAAACCAACAAAACGGGAACATATGGTACAAGTCAAAACAGAATATAACATCAGACATAATTTTTGTCATTGATGCATCAAATTCATAATTGTTCTCCACATGTCCACCATAACACTTTTTGAAGGTTATACTTAGGGCTTGAATGTTGTAACCCTGATCAAACAACTTTTGAGTCAAAAGTGTTTTCTACAAAATATTTTTACGCTTTTATGCTTTATTCTAATCTTTACAGAAAGTCCATGTTCGATTGTACCCCAAAAGTTGTTAAATGTGACCACCAAAGCCTGGCGTTGCTGGAATATTGCTTGACAAAACGGAAAGTTGAAGTCATGTCTCATCCACAGACTTGTGGATAATCTGAATTTGTATGCACATTTTTAAATATGAAACATAGGCAGTTTCACTGGTTTCTCCTTTTTTTTTCTAGCGCAGGTGGGTAAATAATTGAAAGGGAATTAGCTATTTTACTTTATTGAACGATGTTAGATCACTGATATACTCCACATAACTCCAGACGGCTTTGATTTTGTCTTTGAAACGAGTTGTCTGCCTACTTTCGGGTGATCACGTTTCATTCCTAGTTTATAAGACTATAAAGAAAGAAATCCATAACTGTCCTTTACTCAAATCAGAACCTTGCATTCCTGTAATATTAAGAAGAGTATTCTTACCTCCCAAAGTGCTAAGGCTGACAATGATATCAGGGAGACCATCCAGCAAGTCATGTTCACTGTTTCTACTCACTTTTCCTTGGTGAACTCCTTCATGTGCGGCGTGGCGTAGTACGTCACCTGCTCCTGTGTGACGGTGACGGGGACGTGGACGCCGATTGTCCCCAGGACCGAGTTGAGCCACCCCCCTGCCGTCACCACCACCTTCCGGCACTCGAACACGCCCTTCGTTGTGTGAACCTAACAATGAATTGTTTAGTCAGAATCATAAAAAAAACCTCCTGCATGTTCTTGTTCAGTAAAGTAATTGTAGACTTTATCCAGCGATATCACTCAACATGCTATATGATAGACTTGTAATTTGTTTGTTTCGATGATTTTGTGTAATGTGTCTACAGTGATATATGCAAAGGCGTTTTAAGATACTTTAATAGTTGAAAAGTACATACAATGACATTGTAGTTTAGCTAGTCAAAATGTGAAATGACTTTTCCCTTCAATATGTAAAGTCCGTAAATCAATTTGTTATTAAGCATGTAAAGTGCATAAAATGACTTTGATGTAAGTGACGTAAAGTACGTACAATGACGTTGCCGTTGTTGGCCCTAGTGAGCCTGGTAGCGGGGCAGTTCTCCAGGACGGTAGCCCCGTTTCCCCGGGCCAGCTGAATGTGGACAGCGTTCCCCACAACAGCATCTACGAGGCCCGCCTGCTCCTGGTACAAGCCCACGATGTCTGGACCCACTGTGAACTGGGGGTAGCGGGCCATCAGTTGCAGGTTTGACAATCTGTCGTATCTGATGAGGAAATGAAATGTATATAATTCAGTTTGTGCACGGCGTACTTATGGGTATCGCTAGACGGCTCCCTTAAAAATAAATTTGAGACATAAGTGTTATCATGACATCCAATACACATAATAACTCACTTGATGTTGTTCCTGTCCATTGATTCAGCGAACTTCTCCATGATGTCCTCAGTCTGTCCCTTCCTGGCCAGGCGCAGACCCCCGGTCATCCATACAACCTGCAGGCCTGACTCGCGCTCAATCTGGCGCCAACTGCTCTTGGACAATACAAATATATTGTTGTTAAAGGTAGTCATCGAGTGCTCACCGTTTTAATAGAAGTGATAACTCATTGCTGTCCCTTTATTGCTAGGCATGTGTATTTGTGTTTTATTACCCACGTGGTGAAGATACAGGTGGTAAGATACTAAATTCGTACGTCACACGTGTGTCGTACGAGGTTGACCTTGTTTTATCCTTGTTGGTTGGATAACCGTGACCTCTGTCACACCGGGACTACTTTATTTCATTCATAAAAAATCGCGAGACGTCATTCATTTTGCAACTACAAGGCGGTGCTGTTATGTTTTCGAATACAACTGCAGACGCATGTTGTTAATGCGTATGCATAGGAATGTAAACAATGCCCATATTTGGCATATATCAATATTCATGCGCAACCAGATTTTGCAACCGGTTTCAGTTTGGTCTGTCAACGGACAAAAGTTGTTACGCATTTACACTTACATACATATTTAACGTGGGTAATAAATAAAATACCACACTCATTCTCGTTAGATACCATTTTTACGTAACTCGTGAACTTTCTATGGTATCTAACGAGAATGAGTGTAGTATTCTCTATATATGCAACTGTATAGTATATTTGTTAATTTGTCAACAGTGCTTGCTTATATGTTTATCATTGACTTTTATCGGACAACATTTTCTCCAGCGCATTTCAGTATTTCAGCATTACGTCTTACACTACCAACTGACGCCTGGGTTATATCGTTGATAGATCAGTTTGATCACTGAGAGTTTCACTGAAGGTTCATTGATCTAAACTGCCGGACAAAAGACAGTATATATCCAGCTTTGATGGCTTCTAAAATGAAACAAACAAGAGGATGTATTTGGTACAAGTGTCGTAGATGTGTTTTTTTAACTGAAGTTTGCAGTCTTTCAGCGACTGTATGCAGTACGGTAGCGATTTGTAATGATTTTGTCAAATCATATTTAAAGTGTGTACTTTCATTTGCCCGGCGTTTTTTTAAGTCTGTGACCTTCATCACTTTGTGTTTTCCTTCAACATGCTGTGATATAATGTGTATACTGTTCAAAGTTATGTTAAACTCACTCAACTCGCACGGACTTACGCCTTGAATGTGTCGGGGATGAGTCTGGTGTAGCGATCATCATCGTACGTCAGGCGGCTGAAACACAATAATTACCTCCCATTTTAAGTAGATACTTATTCATTTGTAATTCGTCAATGTATTTATGTCTGTCAATTGACGACGATATAACAAACAAAATCTGATCCGTTTAAGATACGTATTCGTATATCGTGTCAGAAAAAGTAATCTGGACACGTGGTCTAACCCTTTGAGCCCACCTCATGTTTTAATAAACGTAATGAAACTCATCCATAAAATTGTCTCATAGAACTTATTAAGAACAATTAGTAAGCTAGAACTGGGGATGAAAAGAAACGATACATCTCAGTTGTTTTTATCATATGTTTGATTTTCAATTGAAAGTATCATAAGTTAATCAGCCCTCAAAGGTTATTCAACATGGTTTTATTTAAAAAAATATAATTTGAAATATTACTTAAAAATTCGCATAATACTCAACTGCTTATGGGTATCTTAGACATCTTATCTTTGAAAATCAAAGAAAGTTTTTTCTGTACAAATTTGCAACATTTCAAATATGGTTGGGGTCATGTGGTTGCAAATTCATTTCTTACTCCAGTCTTCATTGAACCAATTTAGTTTTACACAAAATGGTCTAGTGATAGAGCGTCCGCCCGTATAGCAGCAAGTCCTGGGTTTGATTCCCGGCTGCGTCATGCCCAAAGACGTTTAAAGATGGTTGTAACCCTACCTGGGCGCCCTAGGTCCCTTAAAGCAGGTTTTATGAAATCGAGTATAAACAGCCAATCAAATCGCTGTTCACATGCGCCAGTGAACCATTTCTCAAACGTTAAGTGATTGTCATGTTACACCTAGTTCTTCTTTATGCTTATCAATTCATCACTATCACTCGACACTATTTTGTATTCGGTAATCATACATTATTTTTTGGAGAGTTTATGTAGGACTCAGATGTATGGTAGGCCGTCTCCACGGTGCTTTCTCAGATCTGTTTCAGGACTCCTGCTGCATGACGGATTCTCAGATGACAAATAAGTAGGGTAGCTTTGATTTCATGCCAGCAACATGACATCATGCGGATAGTAGACCCATGACTGAGTTCTACCGATATGTGTTTCATGTGTGTCAGTGTCACCATTACATAAACCCGCTGCTCCTTTACTTAGATTGAAAATAGAATTGTAAATGTATTTTTTTTTAAAATACAGGTACTCGGTCCAGCAGTGTATTGTCAAGTTATAGGAGCTCCAATAGACTTTATGCTAAGACCGCCTTGTGCAACTGGTCTCCGGGAAAGGAAGTGTGGTATGCATAATACCATTTGACGTTCAGCATGACGAATGCAATATCTTCTAAGTTATTGCTTATAGGCATAGTAGTAACTCATGATAACATTGTTGTGCAGAAGTACAATATCAACGTATATATTTTGTTTCGTGTAAATTTCACTTCTCCGTTGTAATAAACTTACATGATCCTTGATACGTCTTGTGAGCCTCCTCTTTCATGACCGAGGGAAAACTGCTCGAGACCAAGGACTGAAATATATGATACATGTACCAAACCGTAATATTTAAGTGCGTGAAGGATTTTATTTAATTCAATGTTGGTGGTCATTTTCAGCCGATTCATTTTCTTGCTGCTTTGGTTTTCGTTTTTTTCCATCGAACTTAATTAAATCTTTTTTTGCTGTCTATCCCAATGGAATTACGTTGTTGTAGTTTTGCTGTAATCACTGCTGTTCTACATTTGAATTAAATCTTAAATTTTGAGAAAAAAAAACAACCAAAACATATAGATGAAGAGCTCGTTACTTTATCTTCAGTCAGCGGATCATAGGTTTCTGGCACGCCTAAGTGATGCAAACCTGCTAACACAACAACTATTTAAATCATAATTTTGAACAATGTAAGAATAAATTTGGAGAGCTCTACATGTATGTCAAGTTACCAAATACTGGCATATTAAATATGGCGAACTAGTTAGACTAAATATTAAAAAAAAAAAAAAAAAACTCACCTGAGCTAGAACGCTTTGACAACCAGTATAGAGCTCCGCTGCCTATCCCTCCGCAGCCAATGACAATGTACTCAAAATACTGTCGCTTAGATGCAGCCATTGTGCAATATATACGAGACAAGTGGAGGAGAGCCTGTGTACACGCTGATCGTGATCGGACCCAACAGCTGCTCTCTTGTACTGTTGTAAGACTTCATGGAGCTGTCAATAACAAATAGGTCAAATGCTCCAAATAGGACAACTGAAGCTCTATGACTACCCATGCAAGTTACTGCATAATACTGTCGAGCGGAAAGCTGGCTTTGTGATTGGTAAATGTATTACTGATGCACTGAATATGCATGTCGTGTGGCGACATGTGAAAACAGATAGGTAACCCATACATCTGTTACAATTACCTGACCTTACCTGAATTTTGTCAGGATTTCTTTTGAAAGATCTAACACAAAATATATTTGACGTTTTGATATTGTACGTTTGTTGCACATTCTGAATTTGATTTTTGAGTACTTCGCCGTGTGGTACCACGTTTTACAGTAAAATTTTACTTGTTACCTCAGTGATTATATTTTAGGCTTATCGAAAGAGGCATTTTGCAGGCTTCTTAGTATGTTGTGTAAAGTATTTGTGTTGTATTCAAACTTGTTTTCTTGTACTCAATAATAATAGTAACAATAATAATAAGAAGAAGAATAAGAAGAATAACAATAATTCCATTTCTATTAGAAGAGGAATATTTCAGGGCGATTCTTTTAGTCATTTGCTTTTCTGTTTATCACTGAATCCTTTCAGCTTTTTGCTCAGCAAAGAGGAAGGTTATCACCCGGGACCTCCTCATCACAGATCCCCAACACCCCTTTACAAGGATGACCTTCAACTTATTGCCAATGGAAGATCTGCACTAAAAAAACAGATTCTGCTTGTCGAGTCCTTTTCTAATTATATCGGCATGTCCTTTTGACTCGACAAATGCAACATTCTTGATTTGCAACGTGGCAAGGTAGAAGAGGGAGGATCAGTCACTTTGCTTTGGGTAGGAGTTATTGACCATCTCCTGGAAGGTCAGGCCAAAACGTACTTAGGGATGCAGATCAGGGACAAACTCCATAATGATCATATCAACGGAAACTTCGGGCGGAGTACAAATGTAGACTTCTGGAGTTCAGAGCTGAACGCTCGCAATAAAGTCAAAGCAACAAATACTTATGCCGTGTCCACCCTTTCGTATTCCCTTGGTGTTGTTGATTGGACGAAACAAGAAATTCAGTGTTTTGACACCCTCACACGAAGAATCATGTCAGACAATAGATCCCACCAACCTCGCTCTTCCCTCAATCGCTTAATTTTACTAATTATGATGGGAGGGCGTGGTTTGATAAATGTGGAGGCTCTTCATGATAGAATTGTTTTGTGCACTTTTGTACACATTTATTTGTCTGATGATCCTCTTGTGAAGCATGTCAACACTCATGATGAAAACAAGGCATTCCTCATTTTTCTAAAACGAGCCAAGGATGTGAGACAAGCGAAGTGCCATATCAAATCGGCCCAGACTCAAGGCTATCTGAACGACCACATCGAGTTTATGTGCAGTGTGTTGAGAAGGTAAGCAACCCTGCAGAGTCCTTCGCTTGGATGATGTTGGCTTGCCTGAAAAGGGAAACAGGAGGCTTTCTGTTTGCTGCTCAGGACCAGTCACTTCCCACTCGAAACCGTCAATGTGTGATTTTGCATTAAAATGTAAATATGAAATGTAGATTATGTGTCCAACACATTGTCAGTGGATGCCAAGTTTGGGCACAAACACAGTATCTTAAGTGACATGATGGAGTGGCTCGATCATTTTATTACCGTCTACTAAAGAAACGACCAACCGCTGTCTTTCTAACGAATCGTGTCTCATAACCCTGCCAGAATCCTATGGAGGTGAACAATTTCATGATCACGATGAATCTGACAGGACGTATCGAGCTGTGCATCTATTATATATGTTAATGTGTTTCAACGCATGATCAGATTGAATGAAGTTGTGCACATCAAAGCAGACTTTTATAGAGAAATGTATAGTGTATGGTTGAGATTAAAGGTAGTCTGTGGTTTATGATTATAATGAGGTTTTGCATGAGTTTGCGATGTGTGCATGCCCATGGCTTTACGTCGGTCAAGGACACTTTCAGCTCCCTGGGAGTTACGTACACTTCAAAAGCTCAGATGGAATATTAGCTATATATACCAAAATTAAGGTTAGCCCTACTGTTTTTATTAACTAACATATATATCTTTTAGCTATCTACATGACGTTGATCTCATTTTAATAAATTAGACATTAAATTGGACAAATATCCACATGTTGATAAGTTCGTTTGTTTTACCCAGTGGTTGGACGTACCAAGTCACGTCATATGATGCAAAGAAGCAGACAAAGCAATTAAATGGCAGACAAATATGTATGTCATGGTATTCGAACAGTCACAAGATCTAGGTGTCTTTATTTCAATATAAGCCCTATCACTTTGTAAACAAAACAGTGCTTCATCACAAAAAGAACACAGAATACAACTTGTTGAAATATGGAAATATATAACAAGTGTTACTTAACTGTTGTACATACGACCGACAATTTGGCTAGGGGGGTGGGGGGGTGGGGAGGGGTTTGGGGCTGCTGGGATTTTGTATCGAGATTAGATATTTTCTCCAGCTACAGCTACAAAACCAGATATTTTTTTTACTTCCACACAACAATGTCATTTTGGTGGCAGGTAATTTCTCCTTCTTTTTTTTCAAGAATATTCGTACCCAATTTTTTCTTTTTCGATAAAATCCCCAAACAAAGTTGCCAAACAGTTCAAACAAAACACAATATCAAGGTCATGAAAGGGTCTACGGGCGTTCAGAAGAATGTTTTAGCTTCATTTTCTTCGAGATAATTTTCTTTGTGCAAATGCAGAGACGTAACTTTTACGTTGCAGGAGGACAGCGCCCGGCAGACGTCTGGTGTCTTCAATGCGCCGCCGTTGTCTCACCTGAATCAATGCAAATGGTATTCACATTGTTAGTTTGAGTCGTTACACCACAACTCTTTCAGGGCATGTCGCTCTGTCTCCTGATACCAGGTATGGGTTTTGTCAGTGAATATGTTATGTTAAAGCATTGATGAGACGAACGACCAAATTTTACGTTGTTATTTTCAATGACATAACACCACTTTATATGAAGCACGGTTACTTTCCCCCGTCGCTATGGCCTTTTTAAATTTAGGTTTCCTTGGCTAGATACTGCGTTTAATACTTTTTACTCCATTTGGTTGTGACGTTTTAAACCGCTGTCTGCTCAATTAAGGCTACTGAAACGAGGGCACTGTTGATGTTCATAGATTAGCCGTCTCGATTAGACGGGGTCTCGGGCCACATGAGAAAGCTAGGGTCAGAGCTAGAAAGTCTGACGGGCTGGTTATTGTAGAACTAGTGCCGTGTAGTTAAGGTATTTGTATCACTGTGCTGCTACACACAGAGCTGCGGGCTGTTCCACTGTATTTAGAATATCGATAGAGGTAAATGGTTTTCTTTTTCTGCACTTATTTGCTTCAGTGAATTCTTCAGCCATTATGTCAACCGAGTTTATTTTCAGGTATACAGGTTTTTCTAATATGACAGTTCATGAATTGACATACACATATCCTTGAAAACATAATTCATGTAATTACTTGTAAAATCCTTTTGAATATGCTTGTTGACAATAATACCGCGTTTAAACTAACTGCAAGAAGCCCCACACTGCAATGCATTTCATCACTGCCGACATCTTCTTCATTAACCCTTGAAGATTTGAGAAACGTCACAAGGTGGCCAATGCATATGGATAGGGGAATTCATGGTAACATAAATGATCATACACTGGGTAATCATTTGGTCACTCGTTTAATAACACAACAAATCCTGTATGTATGTTTCTTTTCAACATTGGCATGTTTTCTTACATTCGTAAATGTAGGTGTACAAACATACGAAATATTCAGCACTTCATATTCAATATATGAAACCCGATGCACATTTTAAAAAGAAACCTTTTTCAACAGCATATTTCAAAACAACTAGCATTTCCAGTGAAGAAAGTATTGTTAAAAACATAGGACAATTTGCTTTGTCTTGCACTATTAGAGAAGAGAATATCATTTTTACGGTCCTTGCTATGTGTTGCATGCCATTTGTCATGTAATAAGGGCACAGATTGTTGTCCAAGCGAAATACCCGAACTCATAAAGAAGGACTACTCTCAAGCAAATTACCAGTCTGATTAACGTCTCTCAACACTGCTTTGTCACACATATCAGGAGTATCAAATATGTGTCATTGTAAGAGAATGTCTCAGTTCCACAGATGGCACGGATCACAGTGTTTGAAGGTGGGCTTCCTGGTGAATGGATTATACATGTAAACAGCTGATTCAGTGAATAATGTAAATGACATGAGTAACAAACATTCTTTAATTATATTAATTAAACCCGCAAATAAACAATTTCAAGTGAAAACTCATTCAATTAAAAAGCAGATCGGTCAAAGACCGGAACTGATCAGATGGTTCAAAAGCCAGTTCACTACATTTGTCATGTACAAAGTCTAACAGTGCCTGCTGAAGTGATCCATAAAATATGCTAGGACCCTGCACTTCTTACATCTGGTGGGTGACATCATCTCTCCCCCATGAAATAAATCTTTTCTTCCTTTCAAATAGGCCTTATGTTATATTATAAAAGTTAAATCAAAACGCCAGTGATTTAAATCGTAATTGATTCTAGAAATCCAGAAGGTGTTTGGGAGTATGCCTCACAACCCAAGGAATTATGTTTTTTTGGACAATGGCAGCAGCTAGTAAATTACGGTTATAACGAACTAAAAGATACTACTAATTATAGTTCGTTATAACCGTATATCGTTATAAGCATATTTACAGCATAACTACAGCAAATAGTCGGGACTAAAAAGTTAGTTCGTTATATCCGTCAGTTCGTTATAAGCGTGTTCGTTATAACCGTAGTTTACTGAAGTATGTTTTAACTGTTTCCTCATACCTCATTGATCGAGGCACTGATTAATCCAGATTGGAGTAGGTGGCGAGAAGTGCGCATCCCCACTTCAAAAACGTGCCAATATGTGTCTCTCTATCATTTGTTTACTACGTAGTGTGTTCCTGTCATTGGATAGTGACAGCAACACTCTCGATACATTTATACACTGCAATCTCAGCAACATTAGACAATAATACTTCAGACTCACCAAAAACGCAATTTTAGTATTATCGGTTTTTATTCGGTCGCTTAACTATCTACTTTTGGCCTGACTCTAAAACCTGGAGACATGCCCATTCTTCTTTGGTATTGGGTTCTAAAGCCCCATACAAATGTATACAAAGAGATATGTTGATAGGGCCAGATCATCTACCACCTAAGTCCTGTCTCAAAGATTAACCATAATCCTAAACCAAATCAAGGTAAGACATTCCTTATTTTCATCGAAAGTATCAAAATTTCAAAATCATTTGCTTGAATGTTTGCAAAGTCAGTAAAGGACCAAATGAAATCATGTCAAAGCAATTGATATTTCAGTTATGTACATCGTACTTGAGGAAAACCTTAATCCCTTGATCCATTGGGTTTTGCTACTTACATTTCTGTGTTCAAAGGTTCAGAACAATATGTCAATAATGAAAGGAAATGTCATCTGAAGTCTATCGAGAAAATAACATTGAATTTCTGGACTTCCTCTTCAAGAGAAATATGGGGATAGGGCATTTGGGCAAGAGGTAGGCATCGCCATGGACACAACTTGTGTTCCTCTCATTGTTTATATATGTCTTTATGTACGGATTGGCAAAATCAAAACAAGGGAACTGGGCCGAGAAATTTAGTAACAAGCTTCAGGTACATCTGATATCGTTCAATAATGGTCAAATAGCCAATACATTACCTTCCGTGGTTTTCCCACATGGGGTAGAAATAAAAGAGACCAGTGATACCGCCTCGTATGAGCGAAACAAAGTTATCCACAAGTCTGTATGCCAAGAGTGATGATAGAGTAATCTAAGTTTATAGGCCAACAGGGTCAAAATAAAAATCCGAATACCCCGACTACAGACACACACCAAATTGTACGTAGATACATGAATAATAGTTCCCAAAATGTGAGTTTCAGTATGTTGCAACGTGTTTTAGATTTGATTCCACACAAAACAAGTTCCGATTTTTCAGAATTTATTACTACTGCAGATAAATTAGGCATTATACATTTGCTTGAAAATGTGACATGTTCATATCACGAACAAGTAGTAAATTCAACATTTCCGTTATTGAGTCAAGGTTGCGTTCTAAAAAATATAATGTAAACGCTATGTATTATCAATAAATGAAGGGAAGTTTTGTGGAACGGAGCCCAATTACATGGTTGTGGTAACTATTCCTGTTCGGTAAAGTCTGGTGGGTTATGACCGGGATATGAGCAGCCTTCTGTCTATAGTTTCGCCTCTGTGCCACGTCCCAGGAAAAACGTTAGTTTGAAAGTGGGATCCTGAATCGCGTCTCTGGTGATGTTGAATTGACTGATGTCGTACTGGGTACGGCCGTCAACGGCGAGGTCGCTCAGGACTTTTCCAAGCAGACTTGCAAATCTGAAGTATGAACAACCACAGAAGTAATGGGGAAAGATAAACGAGGGGAACGTAACTGATCTGTCATTGCGAATTTGTCCAATCGGATCTCGTGATGCATATCATTTCTTGTATACTTGTGAATGCTATATATATGATAATGCAAGTCTGCTTGATCTCCCTAACGCCTACTGCTGTAGATCATTTATAAGTAAATTCAAAACCTAATTGCAATATTGCTGAATGCGTTAAACAACAACAACAACAACAACAACAACAACAATGTATGAATTTCTCTTGAGACCGATTCCAAGGTATACGTACGAGTGAGCCCTAGCTATTCGTTTCTTGAATTCGAGATAAGCTGTTAAATTTATGAGCGCATACACACACGCACACGCGTAAATATACATGCAAATAGCTGCAAGAGTGCTGATGCAGCGTTAATTACAATAACCTCTATTGTAGCATTGCAAATGGCGTGTGCCAACAAGGAAGTATGAATACAAAAAATGCAGTACTATAACCTGTCTGAAAACTAAATCACATATATCATCACGTTTATCACATATTGGATGGCTATTGATTGATGCATGTTTTCACACTCCAATCAAAGTTCACATAATTATACATGGATCACACTTGCTCTTCTAGTCTATGAAGTTGGTTACAAATCAAACAGAACAGGTCTTACACCCAGAGAGTGCGTGAATATAAGTCGGTTACTACACGCTAGATGATGCATTTCAAGGAGTGCTCACTTGTACGCATGTCCAGCTCCACAACAAACGATGACGTCAGACCAGCCTTTGTATGCGCATGTGTCGACCACGAAGTGTCTGTCTGGAGTCATGGCATACAGACAGGTCTTGGTCTGAAGGATTGGTCCCAAGAACTGTAAACACCAAGAACAAATCAGCATGAAAACTATTATACAGGCGTATCACTACCAACTGAAGAACCCGTGAAGATCCGGGGTAGAATAGGCCTTCAGCAACCCATGCTTGTCATAAAAGGCGACTATGCTTGTCGTAGAAGGCGACTAACGGGATCGGGTGGTCAGGCTCGCAGACTTGGTTGATGCATGTCACCGTATCCCAATTGCGTGGATAGATGCTCATATTGTCAATCACTGGATTGTCTGGTCCAGACTCGATTATTTACAGACCGCCGTCATATAGCTGGAATACTGCTGAGTGCGGCGTTAAACAACAAACAAACAACACACAACAACAACAACAACAACAACAAACCATGAGTGTGTGTTTGTTTTGTTTTTAAGGCATAATCTCTTTAACGACCACTATAAACATTAATTCATATTCTTCTCAAACATATAATGCGCCTTTCCTCGAAGCTCTACGGATATTCTATATACAGAGATGGTTACCTTTTATGCCGAATATTACATGGCGGTAACTGAGTTTGTGAAATCAGATATCGTATCATCTCCAAATGTAAATGTAGGTTAAGTCAATTGTACTTGGAGCGCGTTCCACAAATCAATCTTTCTGCTGACACGGACATACTTGCCGGCCGGAAATGTTATGATAGTTGTACTGCTAAGAGAACTTGAAACTTGAAGTAAAAACACCGAGATGACGCAGTGCACGTGGGGTTCATCAATTCGAGCATTCATCAATGTGCAGTAATGACTGCAAACCTTCCACCCTGCTGCATGACCGATGTTTCAGGTCCGCGGTTCAGTGTCAGTTAGGGACGTTCGTTTAGCAGTAGCGCTGCAGCTGGACCCGTTTCATTAACGATTTTTGTATTGATGTTTTAGTCAGTAGTAAATGTCATTTGTTGTCCTTTCCGATTGTTGCAACATAACTGCTGAACCCATTTAATAAAGCGATCGGACCGCTGTTAGAAGATACACGACTTACGTTGCACTGCAATTACCTTGTCCCTAGCATGGAAACTAAATGACAAGTTTCAGGCTGTTACATTTGGGGAATGTTTGTGTGTGTGGTTTATCATTAGTTTGTCACTGATGTTAAGGTTATTGTACAGTGGGACATCTACCTTCGGACAAATCTCCTGCAGCAGCTCAGTGCAGGTTCGCTCTCGAACAGGATCCGGCTCAAAGGTCCTCGTGTCGGCGGTAACCACGTTGCTTCCAGCGTCGACCCCGATCTTCGACCCCGTGTTGCCGTGGATGGGGAGGGCGTAGATGTCGTAACGGGGGCAGTGAAAAAGCCAGATCGGGTGCCTATCACAGAACGATTTAATTCCAAATACGTTTTGCGAATATACCTTAACATAGACATGCAACAACTGCAGCGCAGAGAGCGATTATAAGTTACGTTTGTGTATAGTTTACATTGGTTGGTGGAACGAAACACATTAAGGTTTGGTGTTATTATTATAATTATTTATTATTATTTATGATGATAATTTCCTGTAACATCATCGACATAGATTAAAGTTAATAAAAGTTTTCGTTGTCATGCTACAGGTGTACTGTAATGAGAAAAGGTATGGTTGTATGGTGTGCAACATCGTGCAATGAATAACTGTGGGCATTTTGGAGAGTTGGAATTAGCGGTGGAAAGTAAACACTATGCTGAGTATGCATCACTGTTCAGAAACCCAATGTACATCATCTATTATTTTCGAAGATTTCAGATATTTGTATAATGATTTCCAATTATCCTTTTTTGCAGGTTCAACTTTGATGTTGCCTCTGGTGTTTTCTTTCATATACCGTTTAAGAATCTTTGTAGGGCAAATATCATGATCATATTCCTTCTCTGGCAGGTCTTCACTGCTGCTACCCTCAATACGGTTCATTAACTTTCTGAATATATTACCTGACCCTCGGTGCAAAATCCCAAATGTGCGCATTGCAGACCGTTATTATTCCCCGCCACAAAGTGGGGAGGAGAATAAATGAATGGTGTCCCTTCGTCCGTCCTTCCGTCCGCTTCTCAATTGGGACATATTTCTCAAACAGTATTTAAGTAGGAGAAATGACATTTTTCACACTGATGTTACTCGTCGCGATCTCAAATGAGTTCAAAATTTGGTGTTTTAAATTATTTTTTACGGAGTTATGGCCCTTGCTCCATGCTTTTCAACTTAGTGCACACAACATGGAAGGAAACGACTGATGAAACTAACCACTGAAGTTACAAGAATGAAAATGTGCATGCTTAGCAAAGATATACTTATCGACATTGGGGACGAAAATCGGTGCCATACATGTTTTGTTTGCCTGAGCTACCTCCCTTGATAAATGTTTGAAGATCTTGAGCATGCACAGTTACGGCCCTTGATTCATGTTATTTTACATAGTGCATAGTGTCTGCAATGGGGACACGTTTTCCCCAGTAACTATTGAAGTTTCATGAATGAAACTGTGCAAGCTAATCTAAGAGATGCTTCACGAGATGGAGTTCGAAAATTGGTGCCTTTTGTGAATGTTTGTTTCACATTTGATAATTTTTCTGATGACATAAAGCGACACAAGTGCATATCTCTTCTTAAGGCTATATGAGAGGTTTTATCATATTTAACAATAACTTCCATAGTATTTTCTGCTACATGAACACACAATATTCGTGTGTGCCCAATGGCAGGGGGCAGTGCTATAACTGTTTTCTTGTTGACTCTGCTATTTCGGCCACGGCTGTCTTACTTTGAGAATGAAGCGGTTTTGGAGACATGCCTTGGAAATGACAGAAAGTATTATTTTAAATAAGTAATGGTTTGGGGTTTTTTGTCCTGGAAAATTGTAAATGTGCAGTCTCTTCTGAGTGATTTCATGTTCTGCCATTTTTGGCAAAAATTCGTCGTGCGCTTGTTTTTGTCGTTTTTCAGGAGGTTTCGGTCTCAGGTCTTTTGCCCCTCACCACTCTTCCCCTCGGATTTTTTATCCAAAGCATAATCTCGAAGACGTGTTTTATACTCCACATAACTGCCGACAGATTTGATTTTGTCTTTGAAATACGACCATACGGATACGAATGGTATGCCTACATTTGGGCGATAGTGATTCATTCATAATTTTTATTACAATAATGTAAAACATCCAAAACGGTTTGTTACTGAAATCAGAGCTTCTGTTTTGTGCAATATTAGGAAGTGTAGTATTACCTCTCGAAGTGCTAAGGTTGACAATGATAGCAGGGAGTCATGTTCAGTGTTTCTACTCACTTTTCCTTGGTGAACTCCTTCATGTGCGGCGTGGCGTAGTACGTCACCTGCTCCTGTGTGACGGTGACGGGGACGTGGACGCCGATTGTCCCCAGGATCGTGTTGAGCCACCCCCCTGCCGTCACCACCACCTTCCGGCACTCGAATACGCCCTTCGTTGTGTGAACCTGACAACGAAATGTTAAGTCAGAATACACAAACACTAAATCCTGGATTTTCTTGATCAACATAGACATGGCAAACTTAATCCAGTGATAACTTTCAACATGTATGTAAGATAAAGAGTTGAAATTTGTTTGTTTCGATGCTTTAGTATAATGTGTCATAAATTGACATATGAAGATTGAAGATGATATGAAAGTCCACTTGGACGTCAGTCACGGTTCGCCTGTGTAGATAGTTTCTCGTATACTTCAAGGTAAGTTGAAACGTACATGCAATCTCATTGGAGTTGAGCAAGTTCAGAAGGTGAAACGACTTTTCGGCTCATCATAATGAAGTTGATGTTGGGTATGTAAATTACGTACAATGACGTTGCCGTTGTTGGCCCTAGTGAGCCTGGTAGCGGGGCAGTTCTCCAGGACTGTAGCCCCGTTTCCCCGGGCCAGCTGGATGTGGACAGCGTTCCCCACAGCGGCATCTACGAGGCCTGCCTGCTCCTGGTACAAGCCCACGATGTCTGGACCCACAGTGAACTGGGGGTAGCGGGCCATCAGTTGCAGGTTTGACAACCTGTCGTATCTGATGAGGAAATGAAATGTATATAATTCAGTTTGTGCACGGCGTACTTATGGGAATCGCTAGATTGCTCTATTTAAAAGAACTAGAAAAAAATCGGAATAAAATCAAAAATAAATTTGAGATATAAGTGTTATCATGACATCCACTACACATAATAACTCACTTGATGTTGTTCCTGTCCATTGCTGCAGCGTACTTCTCCATGACGAACTCGCTTTGTCCCTTCCTGGCCAGCTGCAAACCCCCGGTCATCCATACAATCTGCTGGCCTGACTCACGCTCTATCTGGTCCCAACTGTACTTGGACAATACAAATGTATTGTTGTTAAAAGTAGTCACCGAGTGCTCATTCCAGGTCCTGTCTAATCCTAAAACGTGGCTAACATATTTGCACTAATTATGTCGTACATTTAAAAGAGAAGTTATAAGTCGTTGGTGTCTTTATACACTTAGGGATGTGTATCTCTGTATATATAACATATGCTGAAGAAGAAAAGGCCATGTATATCTTGGTTGTTTTTTTAATTTTGTGCTCAGATTTCACAAAATATTCATGATCCCTTACGGTTTTTTCAGTATATGTACGGTATATTTATTAATTGTTCAACAGTGCTTGCGTGTATGTGTATCACTGACTTAAATTAATTATGTACGTTTTGCCTAAAGCATTTCAATATTCAGCATTACTTCTTGCAGAGGCAACTGACGCCTTGTTCATTAAACTGATCTAAACTGCTGGGCAAAAAAACCCATACACTGATGTTTGATGGTTGCTAAAATGAAACAAACAAGGGGATGTATTCGATACGGGGACATAGTTGTGTTTGTGGACCTTAATTTTGCAGTCTTTCAGTGACTGTTTTCAGCCTAGTAACGTCTTGATAACGTTTGTAGTTATTTGATCAAATCCAAATTTAAAGTGTACACGTCTTTTACCCGATAGTTTATAAACTCTGCGACCTTCATCACATTGGGCTTTCCTTCAACACGCCGTGATATAACCAGAATACTGTTCTCACTCACTCAACACACTCTCACTTACGCCTTGAAGGTGTCGGGTGTGAGTCTAGTGTAGCGGTCATCATGGTACGTCAGGCGGCTGTAACACAATAGTAACCTGTATATATATTATATAGGTTCCTAACACCTCGCACTTGAAGTGGCTACTTATTCATTCGCAATTTCGTCAGCGTATACTTGTATGTCCAGTCGACGACGTAAAGATATGTACGCGCATACAATGTCAGAAAACACTTCAACATATGCAATTACACACGCTGTCTAGCCCTTGGAGCCCGACTTGTATGATAAGAAACTCATGTAACTTCAATAGGAACAATTAGTCTATTTGGTCGAGGATTCCTATAGAATATGACTTTTTAGCAAGACTTCATTCAGTGGCATTTAGAAGTTGGTGTGATGACAAAAGACAAGTTCTTCTTTATTACAATTTGTGCGACGTTTCTGTGTAGATCCTAACACCTTTATCAAGTAAGCAAGCAATTTTCAAGAATTTGTCTTTCTTTTTAGTAAGAATCATAAACACTGAGGAGCAAGAGAAGCTATACATAGTAGTTGGTTTTATCACGTTTGATTTTCAATTAAAAAAGCACATACATCAGCGATATTATATATAAATAAAAGAACTGTAATGGCGCTTAGTCAGAACTCAATGAATACTTCTACATGGTTTTATTTTTTGAATGGGTATATCGTACTTATCGCTGCTCGTTTTAAGCTCGTATTTCGTAATGACTGAGATAGATATTTTCATCAATTTAAGTTTTTGTCTGACCTCAAGCGATTATATTTTGCACCAACATTGCTCTGTTAAATGAGAGACAGTTTATCTGTGTGTATACTGATGGAAACAAATAAGAGAACAATGAAAACTATCAGGAAATAAGCTTTACTGTCAGTACGTTTTAAATTCAACAAATGTCAGAATTAAATGTGAAGATGTGTTGGTGTGCATTGTTTCCAACGCGTATTTGGTAGACAGGGCTGGGAACCCATGATAGCATATCATGTTACTGTGTCCAAAATTGAGTGTTTCCTTATTCATTTCCGCCAGTATATAAATGGTTGGGTAATCAGGTTGTTTTCTTTTGCTAACCGACCAAGGAGGACAAGAGGGTGGTTATCAAGAGGTTGGTTATCATATAACTACCTGGTTGTTATATTAACCAGAAAACCCATACACAGGCTTCACTATGATCTTGGTGGATATTCAGTGCCGTCAAATTTGCGAACCTCACAGACACATTTAGATAACAGATAGCCAATATAACCGTTGGACTTTTGGTTTTTCGATTATTTTCTCCATCACTAATATGTCAACTTCCTGCGGAGCAACAATCATATTGAACATGTCATCTGCTCAGATATCGAGAACACGGGCGTGCACGGGAAATTTTAGCATTATATAAAAAACTGTTGCGCTTAAGCGACGTGAAAACGGTGTATAGAACCATGGTTAAGGTGATTGTGACAGTGATTCAATTAGTTTTCACACTTAGAATTTATGATAAAATTTCCTGATACGACTCCTTACATATGATGAAATAATTTTTCCACTGATACATATACTTACACCACATAGTACATATGAAATATAACCTCGACCTCTAACTCGACCTCGCAAGCGCTCGACAATTTATCACAGCTATATGTAATTATCCCTCAGTCATCGGTCATTATTTCCCTCTTAACTGAGATCGTTCGTCACTGACAATACTGACTTCTGACTCAATGTGTCGCAGTTAGAAATTGAAAACTTTCATGTGTGGAAATATGTTGGAGTAATGCACCGTCACAACGTTAAAACAGTCACCGCCAGGTGGCCGATATATTATACAAGGGTCATTATAAATTTTCTTGTAACCATTGGTCCAGTATATTGTCAATCTAGCAGGGTACATACGATGAAACGCCACATAAACATAGTGTCTATTTAAAACGAGTTAAGGAATGTTTAATGAATTTTCTTCTAAACTGTTTTTTAGGGGCATGTTGATGTCGTTATTTCACTGGTTTCAAACTATACTAGACACCATGCCAGGTACTGTATCAAGTGGCACTGTGATCACCATAACGCAGCAATAAGCAAAACGCGTACGGTGTTAATGTCATACGTTAATTTATTTCATAACATAGTACACGTCAAAGCCAGAGAGTAACCAGTCTCGATTATCTGTCGATTAAACTGTATGCTATAATTCTTAACAGTCGTCTTACTACCTGGGCTAATGTTTTTGACAAAATCCCACCAACTCAAGCTGGCTTTAGAAAATCATATTCACCTGCTGATAATATTTTCTCACTTTATGCTATTGTTCAGAGATATCTCGGATGCCGAAAACGAAAACTCTATATTGCGTTTGTAGATTTTAAAAAAGCTTTCGACACTGTTGACCGATGTAAACTTTGGGATTGTCTTAGGGCAGCTGGTGTTGGTGGGAAAATGTTTACTATTTTAAAATCAATGTATGAAAATGTAAAATCTTGTGTACGACATAATAGTGGAGTCACCGATTATTTTGACTGCCCCATGGGAGTTAAACAAGGTTGTATCTTGAGTCCTCTCCTATTTTCATTCTTCATTAATGAGCTTTCCTTCGATGTTCAACAAAACGGTAAACACGGAGTGCAATTATACCCTGACCTTTATGAATTACTTATATTACTTTTTGCCGATGACGTGATTCTAGTCTCTGACTCTATTATCGGACTCCAGAAACAAATTGATATACTATACAGTTACACTGTTACATGGAAGCTATCTGTTAACTTGGAAAAAACTAATATTATCGTATTTAGGAGAGGCGGTCCTCTTGCATCGAGAGATAAATGGTTCTTCAATAACCACCCTATAAATGTTACAAACATGTATAAATACCTCGGTGTTGTTTTACCGTTTAACCTTAATCTTAAACATCTAGTTAACGATCTCGCCCTACGAGCCAAAAAGGCCCTAATGCTACGAAATGCTTGTCTATCGTGATAGTGTTGGTTACGTAACCTGGGCATCAAACATTAAGCATTTACTCTTCTCTCACGGATTTGGATATGTTTGGCTAAATCAAAGCGTTGGAGACAAAATGTATTTTCTTAGCTCTTTTAAGCAGGTAGCAATTGATATGTTTACTCAAAACTGGAGGTCGTCACTAGATAACAGTACACGCTACGACGTCTATAATACATATAAATATTGTCTAACACCAGAGGTTTACCTGCATACTATAACAGAGAGAAAAATTAGAGACACATTTATTAAACTTAGGCTAGGGTTAAATGATTTGATGTACAACAGGGTTTGCTTCTCCTCTATTCCTAAGGATATGCGTTTTTGTCCATTCTGCGAAAACCATATTGAAAACGAATTACACTTTTTGTTTATATGTCCAATTTACGACAACCTAAGATTGAAATATATGCCTGATATCACTAAGAACCACTATTCCATGAACAAAATACTATCTTTTAATGGTATCCCTAGTCAAAAATTAACTAAGATATTACAATACATCTATCAAAGTCTACGAGTGCGTAGTAAATTACTTAGTGAATCCGATATGTCCAGAAAAAAATAGTTGTTTTGAAACTTTCGCATCTAGATCAGGAGTATCTACATTTCATTTTTGTCTGTTTGTTTCTACTAGAAATGCATATACATTTAAATTGTCAAATTGTCATGACATGATGAGTATATTACTGATAGATTATTTTGTATTGAACGTCGTGCTATGCTATTCCATTCCTTTTGTATTTTATACTACTACTGCCACTGTGGTTATTACCACTGTTATTACAATACCTCATATTAGTTATCCAATAATTATATAATGCGCTGTACAGCTGTAAATGATATTGTTTATCTGTATGTGTATATGGGCCAATGGCCTTTCATACAATAAAGATTGATTGATTGATACCATGGGCGCAAAAGGAAAAATAGAGGTGAAAATATGAATAATGGTCAAGCGAAATGATAAAACCATAATATTGACCTCTAACTAAAACAGTCAGAAGATTACTTCTTATGTACTCTCAGCAAAACGTTTGGGATCGTGACATATAAATGTTGTGATAGGTCGTCAGAAGACATATCAGCTTATAAATCTCACTGCCAGAGATATAACGATTTCGAAACCAAACCCTAACGCCCCAACACAACCGAAACACACCAAACATGCAATTCCAAGTGGGTTGGGGCTCTTTCTTGATTTTGACACTTCAGTGGAAGGTCGTCAGATCCATCTGAGCCACGAGTAATGCAGATTGTCATTATCCACAGTAACACCTCAACTCCCTACTCTTGGTTAAATGCAGTGTTCGTGATCAGATTGGGAATGCGTCGTCTTCAACGTGTTGAACGCCAAAGGGTTTTTGGCATGCTTCAAATTGGTAGAACTCAGCGATAGGTAGGCAATATGTTTAATGTGTCTCAGTACGTGATTTGCAGACCTTTGAACAGATTTCTGCTGATACAAAATGTTAATGGTCGTCCCCTCACAGGGCGCCCTTGGTCCATTTAACCAGGCTTGAAGAAGCCTAAACAGCCAATCAAATCACTGTTCACTTGCGCCAGGCCACCGGGGTTCAAGGTACTTACAATACATCCACGTGTGCACCAACATTTAACAAATCGACACATTCTAGCTAGACGCAAATGGTTTTTCGGGCGTAGAAACTCGGGAAATAGCCGATGGCCTGTGTAATGTTTTCAGATGAGTCGTCCAGATACACAACAACCATGTTCTGTTGATGGTCATATTACGCCTAGTTCTTCCTTTTTCTTATCAATCCATTACCATCACTCGACACCTCTTTGTATTTCTGTAATAATTTGTTATTTTCGAATATCCCCTACTGTTTTGGAGGGCATACGTAGGACTCAGATCTATGGTATGCCTCCTCAGTGGCGCATACTCACATCTATGTCAGGACTCCACTACTGCGTGGCAGACTCTCAGACGTTTACTATATATGGGTGTGTCCTCATATCTAACAGTTAACAAATTAGAGTTACTATAGAAAGCAAGACGGTGAGTAGTGTAAGTGTTTTCAATTTAAGGAACTGGGAAACCGAGAATAATCAGCAAATAAAAAGGGTAGCTTTGATTTCATCCCAGCAACGTGATACGTTAAAAAGAGACCCACGACAGAGTTCTACCGTTATGTATTCTATGTGTGTCAGTGGTTGTCGCCATTACATGAACCTCTGCTACTTTACGTAAATTGATAATTTAAATTTAATCATAACTTAAAAAACGACCAAAAGTGCATAGCCCAGTTGTGCATTGTCAAGTTATAAGAGTCACAATAATATTTACGCTGAGACCGCCTTGGACAACTGCCATCTGGGGAAGGAGGTGTGGGGATCATAATAACATTTGACGTTCAGCATGATGAATGCAGTATCTTCTAAGTTACTGCTTGGAAACACAGTAGTAACTCATGATAACATTATTGTGATTTAGTACATTATCTATGTATGTAAAGTTTTCGTGTAAATTTCAGTGCTCCGATGTACTAAACTTACATGATCCTTGATACGTCTTGTGAGCCTCCTCTTTCATGACCGAGAGAAAACTGCTCGAGACCAAGGACTGAAATATAAGATACAATGCCTTAATATGTTAAAATTGTGAGTAGATGCGTGAATTTTAATTCAATGTGGGTCTCCGTTTTCAGCTGACTGTATTCTTGCTGTTTTTGTTTCTGTATTCCCACCGAATTTAATGCTATATTTTTCCTATCCCATTGGAAATACTTTAGATTTTTTGCTGTCACTGCTGCTGTTTCTACGTTAGACAAAAAAAATAAGGATTCAGAAAATACAACCCAGAAATATAGATGTTGCGTTATCTCTAGTTATTGGCACGGTTTTCATTGACACATTAAAAGTTTACTACCTCACGATTTTCAAATTATGCATGTCACTTCCTTTTTAAAAAAAATCATAGTCTGTATGATCACAATGAGCGAGAACTTGGGTTTACATGCCTTTGAACTGTTTCTCTTTATGTCATGGTGTGTTAGATTGCGCAGGAGAAAATTCCGAACTGATGCTCGTCTTTTACTGTGGTGAAACCCAAGAGCACGGGTATGGTGCTGATAAAACTGGAACCTAAGTCGAACCCACGATCATAGGTTTCTGGTACGCCTAAGGGACGCAACTCTGCACAGTCTTAGGCTGCTGTGCCACCCTTGCCCCAAACATACACAAAACAAACAACTATTTATATAATACATTTGAACAATGTAAAGATATACTTAGCAGTACATGTACGTCAAGTTACTTGCATATTAAATATGGCAAACTAGCAAGACTAAATATTCAAAGGAAAAACCCTGACCTGAGCTGGAACGCTTTGACAACCAGTATAGAGCTCCGCTGCCTATCCCTCCACAGCCAATGACAATGTATTCAAAATACTGTCGCTTAGATGCAGCCATTGTGCAATATATACGAGACAAGTGGAGGAGACCCTGTATACAGGCTTCTCGTGGTCGGACCCAACAGCTGCTCAATTGTACTGTAGTGAGCCTACATGGAGCTGTATTAGAACAGGCCAAATGATCCTAATAGGACAATTAAAGCTCTCTGATTATCCAGGCAATTTGACGCACAATACTGTCAAGCGGAAAGTTGTTTTTTCTGATTGCTAATGTTTCTTGTGGAATATATTATCTTTAACTCTGCTAATGCGTTGACCATGCATGTCATGTAGCATATGTGAAAACTTAATATATAACCCTGACATCGTTACAGATACCTGACCTGACCTACATAGCAGACTTTTTTTCAGGATTTGTGTTGAGCTAATGCAAAATATAATTTGGCATACCCTTGTTGTAATTCTGAATGTGAGTACTTTGCCGTGTGAAAGCTTCACTTTTTACTGGAGAATGTTAGCTCAGTAAATATATCATATGCTTGGCTACAAGGGCATTTTGCATTCTTCTGTGTATGTATGTGCTGTTATTAAACCTCCGGTGTCCTGGTACTCAATATTTCTACTACTAATTCTACTACTACTACTAAGGGCCTGATGATGTATGCCTCTCGGTGGTGGGCCTAGTTAAGGAGATCTATTCCCTGAGCTAAACGTACATCACCCAGTTAGGGCTTACCTCCCTGGTTCAAAACTGGGTTACAGAACGCCAAGAAGAAATTCATCTTACAACTCCACAGCCCAGTCAGCCTCCCTCCGGTATACAAACCAACCAACTGGAGATGGGACTTGCCCCAGGGGGAGGCACAGAATACGCCCAAGAATATACTGGACGCAACAACTGAAGTCTACTTCTTGAATGCGTGAAAGATAATCGTTTTTATGGATTCGGGTGGCCTGAAAAGTGAAACAAAAGGCTTTCTGTTTGCTGGTCAAGACCAATCACTTCCCACTCGAAACCATGAATGTGTGATTTTGCATCAAAATGTAAATGTGAAATGTAGAAATGAAATGAGACTGCCCAACACATTGTCATTGGATGCCCAGCTTTGGCACAAACACAGTATCTTAAGCAATATGATGGAATGGCTCGATCATTTTATTACCGTCTTCTCTATGTTTGTGGTTTTGACACATAGGTCCACCCATGGTACGACCCCAAATATGTAGAGGGAGTCATGGAAAATGATAAATACAAAATTACTTTGAAATAGGCCCGTATACAGCATTAGACCTATCCAGGCTAATAAACCTAACCTTGTCCTTTTTTATAAGTCCAATGAAATCATATATATTATTGAATATTCTGTCCCTTTTGACCCTAATGTGATTGACAAGATTCAGGAAAAACATGGCAAATATTCAGACCTCACTTTCGAAATCTCACGCTTGCATTCCAAATACCAAGTTGTCCTACTCCCCATTGTTCCAGGGATACAGCCCTTCTGACAATCTGTGTAATGCAGAAGGCTGCAGTGTTGGGGAGTCTTCACATTCTCTGGGTGTGTTTGACAAGGCAGCACTTCCTGGTAGAAGTCCCATTCGCTGTCTGGGCTGCGTAGAGAGGGACCTGAGCTGATGATGAGCCTGACTGTGCCAGGATCACCCAAACCCCCTTTGCTGTATTTTTTATTTTAATCTATAAATAATAATAACAACAATGTATAAAGTCTATTTATATAACGCATCAGCTTCAATTTACCAATTTAATGCTTCGAATGGTACATTATTGATACCCCTTCAATGGATCAGTTCCCACTCATTCTCAGACCCGTGGGGAGAATACAAACTTAAGGTTGCCACGTTATGCGCTAGAAGGCTTTCAGCCATCTACTGCTTGGTGAGTCATATTTCGAAAAAAGTCAGTAGCGAAAGGAGACACCTCATGTAACCTGTGTTGAAGTGTGGGCCCGACCCTGTTCCTAATTGAAATATGGAGGAATATAGAGAAGGGGATAGGGTGTTCACCATAGTTGCCGAGTATGAATAATTCCTGCATGGTGACTACCAGAGAACATTTTTACACCTGCCGGAATCCTATATAGGTGGGCATTTTCATGATCACGATGAGTCTGACATGACACGTCGAGCTGTGCATATATTTGTGTTAATGCTTTGCAATGCATGATCAGATTGAATGAAGTTGTGCACATCAAAACATATTTTTACAGAGAAAGCAGTGTACGGTTGGGATTAAAGGCGGTCTGTGGGTTATGATTATAATTAAGAAAGCCCATTTCTTTACGTCACGAAGAAACGCCAAGTCAACGAGCCTGCCCCTCCCCAACCGTCTTCATTCAGCTTTTATGACAAACCTTGATTACTGAGGACCTATTCTTCCCCAGAATCCACAAGGGACAGCCGAGAGCTGAGAATGGGACGTGAGTGTAAAATTAGGGTAAATGTTTTATTCAATATTTCCTCGAGAGTCAGTAAAAGGCTAGAAATAACTAGTCTCAGTACAAATAGCCGGGCACGAGGTAAAGTCAATACTATTAGTTGCTCTGGTTGTTTATTTAAAGTTTCGTGAAAGTTCTTCACTCAGAGTCCCGTGACAGTTGTTAAAGAAGGATACATCTACTATCACTGGTACACATTCGCCTGTAGGAAGACTCCACATCATGTTACCAAAACAGGAGTATTGTATAACAATATCTATTGTTCCGGCTGATGGATTGTCGAGAGTCGAGAAGTACAGTAATTCCTCAATAAACTCCGTGATTTTATTTCGGCATTTCTTTATTTGGGTTTGAAGGCATTTGAAACTATTTTCACATTTTCTTTTGATGTTTCTTTTTCAACCTACGTTGTTCTTTTGGTTTTCTTTCAGTGCGTCCGTTGATCCAGTGTTTGTTTAAACCAAGCCAATATATAAATAGCGTTCGTTCAAGGAGTTTTCGTACGTGAAGTTATTTTGTGCAACAATTTAAATTGTGTATGCATTATCAAACCCCCATACAAACGGACGACAAGAAACTAAATGGAAACAATGGGAAAACTAAACAAAGGTCAACGGCAAAAATATGAAATTTCAAAGCAGTAATTGTTACATTCCTGGTTCCCTGGCGTAATGAATTATATTTCAGATGTCATGCTTTTCACGGATATCTGTCGGTAAAAGCAAATATTATGCCAATTATTTTCTGTGGAAAGGCCTCCCAGCATTCCGTATCCCCACCAGTAATATTGTAAATCTTGTATATGAAGATACTTCAGATTAGAACTGTACCTCGAATATTAATGCCCCTGGAATAACATACATGTGTGTTCTCGGCACAGAGTCTGATGCGAGTGTCAAAGCCACTCAAACTTTCAGTTGAGTGTTGACAAAGAAGTTACCCTTTGACGTATCATTAAAGGACACGTTTTAAAAGCACATTTCTTTCATTTAATTATTTTATTCATCACTACCTACCTGTTGAGGAAACTGTTCGAATCACTCTTTTGATTTTTTTCATGTTCACATATTTTCAGTTCGATTTATCAATGTACTTTTGTACATATATATTTTGTCATTTAGGTCAATAAAATACATTAGCTACATCCGATTGTCATATCAAATAGTTAAAAACAATTGTTCACTGGACATGTTGGGTGTTCTGAAACAATTGTTGTGGTTCCATCAGTAGCAATGAATTGTATGTCATGGAGCAGTATGTTGAGTCATACAAATAGTATTGGCATCACATTCATTTATTTTGTATGATGATAGCTACATAAATCAGGTATAGCATAGAGACATTTGGATATTATTCAAATAGTCTCAATCTCAACCAAGTAGTGACAGAAAGGCTTTCCGAAAATATTAGATAATCCTTTTCCAAAAGTGTCAGCCTCAGCAGTTGCAAAAGTCGTTGGCGACATAGAGATTCCAGTCGGCGTCGGTGACGACATTAATGGTCGAGGCCAGCAGCTCGCAGTTGGAAATGTTGGCAGCCAAGGGGGAGAAATTAAAACCCACACACTGAAGCCCCTCCTGGCATGCCCGGGCGCACATTTTGAGCGATGACGTCATCATTCTCAGCTTGTTAGAGGTGACTCGTGTGTTGATGTTACGACTAAATGTCATACCTGGAAGACGAAATTAAACCACTGCTATAGAAATCACCTTTGATCGACACATAAATGAATTACATGATACAATATGACGTATAAGTGCAAGATAAAACAACAGTTACATTGGACATATCTGTAGAAAAACAACATCAAAAACGCAATGCATATTCACTTTAGAAGAACAAACAACAACATACTGTTTGGAACCCCTATGACTTGGACTTCGCACAGCGTGAGCATGTCTGTATTGTTATTCCAGGGGATCTGTACCCGCAGGTAGCGTCCACTGAGGGGGGAGCGACAGGGTAGAGTCTCTGTCAGGCCCGTCCCCAGCGGGCCCGGGTAGTGGCGACAGACGAGGGCCTCGTTCATCGTTACGTTGTCAGCCAGGAGGATGTCGAAATCATGAAGACGTTCACCTTGGTTTGACAAAAAAGATTTCAATGTCAATGATGCAATGTGCAAGTACAAAGACTGAGCACCCTTTAATACTTCCTAAGATCACTTACTCATACATGAGTGCATAAACAGTCCCATAAATTTCTATTTTAATAACATTATTGAAGCAGTTTGCCCGTAAACTGTGTGTGTTGGCTCGCAAAGAACTTCCGATATATAAATGTCATTTTCTGACATTACCTATAGGATTTATGATCAAATTTCTAAAAAACTCTAAAACTAAAACTAATATGCACAAAGGTTTAGAAACATCTGCTTAACTTATAATGCTTATATTATGCCCTCTGTAACTCTGCCGCCCTGGTGTGAATTCAATGTGCTGTGCTCAACATTTACCAAAATTTACATTTAAATTTAAATTTACATTTACCAACACAAATATCGATATTGAGACAGCCATATTACTACTGATGATGTGTTTCGGTGCATCAGTGATGTATTTAGCGTTGGATAGCAAAAGAAAGCAGACATTCCCAACACATACGAACAAATGCAAATATTATCTTGCACTTTGAATATAATTCGAATTCCTCGGATGATATGAGAGGTTGGAACTCGTGACTTCATTCGCGCACTAAACCGTCTGACTTACTTCTGTTATAAACTTGATTGACTTTTGCCAATTCCCCTCCTCTGACTTAAACACCTGAACCAGTAATAAAATAAAAGAGACCTCATTCTTTTTCATCTATAGATCTATGCATAAAGATTCAGCGTGACAAATTGTATGACAAGAGGGGATGACTTCAACTTTCCCTTTAAGTCAAGAAATTGTCCAGCTGCTCCAGTCTTTGGTGTCTAAATTTCACAGCCTTTGAGGCTCAATCGAGCATGGGTTTGCTATGAAGGTTTAAAAGAGTGCCATACGATTCTTGCTCAAAAGTTGTCTGTTCAGGTTTACAAGTAAAGCTTCAAAAACTAGTCATGTGGAGTATCCAGATATATCCAAATTTGTCGCATCAGTGACAATAATGATGTCCGATGCAATTCCCTCAGGTTAACAATGAACTGTTTTTACATGTGTTTGTGGTGGGTGCCACAGGAGGGGCAGTTACGCTCACCTCTTCGCGAAAAACTGGTAACAAAACTTTTTGATAGTGATTCATGAACACATGTTCATGATATAGACAAAGCTGTGTGAGGACATTGTCTGTATTTCGAAAACCCTCCTGTTAAATTGAGTGGTTGAGTTATAAGGAATGCCTATTGACAAGGAAGCGTTGACCATGAAAAGAAATCCTTTTTCCTTAGTATTTGTGGAAACAGAATTTAACTGTATACACCACATTAAAAACATATGCTAGTAAGAACGCAAGTTTCATGAGGGGCTATGTTCTCTCTGCAGTGCGAAGTTTTGTTAACCTTGAGAGGAACAGAAAGGAATCTGGATAAATCAAAGGTTAAGCACCACCGGATTTTTTCCTATTACTATAGTTAATATATTATGCCATGACACATTATATAAAGTAATATGAGAGAATAGGATGTTCCTTAAGTTCTTTTTAGTAGTATATAAATTGAGGGGTTACGCTCTTATATAGCAGGAATACTAACATAAAAATGAAAACTTAAAAAGTTGTGAGAAAATTGACCAACCAGCAAAGTTTCTGTTTGTGATGACTACCTCTGAAACAAAGAGAGAGCAGCCAAGGTCCACTTGCCACCACAGATAAGGTTCTGACGGTGTCTGATGCCTAGTGCCAGTGCAGGACCCGTTCGGGTAGTGTGGGTCGCTGTTCCCATCCACTGCCCGGCTGGCGTTAGCGGACTCCCAAGTGCTGATTTGTGTGCTTGGTTTGTTCAGAGCCAGGTTGATACCTACCCCTGAAACTGCCATTGAAAACGTTATGAAAAATAAATTCCTTAGGCAGGTGGAAGTGGAGAAAGATTTTCATTGCACAGCGAAGGATCCGTGGTTTTGTAAAAGTGAGTGAGTGAGAGTGAGTATGGTTTAACGCCGCTTTTAGCAATATTCCAGCAATATCACGGCGGGGGACACCAGAAATGGGCTCCATACATTGTATCCATGTCGGGAATCGAACCCGGGTCTTCGGCGTTAACGAGCGAACGCTTTAACCACTAGGCTACCCGACCGCCCCTGGTTTTGTAAAAGAAGGATATTGGCATGCACATCACACAAGTCACAAGTGAACACATAAAAAACACGAGGGACTGGCACATGGTGATACGTAGGGGTATCTGAAAAAGGAGTTTGTGGGTAAGGAAGGGGAGGCCATTGCAGCATGATGTCATACTTACCCATGTGAATGAATCGCCATCCTAAAAGTACCGAAGCTGAATATTGAGTAAATTTTCTCATCTTAAGAGATTCAGAAACAAACGACTTCATATACATGGTACTTTGTACTCTGCTCACCCGACGTATGTATGGTGACTATCTGTGAAAAAAAAGCTTGCCTGGAATTGTGAAAAGCGTTATTCCTAACCATGGAGCAATACTCTGAGGGTGGAGTTGCTGTGAATGCAGTGTCTGAAGCCGCACCTTTGTGATATTTGCTGATGTCACATTTCCAATATAGAAAATGTAATTAAGAAACTAGTGACAGCAGAACTATAGACTGATTTGATATGACTGGAACTAATGATTGGCGGTGCTACATAATGGCACTAGTTATTACTCTTCGATTTTCAGTATATTCTGAAGAACTATTGTGAACAGTGTCTGTGTGTTGGCTCGTATAAACGATAATTGCATCAAGGCTATTTATGTTTTTGTTTCCTGACACATCGCAGGAGACCAACTGACTGTTGATTGTCGGTACAGTACCAAAGAATACACACACGCTTCGTTTAACATCTAATGACTTTATTACACTTCAGGGAAAAGTAACTGTGCTTCATATAAAGTTCAATAAAAATAAATTTATTCTGAAATCATATAATACATCTTTCAATTCATATTCATGAATACATCTGCTCGACTTTAAGGTCGTGATTAATGCACAGCACACAATTTGGATGTTTGCATGTTTGTTGGGAGCATGATACTCAGACAGTTTGGTTTAACCTTGAATAATGCTCTCGCAACGCAAAGCTTATAATCAACAACTGCGTGCAGTGGGTATGCTGTAAACACGAATGGAGCAAAACGAAGTTCATAAAAACACACAGTCTCTTTGGAAACGTTATCTTTAGCATCTCAGCACTCACGACCTGCTTTATGCCGGTCGCCCACGTGTCACGTCACGTCACGTCAAGAAGAAAACCATATTCGCTTGGTACATCTATGGAATCGATGCCAAACTGCCACTTTAACAACTGGGACAGCTCCTGGGTTGATTAATGACAGAACCGTATGCAACTGGTTCAGGGAGCACAATTTCCGGCCCCTACTTCCAGCAATACGCCCAGTTTTGCTTCCACGTCACGGCCAGGCATGGATGGCTTCGTGTCGACAGCATCTCGGGTTCAGAAGATGAGACTGGGACAGTATACTGTTCACAGATGAGCCCAGGTTTCACCTGGAAATCTCTGATGGTCGTGCAAGGGTCTACAGATGTCCAGGAGAACTTTTGAGAGAGGCTTGCGTTACTCAACATCGTCAGTTTAGAATGGTATGGGATGACATCACAACTCAGGGGAGTATGGCAGTTTGAATGGCGTACGTTACCTTAGACCTCTACTCCATAGAGCATGTCTGGGATGAGATGGACCGGCGCCTACGACAGGGCCAGATGCTCAGTTGGGCTATTCTTTGGTTGACATTTGTTTTCAATGCGTCGCCGCGGCCTCGCCTGTGCAAATGGTGGTCACTCCCGATATTGGCATTGTTACTTGACCCTTTTAGGGCGTGTCGCCCTGTCTCCTGTGGCTAGGTATGGGTTTTGTCAATACATTTGTAATGATTGATCAAGCGAACGGCCAAATATTATGTTATTATTTTCAATAGCATAACATTACACCACTTTATATGAAGCGCTAGTGTGGCAGATGACACTCCTAGAACTCCTGAGTATTTGTAACTCCATTGGTTGTGAGTTTTTGCACTGCTTTTTGCTTAATTAAGGCTCCTGGAAAGATTTGGGGGCACAGCTAATGTTGAAGGATTTGCAATCTCGACGGGGGTCCCAGGGTACGATTAACATGGCAGAAGGCTGATGAATTGACAGAAATAAATGAGTGTAGAAAAAGAATTGTTTTTACTTCTATCGTTATTCTAAACACAAAGCACTGAGTATACAGAGAAGCACATATATACAACTACCGCAGCAATCTGGCCCTAGTTCTACAATAACCAACCCGTCACAGACTCACCTAACCCTACCCAACTTAAGCACTGTTAATTTTCATTTGTATACAGTTTTTCTTATAAAATGGCCAAAACTGTTGATAAATAAAACATGTATTGGCGAACGAATATCCTTGATTCGTGTCATGTAAATGTAAAATCCTTTTGAATATGCTTTTCACATTAATACCCGTTCAAACTTACTGCAAGAAGCCCCCATACTGTAATGCATTTCATCACTGGTGACATCTTCTTCATAAACACTCTTTGGATGATATGAGAAATTGAGATGGCTTCTTTTCGGAAGAGACGTGACCATGATTGCGATGTCATTATAAATTTTAATTCACACACATGTGGACCTACAAGCTATTTGCAAAATTTAAAATTTGTTCTATTCAGAAACAAAGTCTATGACTACACTTCTGAGTGAGTGAGTGAGTGAGGAATGTGGAAGGAAAGCCCGAAGTGATGCAGGTCTAAGACGTTTACCACTTCGGTGAAACCCACGAGCACGGGTATGGTGCTGACAAACCTAGAAACATAATCGGGGCGAACCGGGATTCGAACCCACAATCATAGGTTTCTGGCGTGCCCAATGGACGCAACTCTGCACAGCGAATCGCGGCGCCTTAGACGACTGGGCCACCCGTGCCCCCTTACACTTCTGAAGTCCGGCCAATGTCATGATATAAATTTGTCTGCCGCTTGAAAGAAATCCCTCTTACCTTTGAAATATTCCTAATTTTATATCATAAAAGACAAATGAAAGTATATGTTATTCAAATTTTAATGGTTTCTCGAAAGCAAACGGGTGTTTGAAGGCATGTCTCAAAACTTAAAGGATTATGTTTTTGTCGGACATAGTATTTTTGAACTGTTTCCTAAACCCTCATTGATCGAGGCACTGATGGATCCAGATGGGAGTAGGTGGCGTGGGGTGCGCATCCCTACTTCAAAGACGTGCCAATAGGTGTATCTCTGTCATGTGATTACTATGTAGTGCAACAGCCACGATACATCTATACTCTGCAAACTCAACAATACAGAACAAAACTATTTCAGGCTGACAAAAAATATACATTTTAATATCATCAGGTTTTTTTCGGTTGCTTAATTATCAACACTTTGCCTGACTCTCAAACCTTACAGCATGTCCGTTTCTCTTTTGTACTGGATTCAAAAGCTTCATACAAATGTGAACAAAGAGATATATCGCTGGGACAGAAAATCTATCACCTAATCCTTGTCTCAAAGATTAACCATAATCTTTAGTACCACCAAGGAAGGACTTTTTTCATATCAACAGAAAGTACTTAAAATAAATTGAATTAATACCATGTGAATTCCCATGGGAATTTGTACACCACTCTCCGACACGGCAACCTTGAGGAAAACTTAACCCCCTGATCCATGTGGCATTTGTCACCAAATGCGATATATCCATTTACACATCTATCTCAAAGGTTCAGGACTGTTTGTCAAAAATGAAAGCAAACGTCATCTGGAGTTTACTGAGGAAACAATATTTGAAATGGTGGACTTCATCGTAGACAACATCTATGAGGTCATTTAGGCCAGAAGTAGTCATCCCCATGGGCATCAGATGTGCTCCCCTCCTTGCTAATCAGAATTTCTGCTCAGATTGGCAAAGTCAAAAGAAGGAGATTTGTCCAAGAAGTTTAATAAGAATCAGATTCGTTTGACATTGTTCAATACTAGTCGAACAGCCAATACATTCCCTCCCACTGATTTACCCATCCCATTTTGAAATATAAGAGACCTGTGATACCACCTCATCTGAGTGACAAAGAAATATACAGCAGTCTCAATGACAAGAGGGATGACTGAGTAATCAATGCTTATAGGTCAAAGGGTCAACGTCAAAATATGAATTGCCTGATTACAGACACACACCAAATTTCCCATGAATACATGAATAGGTGACTTCGCATTCACTAAAATATGAGTTCCAATATGTTTTACATTTGAATCCATACCAAACAAGTTAAGATTTTACAAAATTTATTACTACTGAAGTAAACATAAGACATTATACTTTGCTTGAAAATATGATATGTTCGTATTATGAACAAAGACCAACAAGAATGTTTCCATTATTGAATGATGGTTCCGTTCCATAAAATATGATTCACACGCTATATATTTTATTTACAATTACATGGGCGTGTTAACTGTCTCTATACGGGAAAGCCTGGTGGGAGAAGAACGGAAAATAAGCAGCCTCTTCTCTATAGTTTCGCCTCCATACCACTCCCCATGAAAAACGTTGGTTTGAAAGTGGGATCCTGAATTGCGTCTCTGGTGATGTTGAATTGACTGATGTCGTACTGGGTACGGCCGTCAACGGCGAGCTCGCTCAGGACTTTTCCAAGCAGACTTGCAAATCTGAAAAATGAACATTCATGGAAGTTATGGTTAAGATGAACGAGGGGAGACGGACATGTTTTAAGACGGATTCCAAGTTTCAAGATAGAGCTATGTGGTTTTATCTCGAATTCGAGTTATGAAATTGTATTGTATGTATTTATATAAAAAGGCAGTCGGATCGTAAATATGTTCGGGATCTGGTACATTATAGATAAAGGATCTCGAGATAAGGGGGTCCGACTGCATTTATCTTCTATGGATAAGAGAAAAGACAGCCCATATTGAATAATCCAACATCCTGACATCTTCTCACGCTCCTATCTATGGTCATACACACGTGGATCAAACTTTCTGTGCCAGTCTATGAATGTAGTTACAAATAATATGGAACAGGTCTTACACCCAGAATGTGCCTGAATATAATCCTAAATATGGTCACTACACGCCAGATGATGTATTCCAAGGAGTGCTCACTTGTACGCATGTCCAGCTCCACAACAAACGATGACGTCAGACCAGCCCTTGTATGAGCATGTGTCAACCACAAAGTTTCTGTCTGGAGGCATGGTGTAGAGGCAGGTCTTGGTCTGAAGGATTGGTCCCAAGAACTGTAAACACCAAACACAAATCAGCATGCAAACTAGCATACATGCGTTTAACTATCAACTGAAGACAGAATCATGATGAAAACGCAGGAAGCTGGATACACTCAGCTGTCATTGTGCAAAGAGTCAGCATCGGGATGCCGGGGCTTCGAGATACAGAAATGATGACAATAAGCATACAGATACAGAAGTCTGACCTATCAAGGAAGGGCAAAGTGAATCGGCACTAATCTGAAAACACGAGACTAGCGACGACTACTCCACTTTCGACGTTGTGTACACCATTGACGTCTGTTGGCAATAAGACGATTTGTAAGGTGCAGCAGAACGCGTGGCCGTCAAGCATGGACATGAGCAGCATGTAGACTATTTCTAATCGTCTGACCCAAAGCTCGTACTCCAGTAGCCTGATGAAAGTTTGTAGGAATTTGATTCGCCGTTTGGGTTCGATTTCGTAAAGCCTGGTTTCGGATCAATTGATCCTGTACTCTTGTCTTTGACCTGGGATGCCTGAACGGGGTCGACCGTCACCATTTTGGGTGTTCCATAGTCTGCTAATCAAAGACTGAGAAACTAGAACGTATTGGCCACTGCGCGCTGTTTCCAGTATGCCTATAGACGCCGCATCGCTAGTTTATACACAAACATTGAATGAATTGGATAAATCACAACTGTGTGGAATCAGAATCAATAAGATTGACAGACATAAAGGGTCCACATAGATTATCGACCTTCCCTGAAAGTGTCAAAATCAGTAATGACACCATGCGCATGTATGAGGCGTTTGTCTTATACTTGGCATTGACATTTATATTTCATAATCTACTTTTTGCAAAGAGTACATGGAGATACTCGAATTGCGATAGATAGTCGTAACACTACAATCGCCTTGTGAAAAGGACCCAATCATGTAAACTAAATTACCAGTTCCAAGCAATTACATCTTAGAAATGTTTGTGTATGTGGTTATCATTAGTGTATCATTGAAGTTAAGGTTATTGAGCAGTGGGACATCTACCTTAGGACAAATCTCCTCCAACAGCTCAGTACAGGTCCGCTCCCGAGCAGGATTCGGCTCAAATGTCCTCGATTCGGCGGTTACCACGTTGCCTCCAGCGTCGATCCCGATCTTCGACCCCGTGTTTCCGTGGATGGGGAGGGCGTAGATGTCGTAACGGGGGCAGTGAAAAATCCAAATGGGGTACCTATCACAGAGTGTTTCAACTTGTAGTTAAGTCATGACATAATCAGGACCATGAGGGATTTGTCGAATGCATTTACTTTGTCAAACTTCCTTAAAACTGGCGTGTTGCAAAGGCGTTATCCTTTTGAGAGTGAGTCATTGAGGTGGATTGTAACAGGATGTCAGTTTGAGGGAAACCCAAGGTTTACCAAAGTTAAACTAAGCATAATAATTTAAGGCCAACATTCAAACAAATACTTAAGAATCCACTTGGTATTAATTCGGCTTCACTCAAATACTTTCTGCAAATATACAGAATTGTCACTGCTATACATTAACATATTCTTACACCTTCTGCAGCACAAAAAGAACTTTGTGCATGTGGTCTTTAGGGTTATAAGTTACACATGTATATAGTTTACTTTGGTTTGTAGAACCAAACGCATTTTTGCTTGATATAGTGTATACTTTAAAGTGATAATTTCCTGGAACACCATCAACATGGATTAAAAGTGAACGTAAAGTATACGTTGTCATGCTACAAGCGTATTGTAACGAGAAGATGTATGTCGTGTGTGGTGTAAAACATTGTGCAATTAATAAATATGGGGACATTTTCGGAAAGGTTTAAATTAGAGGTGGCAAAGATAACAGTATGCTGAGTACGTGTCACAACTTAGAAGCCAAATGTATCGCGTCTATTGTTTTCAGAGATTTAAGATATCCATATAATGATCTCCAATGATGCTTTTTCCAGGGTTCAACTATGTTCGTCGCCTCTGGTGTTCATTTGTATAAACATCTTAATAACCTGCACTCGGCTGAAGTAGTGCAAACATCATGATCACATTCCTTCTCTGGCAGGTCTTCACTACTGCTACCCTCAACATGGTAATCTGTCACACCTGCATTGGCTTTCTTGGTATATTACCTGATCCTCGGTGCCAAAACCAATATGTGCGCATTGCAGACCATTATTGATTTTTGCCAACCGAGCCACTGATGCCTTTCGTACAGAAGGAACACTTGGAAATGTTAGAAAATGTTGGGAAATGTACAACAATTGAAAATCGGCGTTCTAGTATTTTTCGAGGCTTCGATCACAGATCTTTTTGTCCCTCGCCCCTCTTCCCCTTGGGTTTTAGATCCTGAGTATAACCCTTATACAGGGTTTTTTATCCTCTACATTACTCTCGACGGATTTGATTTTGTCTTTTAAATACGACCATATAGGAACGAATGGGCTGCCTAGTTTTGAGCGATCATGTTTCATTCCTAGTTTTTTATGCTCTGAATTTACAAACCCATAACGTTTCGTTACTTAAATCAGAGCTTCTGTTTTGTGCAATATTAAGAAGTGTAGTATTACCTCTCGGAGTTCTAAGCTAGACAATGATATCAAGGAGACCATCCAGCAAGTCATGTTCAGTGTTTCTACTCACTTTTCCTTTGTGAACTCCTTCATGTGCGGCGTGGCGTAGTACGTCACCTGCTCCTGTGTGACGGTGACGGGGACGTGGACGCCGATTGTCCCCAGGACCGAGTTGAGCCACCCCCCTGCCGTCACTATCACCTTCCGGCACTCGAATACGCCCTTCGTTGTGTTAACCTAACAATGATAAGCTCAGTCAACACCCACAAAACCTGGATTTTCCTGTTCAGCAAGAAATGGGAAACTTTATCAACCGATATCGGTCAAATATATCTATATGATAAAGAGCTGAAATTGTTTGTCTTTATGCTTTAGTCTACAATGATATATGCAAATGCGTTTGAAGATATTATAATATGAGGGCTCACTTGGGCGTCAGTCACGGTTCGTCTGTGTATACTTCAAGATAAGTTGTACATACATGGCATTACAGCTTAGCAAGTTAAGGACGTGAAATTACTTTTTCGGTCAACGTGTAACGTACGTACAATGGCGTTGATTTTGAGCATGTCATGTACAACTTTGCAACATGCAACTTCGTACACCACTATCCCACATGTCAGACTTTTGGGAAAACTTCATTCCTTGATCCATGGTTATTTACTTACAAAACGTGGTGACCATAGGTATAGTTACATATCTATCTTCAGAGTTCAGGTTAATTTGTCAAAAATGAAAGCAAATGCCATCTGAAATTTTCTGAGCAAACAATATGTGATATGGGGAAAGACATTTAGTCAAGAAGTTGCCATCCTCAAGGGCACCGATTGCGCTCCCTTCTTGCTGATCTGTTTCTTGATGCACATGAATCAGAATTTCTGCTCGGATTGGCAAAGTCAAACCAAGGTAATTTGGCCAAGTAGTTTAACTTCAGGTATACCCATGATCTGAATATCGTTCAATAACCATCAAATAGCTAATTCCGTTCCACTGATTTACCCACCTGAACTAGAAATAAAGGAGACCACTGAGGCCGCTTTCTCTGTTTCAAATTTAGATCTATGCATAAAGAATCAGAATGACAAGACACTCCCCACAAGACTGTATGACAAGAGGTACCCTGGGTACAATGACATTGATGTTTAGCATGTAATATACTTAAATGAAGTTGATGTTGTGCATGCAATGTACTTCAATGACGTTGCTATTGAGCATGTAAAGTACGTACAAAGACGTTGATGTTGAGCACATGTTGTACTTCAATGACGTTGATATTTTGGCATGTAAAGTACGTACAATGACGTTGCTATTGAGCATGTAAAGTACGTCCAATGACGTTGCTATTGAGAAAGTAAAGTACGTACAATGACGTTGATGTTGAGCATATAAAGTGCGTACAATGACGTTGATGTTGAGCATATAAAGTGCGTACAATGACGTTGATATTTACCATGTAAAGTGTGTACAATAACGTTGATGTTGGGTATGTAAGAAACGTAAAATGGCGTTGATGTTGGGCATATAAAGGACGTACAATAATAACGTTGATGTTCAACATGTAATGTAATTCAATGACGTTGCTGTGCAGCATGTGAAGTGCGTACAATGACGTTGATGTTGGGCATGTAAAGTACGTACAATGACGTTGATGTTGGACATATCAATGCGTACAATGACGTTGATAGTGAGCATATAAAGTGCGCACAATGACATTGGTGTTGGGTATGTAAGAAATGTATAATGACGTTGATGTTGGGCATTAGAGGACGTACAATGCCGTTGATGTTCAGCATGTTAAGTGCGTACAATGACGTTAATGTTGGGCATGTAAAGTGCGTACAATGACGTTAATGTTTAGCATGCACGTACAATGCATTGCTATTGAGAAAGTAAAGTACGTACAATAACGTTGATGTTGAGCATATAAAGTGCGTACAATGTCGTTGATGTTGGGCATGTAAAGTACGTACAATGACGTTGATGTTGGACATATCAATGCGTACAATGACGTTGATGTTGAGCATATAAAGTGCGTACAATGACGTTGATGTTGAGCATATAAAGTGCGTACAATGTCGTTGATGTTGGGCATGTAAAGTACGTACAATGACGTTGATGTTGGACATATCAATGCGTACAATGACGTTGATGTTGAGCATATAAAGTGCGTACAATGACGTTGATGTTGAGCATATAAAGTGCGTACAATGACGTTGATATTGACCATGTAAAGTGTGTACAATAACGTTGATGTTGGGTATGTAAGAAACGTAAAATGGCGTTGATGTTGGGCATATAAAGGACGTACAATGACGTTGATGTTGGACATATCAATGCGTACAATGACGTTGATAATGAGCATATAAAGTGCGCACAATGACATTGGTGTTGGGTATGTAAGAAATGTAAAATGACGTTGATGTTGGGCATGTAGAGGACGTACAATGCCGTTGATGTTCAGCATGTTAAGTGCGTACAATGACGTTAATGTTGGGCATGTAAAGTGCGTACAATGACGTTAATGTTTAGCATGCAATGTACTTCAATGACGTTGATATTTTTGGCATGTAAAGTACGTACAATGACGTTGCCGTTGTTGGCCCTAGTGAGCCTGGTAGCAGGGCAGTTCTCTAGGACTGTAGCCCCGTTTCCCCGGGCCAGCTGAATGTGGACAGCGTTCCCCACAGCAGCATCTACGAGGCCCGCCTGCTCCTGGTACAAGCCCACGATATCTGGACCCATTGTGAACTGGGGGTAGCGGGCCATCAGTTGCAGGTTTGACAATCTGTCGTATCTGATGAGGAAAGGACGAGTATTATACAAATTGTAGGCACCTGCGTACTCAAGGACGGAATAGAACCAAAAATGAAAGTGTTATCATGACACCCACTACACATAATAACTCACTTGATGTTGTTCCTGTCCATTGCTACAGCGTACTTCTCCATGATGGCCTCAGTCTGTCCCTTCCTAGCCAGCTGCAGACCCCCGGTCATCCATACAACCTGCTGGCCTGACTCGCGCTCTATCTGGCGCCAACTGCTCTTGGACAATTTCAGCATTTACTACTTACACGACCAACTGACACTTTGATGAAATCACAGATTCGATCAGTTTGATAAATATAGAATAATAAACTTGCTCCCGTGTAATACCAATGTTATGAAACGAGTGAAAAGTTTACACGTATTAATTTAATACCATACAACGGCCCATCTTTAGAATTCGGGAGTCTGTTCCACAACGTTGGAACTCCCATACTTTAACATAGACTTACGTCTGTCCTCACAGTTTACAGTCACGTCAGAATATCTATGACGTAATGTTGCAAGACACACCGGCGAAACAATGCTATGTGACGTAAGCCTAGCAACAGGGTTGCTTGTCATCGAGTGTGCATGATCTCCTCTCATTGATCTGTCATCTCTACACGCACTGTCGTTGAATTAGCCAAGTGGTGTTTTCAATATTTGTTTGTGAAACATGTTCCCACAGTACATCAGCAGGTGTGTTGGTATTGAACACTGTGTAATACCACTTGTTATTAAACGGCTGATCTCTTCACGGGCGAGTAATAATTGAGCGGTTCATTATAATTATCTATAAGTCTGCGACTTTTGTCACTTTGGGATTTCTTTCAACACACCGTGATTTTATTGGAATACTGTTGAAAGCAACATTAAACACAACTAACTCACTCACTCACTCACTCAACACGCTCTCACTTACGCCTTGAAGGTGTCGGGGGTGAGTCGGGTGTAGCGGTCATCATGGTACGTCAGGCGGCTGTAACAATAACCTGTACATTTACCTTTTGACCCTTTTATTTCTAGAATAATCCGCCTCGATTATCTGCCGAAAGAGATGCCATTCGGCGTAAAAGGCAAAATAGCGATACAAACTTATATGAACCAATGTCAATCGAGTTACAATAATCTTTGCACTGAGATCCCCTCGTGCAACTGGCCTCTGGGATAAGACGTGGGGGATTCAAAATAATAACACTTAATGTTTAGTGTGAAGAATACACTATATTTTATAGCTATTGATTATAAGCGTAGCAGCAAATCATAATGACATTGCAGTGCATGAATACATTATCATTGTAAATTCAATTATTCGCTCTACTGAAGTTACTGCTTAGAAACAAAGTGGTAACTCATGATAACATTATTGTGATTTAGTACATCATCTATGTATGTAAAGTTTTGTGTAAATTTCAGTTCTCTGATGTACTAAACTTACATGATCCTCGATACGTCTTGTGAGCCTCCTCTTTCATGACCGAGAGAAAACTGCTCGAGACCAAGGACTGAAATAAAAAATACAACGCCTTAATATATAATTACAATAGTGAGTGAAGGAGTGAACCATTTTTTCGAATTCATTTTCAGCTGAATAAATTCTTGCTGTTTTGTTTTTCGTTTTCCCATCGAATTAAAGTAGATCGTTCTTTCCTGTGTATCCAAACGGGTATACTTTGGTTTGGTTTGGTTTCCCGCCATCATTGCCGTTTCTATATTAGACAAAAAAGTATGAGAAAAGACAACCAAGAAATATAGATGCAAACAATTATGAAAGGTTCGTTATGTCATCTCTAGTGATCTGTAAGGTTTTCATTGACAAATTTACAGTGTACTACCTCAGGATTTTGAAACAGAATACATCACTTCCTCTTGTTAGAAGTCATTGTCATTGCAGCAGGACCGATAGTCAAGGAAGGCGTACACCTATATTTGTATCAGTTTGGAAGCTTACACACTTGTTTGAAATGGCACTTCCGTTGTCGGTCTTTTTAAGGTAATGAGATGAGATAAAACATATTATTTGAGAAGAAAAGAAAATATTCTAAGGATTATATATTTTTAGATTGATTTTACTCTGAAAACCACAGTAACAATGAGAATCGCTGAAAGAAAGATTTTCCGTCGTAAAGGTTTTTTTTAACTTTCTCGGTTTTACATTTTCAAATAATTATAGTATTTCATCACTAAATCCACAACAAAACTTATTGATATTCAGTTATACATTTATATACTTTTCACCACTATTTTGCCTTTGACGCGCACTGGAATTCGTTTCGGAGGATAATCGAGACAGATTATTCTCTGGCATTGACGTTTTAGTATAGATGTAACTTATTACATTTTGTTAAACGAAGTTTTATTTATGTGTCATCAGGCAAGGTGAAGAAATATAGCGTCATGTCATTCATATGTCACCTCATGTACAAAAATGCTATGTATCATCACAGTGAGTGATAGGTTTGGTTTACCCCTCTTTGAACTGTATTTCAGTTATATCACTGTGTTTCAGATTCGCATGGGAGAAAATCCCGAAATGATGCAAGTCTTGTACTGTATCGAAAGCCAAAAGCACTGGTATGGAGCTGACATAACTAGAAACTTAGTCGAACCCACGATCTCATGTTTTCCACAAGCCTAAGGGACGCAACCCTGCCCAGTCTTAGTTGACTGGGCCACCCTTGCCCCCAACATACACAAAGAAACAAGTATTCATATCATACTTGAATACTTGTAATAATATACTTTGAAAGCAGTACACGAACGTCAAGTTACTAAATGCTTGACTATCAAATACAGCAAACTAGCACGACTAAATATCTAAATAAAAAAGTCTCACCTGAGCTGGAACGCTTTGACAACCAGTATAGAGCTCCGCTGCCTATCCCTCCACAGCCAATGACAATGTACTCAAAATACTGTCGCTTAGATGCAGCCATTGTGCAATATATACGAGACAAGTGGAGGAGAGCCTGTGTACACGCTGCTCGTGATCGGACCCAACAGCTGCTCAATTGTGCTGTTGTGAGACTACATGGAGCTCTATTATCAACAACAGTTAGGTCAAATGCTCCAAATAGGACAACTGAAGCTCTGTGACTATCCATGCAATATAACGCACAATATGCATAATATAGAGCGGAAAGTTGGATTTGTAATTTGTAATGTTTATTAGTGGAGTAGATTATCTTTAACTCTGCTGGTGGGTTGAATATTCATGTCGCGTAGCGTGTGAAAACAGATCAGACACTGACATCGGTTGGAGTTACTTGACCTATATACCTGACATATTTCAGGATTTGTGTTGAAGATCGAAAGCCAAATTTAATTTGACCTACGGTTGTTGTACATTCTGAACTTGTACTTCGCCGTGTGGCAGCTTCACGTTTCACAGACGAATCTTACTTGTTATGTCAGTAAATATATTACTTGCTTGGCTAAGGGGCATTTTGGATGCGTCTGTGTATGTTGGGTAGTGTTTGTGTTGCTATTTAAACTTCCTCTGCATTCAAGGCTAGCGTGTGACAACCTGATTGTGGGAAGGGACAGATGGATTTTGTCTTACACAACTAATAACACGCCTAGAGGTTTTAGTAGTGTCGGGGTCAGATAATGGGACGACTGACTTGCTTGTGTAACTACCGGGCCAGGACGGTCTTACCTCAGTCGCTGGTGCTGGTGCCTCTTTCACTGTGCAATGTAATCCGAAACTGTCTCCAGCGGATTAAAGCCTTCTGTGGTGTCATTTGTTGGATACAATTGTCATTCTATGCCACCATTACCTTGTCTGAAACATCTTGTTGGAAGCACGTTATAGACAGGAACATCTTGATACAAATATGTTCAGGCAAGAACATCATTTTGCAATCACTGTCTGGACGGTATCCTCTCCAAACCCCATAACCCCAACAGTTTATAACAAGGTTCACAGTTGAGTGCACTGCTAATGTCCTGCCTGTGACCTTCTTAAGTAAATGGATTACCCAAACAAAGAACCAAGTAGTATGGAGAAACTAATTTATTGAGGTACATGGATGGCAAAACAAATAACACATTTTAGTCACAAGAACCTAGATTCGACTTATTGTTTCTGAGTAAGCACATAAATATCCACAGTATATTCTTTCACGTCACTATCCATATGACATGGTCCTACAGCATCCAAGCAATTGCTGCGAGTATTTAGTCCCTGGTTCAATAGTTCCTTTGACCAACAGAGGCGATTTTCTACCTCGCGGTAGATTCGTTTTCTGTTCAAAGGAGCAGCACCAAAGTTCGTCTGCTGCCCATTGGTCCTCTCTGCCTGTTCAACTTTCTTGATCAGCTGTGAACTCTCTGTTAAATTGCAATTTAAACAATTTTGTACCCAAGCCATGTTGATATTTTGCCCTTTCTTTGACATCCCTTATGTAAAAATAAGATAACTAATCATCTCAACATCATTTTCCTTCTCAATATAATTGTTTCATGTCAAATAAATTGGTTTACTAATTTTCAACAAATCTTGAACTAAAATATGCATGGTTTCCACGTCAGCCCAATTTATCATTTCCTAAGGACAATGCATAAATATTGTCATATTCTAAACGTAAACATCTTTGATCTTATGCAACAGATAAAATGATTTACCTCCACTAATTCCTTCTCAGCTTATCCTTACTCTCATGGGTTTACCCAACTTTTACTGGACTGTTCTAGACAGCAACACCCTGATGCAATTACAATTTAAACAGGAACATCCTGAAACAATCACTGCATAGACAGGAACATCCTGAAACAATCACTGTATAGACACGAACATCCTGAAACAATCACTGCCTACGCACTGAAAGATCTATATAATTATTCATTCATAGGAACGTGATACAGACAGATGTTTCTTTATCATGTCATTATCAGTGCCATACCAGTTCCACGTCATATACAGCATTGAGGTGTTTCTCTCCTACGTGTTTAGTATTGATTGTGTTAGGTAGATGACTGTGGATTTATTCGTCCCTATTCTCATACAACAATCACCAATCAATTTATCAAAAACAATTTGCTCCATCTATTTGAGGTAAAAAGATCAATCAGAACATCTCATTAATAAGTCCATTCGTTGTGTGAATCCTATTTCATTAAACCCAGTTTGGCCTCACATCGGGTGAGAATTATAATTTTGCCTCCACCCCTGCTCCCATGAAAAACGTTGGTTTGAAGGTGGAATCCTGAATCGCGTCTCTGGTGATGTTGAACTGACTGATATCGTACTGGGTACGGCCGTCAACGGCGAGTTCGCTCAAGATCTTTCCAAGAATACTTGCAAATCTGAAAAGAGCAAGCAATATTTACAATTAAAATAAGCATCTGCGAAATTGATATAAAATATACCTCCGTAACGAAACACCAGAGTGGCTTTTAATATGAAATAAACATGCACCAACATAATTTGATAAAATTATATTTGATATTTGAACTTAACCGCTTTTCGACACACACTCACGCACGCACGCACGCACGCAAGCATGCACGCACGCACGATCGCATGCACGCACACATAAGCACACATAAACACACAACACACAAATACACACGCCCACACACGCAGGCACTCACGCAGGGGGGGAAATGTTGGATAAAACGTTAATACATGTCACAAGTTAACTCCAAAAAATATTCGACAATAATTGTCAGAAATATCCACCAGGAGAAGAAAATGTTTTGGGATAAAGGCGATGGCGATAATGATGGTGATGATGGTGATGATTGACAAGGATGGTGATAGTGATGACTGAGAATGATGGAGGTGGTGATGATTGAGAATGGTGATGATGCTGATTTCTCTTTGTATAAAGTAATTAGTGTCCCCAAAACAATGGCCCAGGTCTCCGGATGAATAGTACGTGATAACAGTTGATATCTCACTTGTACGCATGTCCAGCTCCACAACAAACGATGACGTCAGACCAGCCCTTGTATGCGCATGTGTCGACAACGAAGTGTCTGTCTGGAGGCATGGTGTAGAGACAGGTTTTGGTGCTTAGGATCGGTCCTGCAAACTATGAACAATGTGTTAAAACGTCAAGTACAACAAAAGTGAGTTGGTTTCACCTTGCCTTTATCAATATTAATAGAATTGTCTTCACACATTGAGCCCATCAAGAAGCGAACCCAGGTTTTCGGTTTGACGAGCGAACGCTTTAACCACTAAGGTACATTTCCTCACTACACTCGCATACATACATAAGCACACGCACACGCACACGCACACGCACACGCACACGCACACCCTTGTGAAAGAAAAACATTTAAACCATAACAATACTCAGCGCCCTTTATGTTGATGTATATTTGGACTGCTACTTAATGACGACAGGTGGTATAAGAGAAAGATGCAATCAATGATGAACGAGTGGGTTCGCCCAGTTGTCAAAGCGTTTGCTCGCCACGCTGAAGGCCACGTTCGATCCCCCAAATGACATTTAAAATACATTTACCTTAGGACAAATCTCGTCGACGAGATCGGAGCACGCCTTTTCACGCACAGGATCGGGATCAAACGTCCTTGCGTCGGCGGTGACCACGTGACCTCCAGCGTCGATGCCGACCTTTGTCCCTGTGTTGCCATGGATGGGGAGGGCGTAAATGTCGTAACGGGGCCCGTGGAAACACCATACCGGAAACCTGCACATAAGTAAAAAGAAAGATGTGAACAGTTCCCCTGTTTCTTATTTATTTGTATTAAATGTGTTCAGTCGTTACATCCGTGTAGGCGCCCACATTTTGGATAATTTTCAATCACGTTGATGGGATAATTCTGTTTTACGTTGACTGGATAATTCTGCTTCACCGTGATTGTACAATACTGCTTCACGGTGACTGGCATTTTTTAATTTTCGGTGTTTTGACAATTCTGGTTCATGGTGATTGAATTATTCTACTTTATCGCTAATAATGGAAAAATACGTCATCTGATCCCAAACAACCAGAAAATCTGAAAACCCTCTAAAAGTGTTGTACGCTTGTAGCAAGAACTGTAACTGACAAATCTTGATGCTACTGTCACTGTAGTCTTGGCTGTATCGTTATTGACTTTTTGGTGTTTTTAGTTCGGATCCATCGTTCATATAGATCAGTTACAAGTGCATGTATATATCACGATATTGTGCCATAGCTTAATTCAAATCTAAAGTATATGAACAACGTGACAATAGGTGCGAATAATGATTCACATTACTGATAGGTGGCCCCGAGACACAAAACGTCCCGTATTTTGTATTTCTACAAGAGGCGAAGGCCACATACTGTGTGGGATGCATTGATAGGTTCTTAGGGAAGATAATCAAACTTATTGCTGTTATGTCTCTCACCCTAAGAAGGCAGCATTGTGTTACTGATAAGGTTCTGAGTAGAGTTATGTACTTCCACAATTCAAAACATAATATGTTGTTCCTGAATTTGAGTTGTAATCCGACTTTGTTTGACTTCTGTACAGTCATGGAGGGTATATAATTCAGCCTCATAAGATTTTAAACGAGACTAATTGCTAAGAAATTGAGATACATAATGGATGCTGTGTGAATAAATGTCTTAATTCTTTGCTCAAAGAAATATAAAAATACCTTTTCATCTGAAACATATGCAAATAACATGTATGTAATTTGTGAAGCTCATTCATGTTTACCATTTTCATCAAGTTGCTTTAACATTTTATAACATTGATGACATCTCCATGCAGAATGCCTCGTCGAGAGAATGAATGTATTTTTACAAATCGTGGCGGCATTGCGAGTGAGTGACTATGGTTTTACGCTTTTCGCAATATTTCAGCAATATCATGCCGGGGGACACCAGAAATGGGCTTCACACATTGTACCCTTGTGGGGAATCGAACCCGAGTCTTCGACGTGAAGAGCGAACGTTTTAACCACTTGGCTACCCGACCGCCCGGCCGCACAACGAACTACTGATCCAAAACGTCAAATTTAAGTTTCCCAACGTCCCTATCGTCCTTCGAGATCGTTGGCGGTCGTCACATTTACTTACATACTTCACTACCGGTTATAATGTGTTCCTAATTCGATCATTATTATCATACAACTATTAATAGAAACTAATATATATTACAAGTTTGGAAATCTTAAGTTAATCTTAAGAAGAGAAGTGTTAAGCGTTCTCTACAGAAATAGCACATTGCCTATATATCCTAGTTTAATCTGTAACTATAATTATGTGATGAATATGTCTTGTATTCCTCATGTACCACCGTGTGTGTTTATAGATAAGTAAGATAATATGAATCTAACAAAAGCACCCGTAATTCAATTCATGAACTAAAGCATGGCAGTGATGGTAGGTGATGGTATGTAACTACCTGTCTTTCGTGAACTCCTTCATATGCGGCGTGGCGTAGTACGTCACCTGCTCCTGTGTGACGGTGACGGGGACGTAGACGCCGATTGTCCCCACGACCGAGTTGAGCCACCCCCCTGCCGTCACCACCACCTTCCGGCACTCGAACACGCCCTTCGTTGTGTGAACCTGTTAACCAAGTGCCATGGTCATCTTTTATCTAATGGCTGTGCTTAAAAGGAAGCCATCAAACATAACCCTAAGGCTGAAAGATCTAAAATACCATGTGACCTTATACGTTGCAATGGGATTTTCCATTCTTCATACGGCACCAGTCTTGAAATGTCCAGTTAAACATTGAGACGCTAAATAATAGTGTGATGTAAGATTCTGTAGGCCCCGTTGGGGAATAAGCAGCGCCTGGAATGAACGCTCGATGGATAGAATTTGATATGTTCAGTCGAAAGGTGTGCGCGAACGTTCATTTCGTAATTCCCGTACACCCAATGACACCGTTTTGGTATGAAATAATACTTATTCCCCAAAGCGTTGCTTGTGACAGCTGATTAAGATAAGCAGACCTAAATATTGTGGAAGTAGATTGGCAAACAGTCCAACTCTGACCTATGTAAATGTCTCTCCAAAATGACATTACTTTTATAACAAGGGTGTGTGAATTACATTATTACAAAAAGCTGAAGAGACAATTACGCTGACCAATCATCATACTAAGCGAGATGCACATTCCAACAGAGAAATCATCTTGATTCAGTTTTGTAGTCATGAAAGGACAAATTTATCACTGCAAGTTCACATTTATTTTCGATGAAGTATCTTTTGCTTTTCGGTGTCATCTAATTCAAAGTGCGAACACAGTCAACTGTGACGTGCACGTGACGCAGGATATACAGACCACTGAGTTGAGTTTAACTTAAAACTGTCGTTGATACGTTAAGGTCAAGGTCGCACTTACAATGAATGAATGTGTGAGTTTTAACGCCATTTGGACAGTATTTCAGTTATATCAGACCGTGTCAGCTTGACGTGAGAGGAAAATAATGTCCAAAGTGTTGCAGATGTCAGAAATTTACCACTTTGGTGAAACCCACGAGCATGGGTATGGTGCTGACAAACCTATAAACATAATCGGGTATATCAGGGATTCGAACCCATGATCATAGATTTTTGGCACGCTTAAGTGACGTAGATCTTCACAGCGAATTGCAGCGCCTTAGACGACGGAGCCATAGCAATTACAATGATGATACTTACCACGACGTTACCGTTATTAGCCCTGTGAAGTCTCGTGACGGGGCACCTGTCTATGATAGTTGCCCCATTACCCCGGGCTAACTGAATGTGAGCTGCGTTTGCCAGAGCGGCGTCGACTATCCCAGAATCCTTCACGTGAAATCCCTCAACGTTTGACGCCAGATTGAACTGAGGAAAACGCCGCATCAACTCCGTATTTGTCAGGCGATCAAATCTGATAACCATAAAGTTTGAGCATGAACTACAGTTTCGCCGTGAAGCTGTAGTATTTAAATAAATGTAATGCAATTTAGCTAAATGTAGATGACATATACATATGTCACTCATTTTGTTGTTATCCATTGGGAAAGGTCTATGGGTTTAAAGTTCAAGATGTGTTAAAACATGCATCTGATAAGTATATTGATCCAAAACATATATCTGACATGTATAGTTATCGTGGATCGGTGTAGGCGAAACTTTGGGTGAAAAGCACCAAACTTATCAAAGTTTGTGCCATTCCGAACATTTCTGGATCCAACAGTGCCCCTTGGTAGTAGAGAATCCAAGATGGCCGTCAACATGGCTGAAATCTGTAATGATATCAATCTATACTCAATATCTCATACAAATGGGGTCAATATACATATTATCATGAAAAATTAGTCATAATTAATTGCAATATTGCTGTATATAATTCAAATTCAATAAGCAGCTTCCCCTGGTGGAGACAAAAATCCAAGATGTTAAATGGCTTACTTAGAAATATTCTACCTTGTATTTTTAAAATGCTGTGTTTTAGAGAACAATTTAATAAATGCATCTTCTCATTAATAAAATAAAGTGAACTGTATCCATTATTTTAGATATGTATACGTAATACTGACATTAATGCCATGAACCCGAACCCTATGATATCAACTCACTTCATACTTACATATGACCTGGAATATCAGTTCAATGCATGTGTTTGCGGTGTGCTGCTTTAGGACTTTCTGTTTGAATGAAATCTTTTCATTTGGCCGAGATCTTCTTGCTTCATGGGTCATCCAACGAGTTCTGTCATACATGAGAACCACAAACCCTGCATTGTGCTTTCAGAAATATCTGACAGGGAGTCGGCTAGTGACGGAAAGGCAGTGGTGACTTCAGGAAATGCATGTCCATTACACGTATCCGAAGCAAATGAACCGGTGAAGGCATGAAATAGTGACAATAAAAATAATACTGATATTTGACAATTTCATTTTTTAGGCCATCTTGGGTTTTTGCCACCGTCAGGGGGCGCTGCATACTAGATTTGTATTGTATTTCGCATTGTTGAAATAATTCCTAAATAAATCACTCAAATTGACCAGATAATTATTATATATGGATTGGCATCCTGAGAGATTTTAGCTAGACGTAGACTTTCTACCACCAGGGGGCGCTGCTGAACGGGCTCCCTATCCAGAAGTATTCGGAATGGTTTAATGTATAAGTTTGCCATGTTTGGTGCCTTTAGTACAAGGTGCACAATTTTGATAAAATCCTCCCTTAACCGCCCAACAATAATATAAAAAAATGTTTCTCATAAGGATTGTAACCAAAGGTATGTATCTGATACGTATAGTAATCTAAGATATGTATCTGATAAGTATAGTAATCCAAGATATGTATCTGATAATTATACACATCAATCGTATGCTAGTATGTGGGATCAAACACAGGTCTAAGGCATGACGAGTGTACACACTTTCTACTGCACTACCAAACTTGCCATCGCACAAGGTAGCGTCTGAGAATTATATACTTTTACATAATGATACCCCCGGATAGACAAATGTACTTGTTCCTCTAATACACGTGTTTACATGTTTTTTCCTGATATCTGATGTCATACTTGATGTTATCTCGGGTCATGGCGGCCATATACGTCTGTAGCACGTGATCGCCTTCTCCTCTCCTCGCCAGCTGCAAGCCTCCTGTTTTATGGATGATGTTCAGCCCACTTTCTCTTTCCAGGTCTTCCCATCTGAAGTGAGCATCATGGTTACATGTTTGTGCCCCTATACTGAGTGAGTGTGTGAAAGTGGTTTTACACTATTGTCAGGTTTGTCAAGTGATGTAGTTATGTATTATTTTCAAATTACCACCATAATCCAATTTATTTTTCTGTGCTTAAGGCCACACTTTCTTAACTTACATTACGGATTTTGTACAGGAAAATATGTGGGATTTATTTTAGAATTCTCCTCCACTAGAGGTCGGGGTATTAAAAAAATTAAAATGATTTTGAGGGAGGAGAGCCTGCAACACAGCTGTTGCTTTAAGCAATGCGAACCTGAAGAATCAAGCGAAACACTGCAGCTATACATCATATCAAGTAAAGAAACAACAAAACTCCCATGTTACATTTATGACAACTTCAGTATTTCAGGAGTACAAAGTCACAAGGCTGAACAAGAAAAAGTCTTGACCTGATATGATACTAAATGAAATGATCCAAATATCATTGCATATTGTGATGGACCACTACCTCAAACTATTTAATAATACACAAATGACGTTCACAACCATTCAGGAATAGCCTGTCTTGGAGGATGTCTCTCTCAGATCTTTTTATCCATCATCAGTTCCAGGTTAATTTTGAACCATAACAACGCCTAGTCAAGCAGGTTTTCAAGCCAATCACTAAACAACAGATCATATTTCCATTTTAAGATCTAATCCATATTATAAATGTTCAAAGAAGAAATCGTATACTTGCATTGTGGACTTACTTTAGAGCTTAACATTACTTGCTAAATATTCAAGTTCGTAAGCAACGTGTACACATATCTCTCATATCCCTCGCAAACCGAAATCCAGTCGTGTCTTGATGTTGTACATTGTTTATGTCACGGGCAATGAAGGTACTTACACAACTACCAGTTGAAGTGCTTTGTGCCTGCCCATGTGCCAGTAGTTTGAAGTTTAGATTCGAGGTCGAAAAAATATGTCAGAAGAGTGACAAACATCCCTTCTCTCATAACAATAATGTATACAATAGTTCATCACTTGATGTCAGGGTACAGGGAGTGTCAATAATGTATTGATCGGATCGCTAAAAACAATTATCCTTGCAAACAAATAGAGCCTTTTGTCGTTTCTAAACGCAAATCTTGTTTGTTTTTTAAACATTAATGCAAGACTATTAATAAAAGGTACTTGTTTTAAAAATAGTATCTTGTTGCACGATGCTATCAGTATATCGGCGGGATGAAAAAAGAAAATTCAGAAAGGAAAATTCATTTTCACAAAATCTACATTTACAAATGTGTGGCCTCAGATTCATACTCAGCATCGTCATAAATCTCTATTTTGAAAGGCGGGTTTGTCTTGTATCGTGGTAAAATAGTTTGTTGTTTTAATGTTTTCATACTACATTTAAATACAAATATGTGATATGTTACACGTTATTTTGTTTCCTTTGACCACAGTTTTTAATCTAACACAACCATAATACATTTATTGGTCACATTTTCTTTGAATTCGAAATGATGCCGACGTGACTTCTTTGAACAAGGATATTGCTGCAATAGTTCATATGTGACCCTAAATTCTGACTCACTCGTGTGTGTTGCGAAATCCTTCTTGTTGCAAGTTTCAATTCCAGATAATTGGTCCATGCTTGTTTTGTATACAATCTCCACAAACCTGTGATTATTGAATTAAATAACACATGTAACTTACGCGCTGTAGGCATGAGGGATGAGGCGACTGTATGTTTCATCGTGGTAACCATGGCGACTATAAATAAAACATAATAAACCAATTAGTCACAACATTGCATTTACAGTGAAACATCTGTTCGCACATAAATACCTTTGTACTGATTCATGGTAAAATATGTATTTTATTTGTGGAACAATGTGGTTTGTGACAGCTGTACATTGTTATGCTGATATATTCGCATTTCATGGTCGTCTGAATAGGTTTACGGAATGAATCATGATTTTCTACTGTTCGACTGTTACGACTAGGTATATTTTCTGCTCCGGGTGGAAAGGAGTGTCAAATTAGCCGTTAAGTCTGCTGTATTGATTTTCAGGGAGGTGCATTACAATAAATGTAGATAAAGGATATACACCAAATAACAGTTTTAACTCCCAATCAGGAACCGCGACGTCCACTGTGAAGAGGTCTGAATGGTAAACATCGAGAGCTCCTTCTACAAACGATTAGGTTGAAGGAATAAGAAAAACACAGGGTACTACACTGCCTACTCAAAATGTTTTTGCTACATGCCTCCAATCAAGATTTTGTACTGACTTGTGTTGGAAAGTGAACAATGTCGCTCATTAATGCCCGTCTTACTTCAGATCTTGCAGCTATTTCGTACAACTTGATGACTACCTTTAGTTATGGTCATAATTTGACTGAGTTCGTTTAAGTTATATGTGCATACTGGCTCTGATTTGTTTCTTTCAAATCATATCACTTTTTCTCGATTCCGATTCGCTGACTGTCAAACTCACCTTGGCTCCATTTTGTTATAGTCAAATTGACCTGGTTTGGTTCTAGTTGTTTGCCTTCAAGCATACCCACTCGCATTGGTTGCTTTCCCCGGAACTTACTATCAAATAAGTAGGGTATGTTCGAGAATAACAGATGGTTACAGAAATACAAAGACGTCTCGAGTGATGATAATGGATGTTGGCGGTGTGTTGTGAGGGTGCAAACAACCAAGAAAGACGACAGGGGTATAGTAAAAAAAGAACGTTTGAGATGACTTGATCAGTTATGGGTAATGTCCAATGATTGGTCACAAATTCGTTTGTAGGGCGTGGCAAGGTCCGAATCAATCTCCCAATGAAAATTAGAGGGAGTCTTATCCACTCCAGTTCGGAGCGGATGTCCCAGATGTGCTCTGTTTGGGAAAAGTCAGGACTGGGAGATCTGGCCTTTGCATTCTGGTGATGTTTTGCTGCTGGAGATAGTCAGTTACGATATTGCACGGTGGGCACGATCATTGTCGTATTGGAAGACAAAAGGTGGACCTGTTTATCGCGCAAACGGCACCACTTTTGGCGACAGTATGTTGCCTCAGTAGAACTGTCAAGCGACCCATCCATGGACAGTATGCAGTGGCGTTCTGGCAGTCATAGTGATCCTGCCCCATATCATTACAGATACACCCCCAATTCTCTCTTGTTGTCTTACGTTGACGAGCTGTTGATTAGGTGCATGCAAATCATTTCTAATTGTCTGGTCTGCTACTTGAACTCTGGTGGCTTAGCGCAAGTGAACAGCTATTTGATTGGCTGATTGGGCTCGATTTCTTAAAGCCTGGTTTCTGATTAATCCATCCTGGACTTGTTGCTGACTTTTGATGGCCTTGTGCGGGGCCGATCATTGCATGTTCTTTCTGCAGAAATCTGTTCCAGAAGACACATTGAGCATACTGGCTATCTCTCGCTGAGTGACCCTTCCATGGACAATATGCAGTGGCGTTCTGTCCGTCATAGTGATCCCGTCCCATATCAGCACAGTCCCAAATTTGCTGCCCTGCGTTGACTTCACATGACGTTCGTTAGCACGCCTCCAGAAAGTGCAGAGTGAATCAACTGTGAACATTACACGAGACAGGTGTTTGAAGGGCATTTAGAAGTGAGAATATATGAAGGAGTAAACATATACTCCGAAACGTTTTGTTCCTCATAATAAAGAAGTTGACATCCATATATTTTCTTTCTTATTACACGAGACCATCGCTAGTTCCCCCTGTGTCTACGCTCTAAACACCATTGGCGTCTGGTTAGGATTTGTCGATGTGTTAAAAGGTACAACGAGTGGTCGTCGAGCATGCGGATATATTGGTTTCATGCTGACATTTTCTAATCGTCTGGTCAGTAGCTTGATCAGCGGTGGTCTGGCACAAGTGAAAAGCGATTTGATTTTGGGCTCGATTTTGTAAGCCTTGTTTAAGGGACCTATGGCGCCCTGTGCGAGGCCAATCATTCAGTTTGTTTTTGCAGAAGCCCGATCCAAAGTCTGCAAATTACAGACTGAGACACATTGAACATGTTTGCTACTTCTCGATGAATTCTACCAATTTCAAGCATGCCAGTTGCTCGTAGGCGTCCATCACCTTGTAGTCGACGCATCCCCAATCTGATCACAAATACTGCAGTAAAGCAAGGTCATGGTAAAATGTCTGTACTTGTATGCATCAGTCAGCGCATGTATAAAGGTCCATAATGAACGTACGGACTGCTTTACAACATCCTCCGGTGTACGACAAGGTTGTGTTTTAAGTCCGTTGTTGTTATATTTTTTCATAAATGAACTTGCTTAAGAGCTGCAAAATAGTTCTCAACATGGGATATTTGTTATACAAGAAATAATGGACATTATGCTCCTTCTCTTTGCTGATGATGTTGTACTTTTTTCCTATTCTGTAAACGGTTTGCAAAAACAGTCAAATGTCAGAGTTACTGTTCAAAATGGAGCCTTGAAGTAAATCTGAATAAAACCAGTAGTTGTAGTTTTTAGGAAAGGTGGTATTGTTGCAAAACATGAAAAGTGGTTTCTTGGTTCGTCTGCCTTGAGTGTAGTCACTTACTATACATACTTAGGACTTATGTTTTCTAGCTTGTCATGGTCTATGGCATGTAAGCAATGAGCGTTGAAAACCAGTATGCCTCTTTATAATTTATTCAGGAAAAATAGTCGTGTATCTTTTTTCACCGCATGTACCATTTAAGGAGGCAAAATTATGCCTATACTTTTGTGTGGTTCTGGAATATGGGGTGCTAAGTATTATGCTGCAGTTGAAAAAGTTTACACTTCATATTTCAAATGTTTTCTAGGTGTTGGTAAGTTTGTCAATCCTTGGTGAAACAGGCCGTAGTAATAATTTTTGTGGCCAGCCAATTAAGGGTAATTAAGTATTGGATTAAGTTACTTAGAATGATGCCTGAATTATGCCTGATAGATACCCATATCAGTGTTACAAAATGTTAAAGGTGCTTGATGATAATGGAAAAAAATAATTAGGTTTCAGATGTGAGATATCTATTATTTGTTAGTGGCTTTTAATATGTACGGATTTCCAAAGATGTGGGAGATCCACAGTTATTTTTTTTCAACAGTGGCACCAAAGTATTTCTGAATCACTTTATCTTAGCAATTACCAATAAAATCATTGTTACAAACTGAAAGATATTTAACTTGTTTAAATGATAAAAGTTTAATCAGAGCTTATAGTAAATTTTAATGTAAATATATGTCGCAGGTCCAAAGACAGTGATATTGTGAACTCTATTTGTACAAACTGTTCATCCGGAGAAGTAGAGGATAAATACCATGTCTTACTAATATGTGAAACGTATTCTAATTTAAGGTACAAATTTCTCCCCATGTTGCAAGGTATTTTTAACGACCGTCAGTTAATGATAAATCTACTAACCTCTGAAAATCCTGATAGGATTCATGCTGTTTCTGTATTCTTAAAACATGTCTTTATAACAAGGAATATGTATATTGATTTAAAATCTAATCATGTATGTAACGTGACAAATCTTAATATCCAATCTGCATTGTACTATGGGCCCTGATGGCAAAATTACTGAATAAACTGTCTGTCCGTGAAGCAAGAGCTTACGCGATTCTGTTGATTATGAAAATCATAGCGATTTGAAGATCTTTGACTGACGTGTCAAAATCGAGAATGACACTCTGCCTACGTGCCCAGAGGAATTGCATGGTCAACATTGCAATATCCGGGGCGTGTTGGGGCATTAGGTTTTGGTTCCGAAACCGTTCTATCTCTTTCAGTCATTTTTCAAAGCTGATCTTTCTTCCGACGACTGATCATTGCATTTATATTTCTTTATCCCCTATATTTTTGGGAGAGAGTACATATGAAGTAAAGCAATACAGAGCTGAAATAAGTTAGAGATCTTGTACTCACATAACTCGAGAAACATCCTGTGAACCGCCTCTCTCATGTCCAAGTTCAAACTGTTCCAAACCCAAAACTGAAATACAATCGGAATGCAAATGTTTTAACCTCCCAATCCAAACTTCAAAATCTTAATCCATCATAAATCCACTCCAAGTTTTTATTCTAATTTCAAAACGACCTGACAGATGTCTCAATATATATTGGACAAGGTAGGTAGAAACATGCAAGATGTTCTTGCGGTGGCAACAAACAAACGCTTACCATTTATGCATATTATGCCAGTGGCGGGTGCTACCGATAGAATACGACATGCTTACCCTTTTCGTAAACACATTGAGTGATCACTGGGGCAACTTAAAAATGTATGTCTGCGTGTAGGGGAATAATGCAATGCTGCTAACACTGTTAGAACGAATGAGTGAGTGAGTTTGGTTTAACGCCGTAGACAGTATTGCAGTTGTATCACTGTTGTAAGTTTAATTTGGGAGGCAAGCCAGAAATGATGCAGGTCTCAGGCGTTCATCAGTTTGGATAAACCAACGAAAACGGGTATGGTACTGACAAACCTAGAAACATCATTGGGGCGAACCGGAATTCGAACCCACAACCAAAGGTTCCTGGCGTTCCCAAGGGACGTAACTCTGCACAGTGAAATGCGGCGCCACCCGTGCCCCCCACTACTATTAGAGGTTGTATCGACAGTATAGTCACTATATTGCTGGCAATTGAAGGGCGATTTCTTTCAGATACAATCATGTTGACTGTTCTGCACCGATATTGAGACAATAACGTCATCTTTAGTTTAGTTTCGTCAAGCAACGACTTGAATATAAAATATATTAACAGAAACCGGCATATAATTGTCAGACTGTATGTCGACGGCAATCAGCTCAGAGTTAAGACGAACTTCGACATCAACAAATACAATCAATAATGGTAATAAGTCGAGCCGTGATTCCAACTCTGCAAGTAAGTCATGACCAGCAAGCAGGTGTATCCTACACGCGGATGTACACACAGGTGCAGTCTGAATACCAGACATGTACAGTATAGATATTATCATAGTAACTGACAACAAAGGGCAGACGAAGAGGCAATGTCTTTGCCCTGGACTTGGAGTGAGTTAGTGAACTTGGAGTGAGTGAGTTTGATTTTACGCCGCTTTTAGCAATATTGACGCAATAACACGGTGGGGGACACCAGAAATTGGCTTCACACATTGTACCCATGTCGGGAATAGAACCCGGTTCTTCGGCGTGATGAGCCAACGTTTTAACCACTAGGCTACCCGACCGCCCCCGACAGCCAGCTGGTTAACCTGACCTGAATAGGCGCTCCCCCAACTGGCAATTATTCTGCACCCTTAGTCATATACCTAGCTACTTGAACCCACCCTACTGTGTCCACATGCCAGTCTTCACAGAGGTAATTACGACTCAGTTATGGCAGTGACGACGTTGAGAATAGAATACCGAATATCTAGGACGCAACATGATAACAAAGCCATTCGCGAAATCTATACAGAGATACACACATTTCTTTCCTCGATGTATGATTATCCGCAGTCAGTATGGTTTGCCGGATGTCTGCACATCTCACTCGGGCCATCTCACCGATTACATTTCACGCTCTGTTCCGGATTAAAAGTGCATGTGCATATAGAAATATAGCCCATGCACACACCATGTCAACATGTCAGCTCCATACCGTGGAAACATGAAGTGAACTGGTTACCGGCCTGTTATTAACTCAAGTTGTTGTAATAAAATTATGACTAGTACGTGTATAGCTCGGGAAATTATCACGGAGTACATCGATATAAACTGTTCAGTCACAAACCTACGGAATTTTTTTTTTTTTTTTAAATCTCAGAAAAATACGACGGTAATCATCCCCCACAGTCTGAATATGATTTATGAAGGTTGTGTTCTCGGCCGTAATGTGAGGTCATGTAAGACTGTTTGACCCCATCGCGGCTCTCGGCTACACACTAGATATCCACACGAAGAATGATTCCTGCCATTGCTGTGCAAAGTATTCCAGGTATTTTATCGACCTATACAGGAATGACTCGTCTTGACCTAGATAGCAACCTCTACTATATTAATACCTACTGTTAGAGTACATATATGTTTGGCGTCACAGGTAAAATGTGCACAGCATTCTATAGGATGCATACCTGAGGAGGATGTCTTTGACAACCAAAATACTGCTGCGCTACCGATTCCTCCGCATCCGACGACGATAGTGTCAAAGTAAGGAGTTGTCTTGTCCGCCATGCTGGACACAATGTAGGCCGACACAAACATATGATAAGTATGTTGCCTCGGGGTCAAGTCATAGCCACGGACCTGCGCGAGCTGCAATGACCCGTTAACGTAATGAAGGCATCATTGATCTGGCCTGGTATGTTAGGTAGCGGAAAGCGAGCGCTTAAAGGGACACTAGACTCGAGCAAACTGACAGTCCAGCCAAATATAATTCCAGCCATTTAAACAATCTTTGTTTCAGCCACAAATAGTCAGAATGTTTCAATCTCACTGAAGGCATTAATGGGTGGTATTTGTGTCCTGAAGTGCGATAACTCTCCTTTTGAAAGGGCTTCCCTGTTGCACCCTCATTCAAACACAGTCGTATACTTCTGAATATCCGAAACTAACACATGTTTTGTAGGTGTAAAAGCTGGACAAAGTCGTTCTCTGGGTCCATGTATTATATTAATACTGAAGATCTTGTCCACGAGGCGAATGAATGTTGCTGGTGCACCGGTTAGTCCAAAGGGCATCCTGGTATTTTCATATAGTCCGCTAGTACCTATCCTGAGGGCAGTCTTTTCGATGTCTCCCTCAGCAACTGGAATCTAGTTGAAACCACGCGCCAGATCCAGTCTGCAGTCAGGTTCTCAGCACCCTTCAAAACATCTAATGCTTCATCAATCCCGGGCAGAGGATAGGCATCTTTGCGTGTCTTCGCATTTAAAGCGCGGTAGTCACAGCAATTCCTCAGCTTTCCATTTCTCTCGCGAACCAGGACCACTGGTGATGCATAAGGACTTGAAGATACCCTTGTGATGCCATTAACTAGTGCTTTTGCGATATATTTCCGGACTTCTTCCCATTGCTGGGGAGGAATCCGTCTATGGCCTTGACTGGGATTTCATCCAGGGTTACGATCTTTGCTGAACTGCATCGCAAAATCCAATGTCTTCATCACTTGAGCTAAAGGTGTTGTGATGTTTGAAAATAACTTCAGACAACTTTTCATGACACTGGTGGTCACTGATGTTCTTTCCTAGATCCATCTTTTCAATAAGATTTTTGATATTTCCTTTTTTACCAGGTCCTCCTTGACATTCCTGACTTAAATTTCATTGTTGCTGATGTTGACAATTTCGAACTGTGGCTCCAAGGAAGCATGCTTAAGTGTGGCTTGGCTTGGGTTCTTGGCTTGAGATACAAGATGCTGTTGCTGAAGTTGGTGACTTGTACTGGGATGCAACCTAAACTTGATACTTTCACAAATGATGGGCCGATGGCTAAACCTTTAGCAATGAGTCCGCATCAAGTTCATCCACAATAGCTTACAAGACTCTTTGATCTGCCTACAGCTCCCCTCAATGATGGATTGTGCGCGGAGTAGTACAGGTGCTCTGCCCCCTTCCCTGACTCTACCTACATCATTGTTCTTTCTCCCTGCACAGACGTCTTCGTAGAGGGGCAAAACGGTCTGCCAGTCTTTAGGGAAGTTTTCTGTAGGAGTGCTTAATTTCATATCCCTGAGGACATTAGAACCCAAAACTCCTGTAACTTCTTGCTTTCTCAATCTTTTGCTTTCATCCTTTGGGTCCCTAACTAAATCGAAGAAGGTCAAACTTGGGATCTCGATGTTTAATCTTCTCAGTACCCTCTTTTGTCCTCCTTTGTTTAACAGTCTCTGCAAAGCGACCCTTTAGGGTGTCTGTTGTTGCTTTGAGTGTTTGATCCAACTCAACCATGCGATCGACCAGTTCAACCATGTTAAAAGAACAGATGACGATGTCATCAGCCCCTTCGTGCAGGGGATAGGGAAGTTGATCATCATCTCCAAGTACCTTAAGCAGGAATTTCAGGATTTCCTCAGGGTTGTCATTCGGGTCATCTCCTCTACCAAGGATCTCCTGTTTGGCCTTTCCTGCCAAATTATCCACAATATGTGCTCCCATCTCTTGCTTGGTCTTTTTTTCTGGCGTCGGCATGGCTTCTGACATCTGCAATCCAGTCTGAGACCGACGGATCGCTTGCTTTCTCTAGCCGCCCCCTAAATCTGCCCAGACGTCTGCCTGAAACCATCATGACAGATTTTGGAGCTTCCTTTTCCTGATTCTAAATCCAGACATCTTGGTCCTTTAAACTTGTTCGAAGCTACGCCAGCTCGTCAGCCATTTTAGTCATCTCCTTGGGACTCTTGGGATTTTCAGTGTCTCTCGGCATGTCAACAAATCTTAAAAAGATATAGTTCCATTAATGTGACATACAAAAATACTTCTTAATCAGGAATGTTTCAGTCAGAAACTGCCGAAGATAATATAAGCAAAAGTGCGTGTCTGATAGCAACTTCACATAGGTATTGTTAGTTTAGGATATCAACATTTCTTCACCATGAAAGGTGACGGGAAGAAAGCCACGAAAAACTGCCTGTTCGATAATGTCTACGTCAGAACACAACGATGAGATATTCTACGAGTCTCGACCCAGTGTAACATCGCATCGTTGACAAACTCATTTTATTTAATCGTCAAGGAAACACTTTAAATAAAGCGCCCTAGATTGAACGAGGTTATCTCACAGCCGCGCTTCGGACGACTATCGAATGGTTTATCATTACAATATAAGCAGTCGTTGGCATCCCAGATGTATCACAGAATCCGGGAACATATCTTTCAGGAGATGACAATAACATATATTTCAGGAGATGACAATAGATACATCATTGTTTAGGCGAAAATATATATCACCTATACACCAGCGTGGCCGTTACCGATTAAGGTGAAAGCTGTACTGGTTAACCGTCAATATGTGTTACGGTAGTACCTCTCATATGGCACATACCACGTGCGCTATTAGTATAAGGGTGGACCGGCTAAGATAAATTAAGAACTAGGTCTCCAATCGCAACACGCAAACACCTTGTCTGGAAATGGACAACGTCCGGGGATTATATCAAGTGTAGCCTCCCTTTAACTACAAGCAGGCTGAACTGGTTTCGTATCTAACGCAATAATACATTTTAACTTATGCTGTCACGGCTGTGCTCTGGCAGGCATTCTGCAGGTTATATGAGCGTGCATAATGTGGGCATAAGCTAATGCAAATCAATTTAGAAAAAATCATACGTGCGAAGAGTGAATAAGTGATTGTGTGTGTGTTTCGCTCAAAGCCACTTTAGGTAGTATTTTCGTTATTTCATGGCGTGTCAATTTAACGTGGAAGGAAAGCCGTAGGTGTTTGCCCTTTGATGTGGATAATACTGAGTCAAAGGATCATAGTTATAACTCGCTATAAGCGGATCCTAAGCGGACAACTAAGGGAGGTCAATCTACATAGCAAAGACCCAATAAGACAGTGAGACTAAACATTATTTGCTATTCAATACGTTTTGGATTGTATCAAAACTATTCTGCAGCTTATTTTCTGAATAGTGAGTGAGTGAGTTTGGTTTAACGTCCCTTTAAACTTTCTTCCCACATCAAGTTGCTATTCCGTGATATAATTAAAACATTGATCAAAGTGGTGTACCTAACTCACTCACTCATTATATTGGCATTTTATTCTGAGCTGGAACAGCATGATTTTATTATGAACCTGCAAGATCGTCATGACTTGCGTGGAGACAATGTGACCTCATTGGCATGATGCAATATTTTCCCCTGAAAACTGCTCGGTCAGCGCCACATGCATTGTGTATCGAAATCCCATAAAGTGGAGAGGTAAATATAATGTCGTCCGGGGAACATTAATTTCCTCCCGACTTCTACTACAAGTAGATAAGTTAATAACGCATGCAGCGTGATTTTGTTATTTCTAAGATGCACATCCAGAATGATTAATCATTATTATGATTATGATAATTATGATTATGTTAACGGGGTCACGTGCGCGTATTTCTATTTGCGTTTCAGACTTTCCTCATTGGACTTAGAATAAATGTAAAGTTGCTTTTTTCGTCCGAAATGTGCAAAACTGTCGAAAGGACTCCTTGTGACTGAAATTGTTCAAACCACACGTAGGTACATCGGTAGTTACTCGATATTCCAATAGCAACAGTTTGTCAAACATTCTATCTTGTTTAAACGGGCAAAAAGCATTCTTTTAGCATTTCCGACAGTACTGCAGCTGGAACGACCCACTCCTAAATACTTGTCGTAAGAGGCGACTAACGGGAACGGACTAATTTGGTTGATGCGTCGCGTCGTATCCCAATTGCGTAGATCGATGACCATGATGTCAGACCGCCGTCATATAGCTTGACTATTGCTGAGTGCGGCGTTAAACAACAAACAAACAAAACAAATAAGGACGAGCGTTGCAAAATAGCAACTTTAAATTCGCCTGAAGCGTCTTTAAAATACAATGTCGTGGCCATGGTACACTCAATTTTATGACATACCATTTGTTAGTTTTGTTGTTGTTGTTTTTATTTGTTTGTTTGTTTAACACCGCACTCAGAAATATCCCATATATATGATGGGGGCCTGTTAATAATGAGGTCTGAATTAGATAATCCAGTTATTGAAATACTGCCTTCTTGTTATGATAGCTGAAAGCTGGATAGCCATTCCTGTTGTCAACAGGCTTATGTGGTCTTACTTTGGACCTTGCCTGGTTGTAGTTGCGATGTCGCTGAGAGAGACAACAGTAAGGACGAGATAAAGAGGTACCATGACACAGCACAACATTCTGGACACGATAACGGGGTACCATGACACACCACAACATTCAGGACACGATGACAGGATACCACGACACACCACAACATTTAGGACACGATGACAGGATACCATGACACACCACAACATTCTGGACACGGTGACGGGATACCACGACACAGCACAACATTCAGGACACGATGACAGGATACCACGACACACCACAACATTCTGGAGACGATGACGGGATACCACGACACACCACAACATTCAGGACATGATGACGGGATACCACGACACAGCACAACATACAGGACACGATGACAGGATACCACGACACAGCACAACATTCTGGACACGATGACGGGATACCACGACACACCACAACATTCTGGACACGATGACGGGATACCACGACACAGCACAACATTCTGTACACGACGACGGGATACCACGACACACCACAACATTCTGGACATGGTGACGGGATACCACGACACAGCACACTATTCTGGACACGACGACGGGATACCACGACACACCACAACATTCAGGACATGGTGACGGGATACCACGACACAGCACAACATTCAGGACACGATGACAGGATACCACGACACAGCACAACATTCTGGACACGATGACGGGATACCACGACACAGCACAACATTCTGGACACGATGACGGGATACCACGACACAGCACAACATTCTGGACACGACGACGGGATACCACGACACACCACAACATTCAGGACACGATGACGGGATACCACGACACACCACAACATTCTGGACACGATGACGGGATACCACGACACACAACAACATTCAGGACACAATGACGGGGTACCAGACACAGCACAACATTCAGGACACGATGACGGGATACCACGACACAGAACAACATTCAGGACATGGTGACGAGGTACCATGACACGCTACAATATTCCGGACATGATGACGGGGCACCATGACACAGCACAACATTCTGGACACGACGACGGGATACCACGACACACCACAACATTCAGGACACGATGACGGGATACCACGACACACCACAACATTCTGGACACGATGACGGGATACCACGACACACAACAACATTCAGGACACAATGACGGGGTACCAGACACAGCACAACATTCAGGACACGATGACGGGATACCACGACACAGAACAACATTCAGGACATGGTGACGAGGTACCATGACACGCTACAATATTCCGGACATGATGACGGGGCACCATGACACAGCACAACATTCAGGACACGATGACGGGATACCACGACACACCACAACATTCAGGACACGATGACGGGATACCACGACACAGAACAACATTCAGGACATGGTGACGAGGTACCATGACACGCTACAATATTCCGGACATGATGACGGGGCACCATGACACAGCACAACATTCTGGACACGACGACGGGATACCACGACACACCACAACATTCAGGACACGATGACGGGATACCACGACACACCACAACATTCTGGACACGATGACGGGATACCACGACACACAACAACATTCAGGACACAATGACGGGGTACCAGACACAGCACAACATTCTGGACACGATGACGGGATACCACGACACAGAACAACATTCAGGACATGGTGACGAGGTACCATGACACAGCACAACATTCAGGACATGGTGACGAGGTACCACGACACAGAACAACATTCAGGACATAGTGACGAGGTACCATGACACGCTACAATATTCCGGACATGATGACGGGGCACCATGACACAGCACAACATTCAGGACATGATGACGAGGTACCATGACACAGCACAACATTCAGGACATGATGACGGGGCACCATGACACAGCACAACATTCAGGACACGATGACGGGGCACCATGACACAGCACAACATTCAGGACACGATGACGGGGCACCATGACACAGCACAACATTCAGGACACGATGACGGGGCACCATGACACAGCACAACATTCAGGACATGATGACGGGGCACCATGACACAGCACAACATTCAGGACACGATGACGGGGCACCATGACACAGCACAACATACAGGACATGATGACGGGGCACCATGACACAGCACAACATTCAGGACATGATGACGGGGCACCATGACACAGCACAACATTCAGGACATGATGACGGGGCACCATGACACAGCACAACATTCAGGACACGATGACGGGGGACTGTGACACGCCTCAACATATATGATATATTTATGTGTGTGTGTTTTGAATTTATTCTACATTTTTACGTACATGTGTTTGTTGTTGAAATGATAGCGGTCTAACAGTGTGTAGAAAAGTTCAGTTCAGTTTCACCACGTCCTGTGGCATATTCAGCTTCCCTAGCTTACAGCTGACACACAGGATCACCACTCTGTCGCTGTAACAGATGAGTGTGAGTGGTCAGGCCGACGTGATTCATACACACACAAGCTTGCTGGAATTGAGCAATAGACCGAGTCGCTGGGCGATGGAACACTGTTCACAAACATCGCAGATGTACAACGCAATAACATGCTCGAGCATTCTGATTGGATGAAAAATAGAAGCCCCATGATGACTGGCGATACGCATTTGTCGCACGTTGTTTGAATGACTGATACATGCTAGCCTTCCGTCCTTGAATGTATAACGACCAGAAGTCGTTACAGGAAACTGACACTTATCATGTGTATGAATACAGCTGGAGGAATACTAGAAGGAAGTCGATGGGCCCAACGATAGGTAAGATTGTCGCTTTCCAAACACTGTCCTCCTCTTTGCAGAATTATGCAAAATATTTTCTTCTTATATGGTTTTATTTACATAACAATATATTTAACATCGCCATAACGTGGTGGCACGTGGTCCCGTGCACAGCGAACAGGTCATAAAACTTGACTCCTGAGAGTTGCTAGGGCTTCAGCCCTGCCCCACACTGAAACACTTGTAAAGTACATGAGATTGTAATGTGGATGTTAGCCTTCTAGCGCCTCACGGGCAGCTTTTTCTTGTATACTCTCCAGGGAGCTGAGAATGAAAATCGAGTGCTCACTAATCCATTGACTGGGATACTAAACGTGTAGCGCTTTGAGCATGAACTGCTACACGGAGGCTAGCGCATTATAAGTGCACATTATTATTATTATTATTATTGTTATTGTTGTTGTTGTTGTCGTCGTCGTCGTCGTCGTCGTCGTCGTTGTTGTTGATGATATTATTATTATAATTAGTAGTAGTAGTAGTAGTAGTAGTAGTAGTAGTAGTATCGATCGTGGAATGTGCTATTTGTACACTTTCACATGGTCCATGAACAATTTCCTATGATGAATGTACAATCCCTATATGGCCTATGTACAATTTCATATGATCGTTGTACATTTTCAAATGACCGAGGATCAACACCATTGTGGAATGTGACACGCTCTTGTCACTATGTTATGGAATGTCACATACATGTTGTTTTTGTTAAATTCATAGTCAAATCCGCATTGTCGTTGCACAATATAAAACGATTATTGCACTGTGACATGTGCTGGATGTGCAGGCATTCTTTTGTGGAATTTAATGTTACCTTTGCAAGATGACATATGATGGTTGTACTGTCATGAGGTCTTTCGACAACGTTCAAGGCCTTTGAAAATGTCATTAGGCCATTGTATAATCTTCATATAGTTATAAAGTCATAGACAGTATCACAAACATATTCAAACCACTGTGTCCGCGCCACAGCAGTCACAAAAGTATCTGAGGCGGGTGCGGGTGCCGGTGCCTCCGACTTATCTCTGGACAATGGGTCAACTGCAGTCTACCCCAAAGGAATGAGCAATCCTTTAAAGTTTCATAACCACATGTTAGCACCATACTGCAGTCCAACAAAACGGCCGCAATATTGCTCTTCCTCGTTTAAACGTAAATAGGAGTGAGTGAGCGGATTTGTTTTTAAATCCAGCTCCAATACAACATAGGGTTAAGCTTAAATTCGGCACCTTAGAAAAGAAATTAAATGGCAAATGTTTTACACTGTTTTAGACTGCACTCACTTTAAAGTCTAGACTGTAAGGACACACTACTTGTAACAGTGTAAGTAATTTGTTTAGCCGGTTTTAATTACGTCCTTTGCATATATAATTAAGTCCCTTATACGGCTGTATGAGCAAGTTCGTATTGTGAATGTTGTTTTTCGTATGACGTGGATAGTGTGTGATAATTAAGCTGGGGCATGTTTCTTGTGTTGTTAAATAATATTCCGAACGGCTGGTCTTTGAGGGTATTGGTAAGCAGTCAAATTCAAATTAAAGATCCTTGCATCTGCACGACTACATAATATAACACCTGGATAAAGATATAATATATACTATGTCACATACTTTACTCATGTTTAATTATTAGACAAACGCTAAGTGAAAACCTGTAAAATCAGCCTTTTTACAAATATTATCCTTAACAAGTGTTGTCACATGTCCCAAACATGCAATCACTGAAATGAACCAAGTTTAGTTCACATTCGTATGTACATATCTAATAATGTCCTTTAAAATATAATGATATATATATAATTATCATATATGATTATACATATTCCCTGGTTATACATATTCCTTGATTATACATATTCCCTGGTTATACATATTCCTTGATTATAGATATTCCCTTATTATACATATTCCTTGATTATAGATATTCCCTTATTATACATAATTCTTGATTATACATATCCCTGGTTACACATATTTCTTGATTATACATATTCCCTTGTTATACATATTTCTTGATTATACATATTCTCTGGCAAATATTAACCTTGATTATACATATTCTCTGGTTATACATACCCTCATTATACAAATTCGATGGTTATATATGTCTTCTGTTTGTACAGTTTGTTAAATTAAGTATTGACATACCATTATAAATATTATTAATTTTTATTGATTAATCATGTCCTATGATAACAGTAACGTGTGTCTTAATTGTGTTTTGAGGACTCGTCACTAGTGTGTTGAACATTTCATTCTAGTCTCTGAATCACTGGGTCAGCAGTGGGTGACCTTTTTGTATAAGGAAATAGTACGAAACAACCCCATAGTTCTATAAATATTGGACCACACACCAAATGTGTTGAAAAACACTAAAAAACAACTAACATTCTGGAACAATAGTTTTAGAGGTTCGACGTATATTTTTCGAACGGCACCAGACTAGATTTTATGCAAGAGCAGATATATAGTCCAGGTCTTAATTCAAATATTTATTATTTGACAAAGAAATGAACAGAACAACGAAAACAGTATTATGAAACGAATAAAATAAGATGATTGGCAACGACAAGGATATAATACCCTAATTCCCATCCTTAAGTAGGCGTTAAACTCGTTTCTGACTGGATACCATCAATATACGTCGGACCAAATGCAACCTATAAATCAAATTACAGGATTCCGGAGATCCGTGTTTTTTTTGTGTACGAATGGGTTAACGAGTGTAATGTCAATATATAAGGTGTTTCATAAGTTATTTATTTGTCCCAGTGCAATTTCCGTGAATGGACCAGTCGCTAATAGGTAATATGTATTATTTATGATATTTTGGGTTGGTTCCTCGGCAGGATAAAGTCAACGGATAAAAACAGTACCCAGTGAGGGTCATTACGGATAAATATGTAAATGTAAAAGGTAAGGTTGGAAGTTCTGTCCGTGTGAACAAAGCAGCGGGGGATCCGGGATTTTGAAAAAATGGAGGTGCACATAATACCCACCTCTGAACACACACACACATGTACACACAGACACACACGCTCTCGCACGCAAACACACACATACACAGACAAACACAGAAGCACACATACATACATTCATATACACACGCACGCACGCACGCACGCACGCACGCACGCACAGACACACACACACACACACACACACACACACACACACATTCCCTCTGGATCCGCCAGTGCAAACAGACATGGCGTTTCCTTTGCCTATTGGCGATCGAATCACAACTGATATTCGGGGATCTGGACATAATACTGGGACAGTTATTATCATCATTAGAACAATAGTCCAAGATGCCGAAAATCAATGTCTACCAGGGACGTACTTTAGGCCTTTAACAAGCGTTGGCAACATTGGATAAATTGGGGAAGCCATTGAACGGGGAAGCAAGCGGGATCACTTTCCATATCTCTGCTGATAGAAATCTGCGCCTTGGGGCGTCCTCCCGAATTAAATAACGTCGGATTTGGCCGAAATATATCCGAAAATTTACTTCGTTTTTGTTGTTGTCGCAGTTTGGGACGTCTGACTGCATTTCGTAACGTTCCGATAATGTAATGGCAAGCAGACGAAACGGTGTCGTGCCGGGTTAGCGAAAATCCAATTTTCCCTAGTATCAGTAAAGCGAAAACCCAAGTTGGGGTATTTGTCCCACGAAAGCGAGAAATGAGTAATGGCTATAAAATCACCGGATTACCGTAGTTTAGATTAGCGCCCGTGCTGTTCAAACAGAGGAGAGGAGAGGAGAGGAGAGTCGTTTCTTAAGAATACATACATTTGATGGTATATATAAAGATTGCAACTTATTTATTTATGTCCAAAATGGCTAATGCACAAGTTCGAGTGACCATGGTTGATACCGTGCGAGGTGGTCAGCACTTGTTTTATGAGGGATTCAAGTTTCGTTGTAAGAAAACGGTCCGTGAGAAGAAGTATTGGAACTGCGTTGTTGCTGCCTGCAGAGCGTCGGTGATCACTGAAAACGGCATTCTTCAAGCGGCTTTGTAGGTAAGAAAATAATGCACATGATCATGATGATAATAATCTTAAAGACATAGACTCAAAAGACTTTGCTTAACAAACTATTCAGTTATTTATTTTACTTATTATTATTACTTATTTTTAGATACCACAGGTATTTGTCACATGTATGTATTTGTTTATAGTTAATATTAGTTAAAATGCAATTATTTAATTGCAGGTGAACCATACCCACCAACCTATCCAATATGAGATGGAAGTGGAATCTTTCAAGTCCAAGCTCATCCACCGTGCTAAGACGGAAACAACACCGATTCCAACCATATACGGAGATGAGATTTCCAGACTTCGCCGCCACCACGACGTAGTTCCAGACGACCTGCTTAAAGAAATTCCTTCCTTTGCATCCCTGAAGACCATTCTGCACCGACAACGCCACAAGACCCTTCCTAAACTTCCTGCCACCCGACCTGAGATTCATCTTGAAGGACAGTTGACATTGGCCGAAGCAGGAGAACACTGCCTTCATCGCATCGACAACGACATTCTCATCTTCACCACAAGCAAGAATATTGAGCACCTGTGTGCAGCAGATGAAGTGTTTGGTGACGGCACCTTCTCCTCGGCTCCACGACTGTTTGAGCAGATCTACACACTGCATGCTGAATTCCAAGGCCACATGTTCCCGCTTGTGTACTGTCTGCTCCCGAACAAGTCCGAAAATACGTACACCAGGACATTTGAGTACAGAAGGAAGGTCTGGCTACGGACTACAAGAACGATGATGAAGTGCGACGACTGGCGAGAAGAGCCGCAGCCTTGCCTCTGCTTCCCTTGGACAAGGTCGACGACGTCTGGCTCCAAGCCATCGCTGACAGTCCCGCGGGTCCCAAGGTCGCAGCATTCATGGACTACGTCACGACAACGTGGGTGGAAGGATGCCAATTCGGACCTGAGATCTGGAACCATTTTGGTAACCAATGGCATCGCACTAACAATAACGTCGATGGGTGGAATCACAATCTCAACAAACTTGCCAGGAAGAACCATCCGAACATTTATGAAGTTGTTACGCTATTTCAAAGAGAACAATCCAACGTAGAAGTCGCCATTCAACGAATTGGAGCCCACTGGTCAGCACCACCCAGAAAGAGAAGATACCGGCTGATTGACAACCGTCTTCAGGCTCTGAAAGACAATCTCGTAAACAACGTCATCGGCGACGTTGAGTACACAAATCACGTTGGTGACCTGATCCACTTGGAGTGAATGACAAATTTATTATAGAATGTATTTATGTATTTACCATATTAAAAGATATAAGTTATTGTTGTTTTTGTAGAAATTATAATGTACCTCTATGAAATATTAAAGTATTAGAGTTATTAAATTTGTTAAATGTAAAGTACTTTTGTGCAACTATACTATACTTCAGCATCTAATAAATTACTACTGTAAATACGGTATACGCATTTCTGTGTTTTTCTTGTAATTTGAGAGTCCCGGTACAGCAATATCCCGTGTTTACTGTAGCGTGACCAGTCTTACTGTAGCTTCACGAAAGCGAAAAGATTTTAGAATTGATTAAGGCTAGGTTTCGCTCTTCCGGCCCATAACCGACGAACGTGAGGTATCATAGACTAGAGTAGCTTCCCTTTGATAAAAGGCAATTTCTCTGGCGGGCGAACGGATGGGTGTCATAAACTTTATGTACATATGGAAGCTGTATGAAGGAAATCATTCCATTATTTTATAACGGAAACATCATGATATTTCTTCCATACTTCATGTAGTGGTTTTGAAAACAAGGAGTTTGATATTGATCATAGCATTTCAGTTCAATGAGAAAGTGTTAGTTTAAATTAACTGAATCACTTAGCCTTTTATTTGTTTGTTTGTTTGTGTGTTTGTTTGTTTGCACCCAGGAATATTCCAGCTATATGACGATAGACTGTAAATAATGTTTTGTGACTGCCATTGATATACTCCAACAACTTTCATGTATATTTTTTATATTTTCAGATATCTTCCCCCAAAAGAGGTGTAAGCAACAGTGAGATCAGATCCATCAGAACGTGAAAGAATACATTGTCAGCGATGTCGATCCATTCCATCCGTTTGCTCTTCATTGTTTTAGTGACACACTCAACCAGTGGATATCCGAACAGTAGTATCCCTTTGGAGTGGTCAAACATTTGTCAATCCGCCATTAACCTTTCAAACGTAGTCATTTCCTGTCACGTGGGTGTTGACGATACATGGGATTTAGATCACTTCCGGAACTGGTCAGCCATATTGGATAATGACACCCTTGTGTCTCTGGATGTAATGTGTGAAACTAGAGCCAGTATCTGTCTCCCCTGGCCGTACCGAGCCAGACATCTGGACACTCTGAAGATCAGGAATTGCATCAACACGTGCTATTTCTCATACTTCAACCGACCGGAAGTGCTGGATATCCCTGACTCCCTGAGGGTGTTTGAAGGATATGGTATGACGGAACAGTTTAACGCTATGGATATGTTGTCTGTCGACCTGAAGAGTCTCCCTCCTGCATTGGAGTGTGGACCGATGTCCTTAGAGGTATTCATCTACAGGAACACCAAGGCTGACATAATTTACCCCAAAGGTTTTGTGCCGAAAGGGGAGGACGAGGTTACTGACAATATCGTACAAACAGCGCGGGATATAAACAAACTTAAACACGTGTGTAACTATAGAAATATGAAGGTCTATGACGCGAGTCAGAGACAAGACTCATCGTCTGTAGGTATATACGCCACTTTCATCAACTCTCGCTTCCCCAACCTGACAACACTAAACTACTCTTCCACGGAGATACAGGCGTTCCCTTCTATTTTATTATCATGGAAAGGACGCATTGAAAAACTACAAATTTTGGATCTGTCCCATAATAACATCTCCCGTTTTGACCTCAGAGTTCAAAGTTTTGAGGCACCAATCAGAGTTATCAACTTAACGTACAACTCCATTCAAACAATAAAAGAGGCCGAGATCGGATCGTTTCAGTCTTCCGTTGCACAAGTTGTGGACGTGAGACAAAATCCCCTGAGATGCGACTGCGCTATGGCCGACTTCAGTAACTTTCTCAGAAGACATCCGACGCCAAAAGACGCAGGTCTTAGTCTTGACTACGAATATCTTTGGGATCTCACGTGCGTTGATCCAGTCAGTAAAAGAGGAAAACAAATTAGTCAATTCTCAAAGAAAGCGCTTTGCAACCTTGATGTCGTGAATGTGGCGTCCTACCAAGCCTTCGTCGCTGTTTTAGCTGTTGTTGTTGTCATTTTGGTCGCCTTACTCATATTAAGCATCCTTTACAGAGATAATGTTAAATTGCTCATCTCCCGAAGCTGCCGAATCCTGTGTGGCCGGTCCCCCATCAACGAACAAAACATCAATGATGGACGACACAAAGACGAATCCTCAAAATCTACCCAGGAGAAACTTTAGAAAATATCGATATATTTTGAGTGAGTGAGTTAGTATGGTTTTACTCCGCTTAATGCAATATTCCAGCAATTTAACGCAGGGGACACCGGAAAATTGGCTTCACACATTGAACCCATGTGGGGAATCAAACCCGGGTCTTCGGCATGACGAGCCAATGCTTTAACCACGCGCCCAATATATGTTCAATGCTTATAGGTGTGAGCACACATCTACTATTCACTGGAATAGTTGAAACTATTTGTAAGCTTCGTATATTCACTGTTGTAACAAGAGGAAATATTCAGTTAAAACACACACTGTTAGCTCCTGAGACTTAAACTGCCGGGGAAAAGAAAGTATACACTTGAAAATGGATTGTTTAAAGAATTACAAATGTTGTGAAACATTACTAGGCCTAAGACAGTCGCCGAATTACTGCAAACCTACGGTCCAAAACACAACAATGATACCATTAATCTTATCAAATGCATCAGCGTCGAATAACCATTTCTCTTTTATTTCATCTTAGCCAACATCAAACATATGCATGGTGTAAACTTTCTTTTGTCACGCAGTTTTATTCAGACTGATTATAGGATATGTCAGGTATGAAAAACAGCTGTACATTTTCTGTGTTTTATATTTTATGTGTCATTTAATTGGTGTTTTGATGGTGTGTGTGGGAAGGGTTGTGGGGTGTGGCAGGAATGTGTTGCTATAATTCTCTCTGAATTAACTTCGTCTCCTGAAATGGCTTTTTCATACTGTTGGGGCCCAAATATTGGGGTCTTCTTTTTCTTAGCAAATTGGGAAATCTAAATTCTAAAATCGATCCTATCAAGTCACGGATATTTTCATTAGATATTCACATCCATCAAAAAAGAAACTATCCGAATCGTTTAACCGATATATAATATGATCTGCCCTATTCGCTCAATTTATTTTAACTTTTCTTATCGTTATTTGTCTGAGAGTTTTCAGCTTCACTTTCAGCGTTAATCGAGAGCGTTCGGGAATGCGCTAATCTACCTACACCAAATGGTTAACACAATAAAAAGTATTTCAACTCTTCGTATCGTTATCACTTATCTACCGACACCACGTGAGCTAAGAACACGATGCCCTATACACATCCATGCAGGACAATGAACCAAGGCTCTCTCTCTCTCTCTCTCTCTATCTCTCTCTCTCTTTCTCTCTCTCTCTCTCTCTCTCTCTCTCTCTCTCTCTCTCTCTATCTCTCTCTCTCTCTCTCTCTCACACACACACACAAACACTCAGACACACACACAAACAATCACGCACACATATACACAATCACTCACACAAACACTCACATACATGTAAACACAACATTGTCAAGAGATACTGAAAAGAAATTAATACTTATTCAGTGACGGGCGGTGTTTCTATGCCTTATAAAACATCGTGTAGACGTTATCTAACAGTCCAACTGAAACAAGAAGTGAATTGCTGATGTGCAATACTAACTGCCGTGCCATATCCGTATACATATAGGGAAACCTACTGACGGTGTTAACAGTTTTGAATCAAATAAAACAATTAATAGTATTTAACTTTATTAGATAAGGATTTTAACCACATATGGATAAAACGTTCATCTTCAAGTAAACATAGTATGATACCTGTTTTTGAAAAATGCGCATTTCCTTACTTCCCTATATTTCTAACGTACAGCCACGTGCAAGTTATGCCTCCATGAAAAACATGAAATCACACGGGGTAACAATGCAGCGACATCATAGATGAAGGAATGTAATACATGTTTGCGTTAAGCAATACAGGATCGATTTTAAATCGGGAATAAATACATTTTGTATGATATAACGACGTGTTACTATTAGTCCATGAGTCTCGGCTGAATTGTTCACGACAGTACCCAGTGCCCAGCTCAAAGAATGTCATGCCAACAGAGATACTTAAGTAAAGGTCATCTGTATTCTGCATCTCAAGTCATCATGCCCCAGTTTTTGGCGTTGTGAGCTTTACATTAACTTTGTTTCATTATTTATTATTTCCGTTTTATACAAAGACATATTGTCTTTTTCCGAACGCAGGATCTGCCCCGACAATGCTACAATCAATTTACTGTGGATTGATGTTGGCATGCAATGCAACCTTAGGCGTGCAGAAACCTAAGATGATGGGTTCGAGTCCTCCTCCTCTCTCTCTCTCTCTCTCTCTCTCTCTCTCTCTCTCTCTCTCTCTCTCTCTCTCTCTCTCTCTCTCTCACTCTCTCTCTCTCTCTCTCTCTCTCTCTCTCTCTCATCTCACCTACGTTTTTTCTCACACACCACTCCATCTCACCATTCCATCTCACACATGGGTAAACCCTATATCCATCTACCCTGTCGTCAAACTTCAGCGCAATTATTCATATACCACTTCATTTTACAAGCAGGTCCAGTCTGCATCCCTGTCTTCACAATTCCTTGCTGTTATTCAATGAATAAAAGCGACAAAACACTTCCCATAATAATAAGGACTCTCAGCCAAAAATCCATTGTACGATTCCAGTACCAGCATCAGCGACCTGGGAGTCTTTCGACAACTTACACGTTCCTACTGCTGAATGCTAGTTCCTACTGTTCTTACTGTGTTCCGTTGCATCACCAATTCAATGCTAGTGCGACGTTAAATTGTAACTCACTTGCTGTGTTGTTGGAGAATGCCGCTGACATTTGTTAATGCATTCTCTACAGAAAACGTCACTGCCGCTAGCCTAGAAAGACCAAAGTGTAAATACTTTCCAATATTTTGCATGTTCGCTTTCTAGCAATTTTTAATGCTGACTGGTCAGTTGATGCGTCATAAAGTCATTGCGATATGACGTCACCAAATGTCCATGGCGTTGCGTATTGGTACCGTTACTTTATTTCGAAAACAGGCTGACGTCGGTGAAGTTCTCTTTGTTGCGATGACGTAATGCCGACGTTAAATGTAAACTCAGTCACTTCTTCATGTCCTCCCTTAAAATGACAATGAGTATGACAAAGAACATATATATTGTAAATGGGTTGAGACTTATAATATTAGTTCACTCGGGACAAACACTTCCTCTTTGCTCGTGGTTATTCTCGTCATAAGTAAAACACATTTATTTTACTGGCACATATGCTCACATATTAATGTACCTCTTATACATGTGCCCAATGTCTTAAGTGAGACGACATAGCAACAACGTATAAACTACAAGTTGCTGCAACTGTTCCATCCAAATATCAAATAATATTTCCGTATAACTGTTTGTGGAATGCCAACACTATAAAATAGCAAAACTTGTTGGCAGGTTGAATACATAGCTAGATAATAATTCATTAGTGGATCAACCGATTTATTTAACTATGCAAGGAACTACATTAATTGTTTAATACATCATTGTCATAACGGTAACAGCCTTTTGATTGGTCCCTGTCATATATCTCCTGATTCTAACATTTGTCTACATCCTGTTCTAATATAAGTCATCCGGGTCACAGCTGTCAGCAGCAGGACACAAAGGGACGGTTGTCAGTTATGTACGACCGAGCTGCGTTACTGAAGAAGCAATATTAATGTTCAGTTTCATGTTGAATATGTTTACGAAAATACTTATCCTTCACCTGATGTGCTGAACATAGGAATAGATGATGCGTTACTGCGATATAAGAAGGAAATATTAATCTTAAGTTTCATGTTGAATATGTTTACGAAAATACTTATCCTTCATCTGATGTGCTGAATATAGGAATAGGTGATGCGTTACTGCGATATAAGTAGGAAATATTAATGTTCAGTTTCATGCTGAATATGTTTACGAAAATACTTATCCTTCATCTGATGTGCTGTATATACTAATAGGTGATGCGTTACTGCGATATAAGAAGGAAATATTAATGTTCAGTTTCATGTTGAATATGTTTACGAAAATACTTATCCTTCACCTGATGTGCTGAATATAGGAATAGGTGATGCGTTACTGCGTTAGAAGAAGGAAATATTAATGTTCAGTTTCATGTTAAATATGTTTACGAAAATACTTATTCTTCATCTGATGTGCTGAATATAGGAATAGGTAAAGCACTTATATCGCATGTGCTACACAAATTGTGTCCAACAAGTGTGTTTTTAATGAACAATCATTACTTTTTAAAGGTAAATGTCTCTCCTTTGGAATTAGTTGCCGTCACCCTATTAAAAGTCACAGCAATAAAATGGTTAATGTGTTTGAACCAATAAGTCGGAATCGTACAATGGACTCTTTTTTTTGCAGAGATTTAATATGAATATGGAAAGGGTTTTGTCGCTCCTATTAATATGTTACCCGCGCATTCCCTTAAAATATATCGTTGGTTTGGTTTTAAAAATATAAAAAGGCAACGCTAGATAATATATATAGTCTCGATTTTCCGACGAGACATTCCATTGGGCGTAAAAGCAAACTTTCGGTGAAAAGTATATGAATGGATCACTGAAAATCAATGATGACACCAGGTGTTCGCGGAAAGGGTAAGCATGTCTGCCCTTCCGGTACTGGTAGCACCGCTACTAACACAATTTGCATTAAAAAATGTAAATGTTTGTTGCCTGACACAGAACAGCAGTACTCCTGTCATTCCGCCCTTTAAACATATATATTTTCTTGTGGCTTGCATCTAAATTTGTATCGCATCTACAGACTGGACAATGAAATAAGTCAGAGAAGGAAGTAATAGGTACACACGTCATGTTTGCAAAATTCAGATAACCGACCATATTACCTATAATAAAAATACATAATTTGGATAGTTTCATGACTTAATAAAAATGTTACAGGCAATTTTGTCAAATTATGCATTTTCCCATCAATTTATGCAATTTAGACCCCCTGTAAATTCCTGCACACACTTGCAAGCTAACTGCCCATTGGAAATCGTGAGCAGATGCGTCCCTCATGCATTAGAAAAACTTTTAGGTATACAGGAAAAAATGGAAACAAAGATCTTAAATAGCCTCTTTTCCTCTGGCGGCCAACTGACTACGGTGGACGTGTATCATTGTACAGTCTACTGCATGTGTCGTAGCACAATCAGTTGTGTTTTGTGTCATTGCTCAGTCTGTTGTCGTTTATACGTATGCTATTGCACAAGCAGATGTCTATGTGTGTCATTTTATAGGCTCTTTATCTACACATGTAATAGAACAGGATGTAGTTTCTACGTGTATCTGATAACGGGTTCGAATCCCATATTAGCCCATCCGCCATTACGCTCCTTGATCTGAGCTATCCGTGCTTGTTTGTTAAATCTGCAACATACGTCACACTGGTCTCTCCGCTCAGCAAAAGAAAGTATACCGAGTTTGTTTTTTACGTAATTGAAAAAAAAATGTTGCTGAGTTAGATTATGTCTATTTAACAACCCATCCCTGCAACAGTTAAATATGTGTCACAATAGATTGGTTGAATAAAGACTGGGGTAAGAAATGAATGTGCAACCACATGACCTCTACCATGTTTGAAATGATGTACATTTGTGCCATAAAATGCAAATTTATTGAAATTCAAAGATAAGATTTATAAGATACCCATCAGCACTTGTGTATTATATTTTAATTTTTAAACGTGTTAAATCAAATTATTATTTTTTAAATAAAACCATATAAAAAATTCTTTGAGTGCTGGCGTAGCGCCAGTAAAGTTCATTCTTTTTATATACATGTAAGATCACTAACTTAAGATATTTTCAGTTGAAAATCAATAAGATGATAAAATCAACTGAGAGGTATAGTTTCTTTCGCTGGTTTACAACAGAATATTTTCCAAAGCAGCGTTTAGCATAGCTCATTCAAACTCGACACTCATAGTGTATCTAATACGTGAATGGTCGTGGCTCGGAAGTTATTGTCCAATCAAAAACCTAAAATAGCTACAGATAATGTTTATTCTGACAAGCTAATACAAAGAATATTGGTATATAGGATGTACATATAACAAGGGCATTTTATTTCGTAGCGCTGGTAATATTTAAGCTTCGATTGATCCATGTACATTTGAATTAACCAAAGTTAAATTTGCCAAGTGCTGCCATGAATACGGGATAAGCACGGTTACATCACCATCGTGGACTGAATCCCAATACTGCTTTCTTTTGTAATAAGCAAGTTTTGAAAATACATAAAAACAAATGGCTTGATGTTCCGCATGAAAAAAAAGTTAAATAAGGGATAACGTTAAAGACACACAAAGGCCAATATAATCATGATGATAACAGTCATTTATATTGTACAACTATGTATTGTGATCAACGAATATATTATTTTTACATTGTTACAAATCCGCTGACCCTTTGTCCTTGGACAATAAGGGAATAAAGTGAAAGACACACAAAGGCCAATATAATCGTGATGATAACAGTCATTTATATTGTACAACTATGTATAGTGATCAACGAATATATTATTTTTACATTGTTACAAATCCGCTGACCCTTTGTCCTTGGACAATAAGGGATAACGTTAAAGACACACAAAGGCCAATATAATCGTGATGATAACAGTCATTTATATTGTACAACTACGTATTGTGATCAACGAATATATTATTTTTACATTGTTTCAAATCCGCTGACACTTTGTCCTTGGACTAAAACAACAAAACCAAATATAAAACGATAACGCCAGAGAATAAACAGTCTCGATTATCTGCCGGAATATATTCCTTTGGGCGATAGAGGCAACATAGCATTAACAATTGTCAATGGATCACAAAAAATCAGTGATGACATCAGGTGTTCGCGGTGCCCAAGTGTGTTCATGTTCAAGAGATTTGAGTCCAGTTCATCTTTCTATATTTACATTTGAATGAAACATCAATGATATGATTAGATGATTGTGATTTAGTATCTTAACAAAGGTCATACTGTTCTGGGGGCTTTCTACAGATCTTAACGTCGATGTTCTCAGCATTGTTTCCAGGCGGGGGTACGTCTTTTGCGATGGAGGTCTTCTTTTTAGGTTTACTTTTGTCGGTTAATGAATACACGATTCTGTCCCAAAAAAGTTTGTCAGAGATGTGAATGTACGTCCATGTCTGCATGCAACGCCGAAAGTCCGCGTCAAGTTCACTCACAGGGATGTCCTCAAGGAGGACCAGAATCAGATGTTTCTTCTTCTCAATGAGACTCTGGTGGAAGGCGGTGCGGAACTCCATCAAACACCACTCGCTCTCCAGAAACTTCCTAGACAACACCAGGATAGTGTGTCTGCTTGCCTCAACGCTCTGACAAATGTTGTCAGCTATAGCGGCGCCAACTGCAAAGTCTCGCTGATGAAGACATAACCGGAAGTTATTTCCGTCAGGGAAACCACTCTCTAGTCGAGGGAGAAGGGTTTTCACAACCCATGTGGTGTCATGGTGACTGTAGGCCACAAAAGCATCGTATGTCTTATTGCTTGAGTGTTCAAATGACTGACATGGTAGAATAACGTTGCAGCGTGTAAAAGTCAAAATTCTTATTTCCTTTCTATATCGAACACAAAGTATCACGAAAATTAAGAAAATGACCACAGTTACACATATGGCTGATATTTGAGATATGTAGGCTGTCATATCGGTGGAACATAATATCTTCCGTGTGAACTCGCAGATCCTTTTACCTCGAAACTTCTCTGGAGTGACACATTCTAAGTCCCAGAGATATGCATAATCCCTGTTTATACCAGCTTCAGTTGTACTGCTATACTTTTGAAGATACATGCTGAAGTTCCCCATAGCACAGTCACACTGAAAGGGATTGTCTCTCACATTAATCACAACTCCGTCAACTTTTGAAAAAGATTCAATTTCCTTTTCTCCAATTGTACGTATATCATTAAACCTGAGATCTATCATTCCAACATCTTGAGAGAGAAGGCTCGTGTCTCTTAATTCAAAACGGGAGATGTTATTATGAGAAAGGTCCAAAATTTGCAGCTTGTCGAAGTGGCGCCGCCAGACTGCCAGAATTGGGGGAAATACCTGCAACTCAGTATCTGAGAAATTTAGTATTCGAAGTTGGGGGAATCGTGAGTTGACTACACTTGAATAGATAAGGAGAGACGAAGCCCGAATCCGTTGACTTTTATCAAAGACTCTCATATTTTCATATTTGCATACATAACCAAGATCATCCATATTGCGCGTGTTCTTCGTGATCGTGTCAGTAATGTTGAGGTCCTCAAGTTGTGGGTAATCTTCGCTGTCTTCGTCAAATAGGATTTTAAGCTGCTTGTGTCTGTAGATGAAGACTTCCAGATGCATTGGGCCACACACCATAGGAGGCGGTAAACTCTTTATGTCAATGGACAACATATCCAGTAGTTTCCTCTCCTCTGTCACATCATAACCTTCAAATATCTTCAGTGAGTCTTGGATATCCAACACTTCCGGTCGATTGAAGTCCGAGTAGTAGCAAGTATTGGTGCACCTGGTAACCCTCAACGTGTGCAGATACCCCGCTCTGTACGGCCAGGGAAGACAGATTCTTGTTCCATCCTCACAGACTATGTCCAGCGACACTAGGGTGTCCTTATCCAACACAACTGACCAGTTCCGGAAGTGATTGAAGTCCCACACATCCTCAACGTTCACATGACAATATATAGAGATAAATGATATGTTGGTTTTGTCGCTTGATGTCTTGCACATTGCCTTCCATTCATCTGGCATGATCATATTTCTCTTGAACGTTGGAGAGGGGGGACGTTTAAGAGGCATAAGGTCTTTACCATATGCAGTGTCAACTAATGACACACCAAGCATAACCATTGTCCAAAACCTGAAGTATATTCCTGATGACATGGTTAACTCTTTATTAGTTTCACTGCCGCCTTTTAACACAGTCTCTGTATCTCTGCAATTCTTCCTTGGTTATCGGAATCGTCATTTAATGCGAAGAAGAGGGAACGTTGATATCAGTAGCCGGTGTCACCGAGACAACGCTGCAAGGCGCTTCTAGAGGACCCATATATTGTAACGTCTCCTTTTACTCTAAAATGTATAGAAAAGCGAAAAAGTATAAATAGGTTTTACAATTGAAATGCCTCTGATCTAAAATTATATACGTCATAAAAACGAGATGATAATTTTTTAGCCTTCAGGTTTTCATTTCTGAAATAGGGGTCAACCATTTGTTATTCGGGGGTGTGGTTGGGGGTGGGGAATGAAAAATAATAATGCTTCATGCAAATATACTGTGTGGAACTGAGATATTGTCTCTGTTTTTTTCTGTTATATGTTAATACGTATTATAATATTTCAGTTTACAAACAAAAACAATGCAGATTTTGAATGATTTAGATAAAACTTGCTCGAGCTGCCGAGTGGTCGGCGGCTAGTCCAGGCAAAACTTCAATATATAAATGTAATACCTCCAAACTAGTTCTATGGTCAGTAGAGATTAACTATAAGCAATGATAAATATCGATTAAAGTGAAAACCTTTACATATCAACAGCATACTGACCTGTTTCATGGACTGTATATGCTCTAACCTTATAAAGCCTGCAAAGCGTGAGAGTACCGTGTGTTGATCCAACAAGTTTCAGCGTAAACATTTATACGAGTTCGTTGGGTCAGTGTGACGTGAAGAAGCTGGCTAAACAGGATGAACACCTTTGCATTATCATGCAAAACATTTTCCCTCTGTCACAACAGTAAATCATGTGCTTCAAACAGTTGCGTGTGTGGGCTACTGTTGTCCCATCTCTGCCTCGTCAATGTTTTTTCTTTGCATACATCTTCTCAAGAAATTAGATCCATCTAGCTAGAACGAACTGTATATGTTTGACCATAATGGGATGCAAAAATAAGGCGTTTGCTCAACGTACTTGCATCAGCGTTATATATTCTGCTTTATGAGTCCAAGGCGCTGCTATTTGTCAATGTCAGTGTCTCATTCCGAAATAGAACATGAACACAAAAACCTCATAGTACAGCCATAATCATGAATCACAACTTAACAATGAAGTGAAGCATAAGTATCAAGTATAGCATGACATTGCAGTATATCATTGCCATAAATAATAACTTAACAGCCAGGTATAACATTACCCTGAAGTATACCATAACCATCAGGTATAACATAGCCATGACGTATAACAGAACCATGAGGTACAATATAGTCATGAAGTATAGCATACACATAAACATGATTACGGATGATAGCCTGGCATGTCGTGTACCATAACCATGTAGTATATCATAACCATGTAGTATATCGTAACCATGTAGTGTACCATAACCATATAGTATATCATAACTATACTGACGCCCAAAAGAATCTTTACCCGAGTTTGAAATCACTCTTGCTCAAAAACAACAAAACATACATGCATGAAGTAAAGTGTATTGAGAAGATCAATATATCCACATAATCAACACTGAAAATGACAATCATACCGCGACCGAGAATGACGTCGGAGCCCCCCAAAGTTGTGTGTGGTACAAAACTCGAGCTTTCAGAATCATGGACAATAGGCAGAGTACATAAACAATCGCTCACGTTCAATAACAAGTCATTAGTAGCGTGTGTGACCACCAAATGCCTCAATACACGCAAAAACTCTTCGACGCACAGAAAAAGTCAGTCGTCTGATGAGGTCACGTGGGATTTGACGCCATTCTTCTTGGAGGGCCAAGATCAGTTCTTGCCGGTTGGCTGGAGAGTGTGGTCGTTGTCGAACACGACGATCCATCAAGTCCCAGAGGTGATCTATGGGGGACATGTCGGGTGAGCGTGCAGGCCACGGCAGGACGTTGACGTTGTTGGCTGCGAGGAAGTAAGTGACAATTCTGGCTGTATGGGCTCTAGCGTAGTCTTGCTGATAAATGACACCACGTTGCTGCTTTTGGAGAAATGGCAGGACAACTGGACGAAGAATGTTATCCATGTAACGCTGAGCTGTCAAGTTTCCGTGAACAATGACCAGCGGTGTCCTCTCCTGCCCACAGATCCCACCCCACACCATGACACTCCCTCCACCATATGGTACGACCTCCTGCGCGCAATACGCCACCGTTCGTTCACCCCTTCGGCGGTAAACACGTTGTCTTCCATCAGCCCTAAACATACAGAATCGACTTTCGTCAGTGAAGACAACCCTCTGCCAGTCACGTCGTTGCCAGCGTCGTACAGTCCGGGCCCATCTCAATCGCAGACGACGATGTTGCGCTGTCAGTAGCTGTCCTCTGTATGGCCTAAAAGCCCTGATTCAATGAGCCCTGAGTCTCCTGGCCACTGTTTGTCGACTAACCCTGTGACCTAAGCCTGTGTCGCCGATGACGTCACTGTCAGGAATCGATTTCGGAGGTGCAAGGTACGCAAGTACCGGTCATCATTGGGCGTGGTCACCCAGGGTCTGCCTTTTCTTGGCCTGTCAGCGGTCCGCCGTGTCTGTCTGTAACGTTGCATCAAGTTGGTAACGGCAACACGGGAGCAACCGAAGGTTCGTGCAATATGGGCGTGGGTGGCTCCCATCTGTACCATACCCGTTCACGTTGTTCGACTGTGAGTCGTGGCATTTCTTTTGTGTTTTTTATCACTCTGGATGTCTGACTTGCCGTTGCAATCGTTTTATACCCTTACCCGCACGTGCATTTGCAGTTGTCCGTGGTGAACGTGTTTTTCACTTTTTCGCGTGTTATCTCGCAAACATGTAACAGACGATTAACATTTTCTGCATACACTATTGTTGTATTTAGGTTATGTGTTTGAGATAGACTTCATCGAAAAAAAATTTGTACTTTGTCTGAAATTTATATTTTCAGTTGGTAAAGTTTCTTTTGGACGTCAGTTGATGTATTGTACCATAACCATGTAGTATATCGTAACCATGTCGTATACCATAACCATGTAGTATATTGTAACCATGCAGTATATCATAACCATGTAGTATATCACAACTATGTAGTATATCGTAACCATGTAGTATACAATAACCATGTAGTATATCATAACTATGTATTGTACCATAACTATGTAGTATATCATAACTATGTATTGTACCATAACCATGTAGTATATCATAACCATGTAGTATATCATAACCATGTAGTATATCGTAACCATGTCGTATACAATAACCATGTAGTATATCATAACCATGTAGTGTACCATAACCATGTAGTATATCATAACTATGTATTGTACCATAACCATGTAGTATAGCATAACCATGAAGTATATCATAACCATGTAGTATATCATAACTATGTAGTATATCGTAACCATGTATTGTACCATAACCATGTAGTATATCGTAACTATGTATTGTACCATAACCATGTAGTATATAATAACTATGTATTGTACCATAACCATGTAGAATAGCATAACCATGTAGTGTACCATAACCATGTAGTATATCGTAACCATGTAGTGTACCATAACCATGTAGTGTATTGTAACCATGAAGTATATCACAGACATGTAGAATATTATAACCATAATGTAAATAATAGCCATGTAGTATACCATAATCAGGTTGAATATCATAACAATGTAGTACATCATAACCATAAAGTATATCATAGCCATGTAGTATATCATAAGTACGTAGTATATATCATGTACCATATCATAACCACAACCATAGCACAGCCATGTCGTATATCACAATCATGTAGTGTATCCTACCTACCTAGTACATGTATATCGTAAACATGTAGTATATCATTGCAATGTAAATCATTTTAACGTTGTAGTATATCATACCCATATAGTGTAACATAACCTTGAAGCATATCATGTGCATGTGGTATAGCATAACTACATAGTATATCATAACCTTAAATTATATCATAGCCATGTGGTATATCATAACTATCTAGCGTATTATAACCATGTTGTATATAGTAACTAAATAGTTTATGATAACCGTGTCGTGTAGCATAACAATGTAGTATATCATAACCATTTAGAATATCATATCATATGATGTTTATCGTTACCATGTAGTATATCATAACCATGGTTTCGTTCGTCAAATACCAGAACTATTCACTCGTTTCATAAAATCGGTATTACACGGGAGCTCGTTTAGTATTCTGTATGTATAATTTATCATAACCATGCAGTATATCTATAACTATGCAGTACATCATATCCATGTAGTATAACATAAACATGAAGTATATCATAACCATGTAATTTATCATAACCATGAAGTATATCATAAACACAGGATTAAGTGAGGTGAAATGGGTTTTGACGTCGTGTCCAAGATTATTTCACTTGTATAGCCACGTGCATGTATGTACATGTGAGTGTAGCTGCTTGTACTAGACCGGCCGTATGATGGTTTTCAGTGCCTGCCCAGTGAGATAAGATGCCAGATGTTATCGTCGATATCACACAGAAGGTTGTATAATCAGAACCCGGGAGATCCGTTATCATACTGAAATGGCTTATTACTTTTTATTGAGATTGCTAGAGAAAGGCCAAGGAATGATAAGGCTCTATATATTGGCTCACGAGGTCTGCAAAATTATTGAAATGTGCACAAATTTGAATTCGTTATAAACGTTATCTAGGAAATTAGAATTTCACAACACTTGCATTTCTTGGACCTTAAACAGCACCAAATGTTAAAGGCAAGGTTAACGAATATTGAAAAGGCTTTGACCCAAGCTAATGGTCTTAGGAAATGTAATTCAAGACAGTACACACATATGGTACAAAATATATTTTGTGACACGGACTTGGGTCATACAAAGATTTCTCTTGAAAGTAGAACAATGTGCCCTTTTTCTGTGATAATCTATGTAATCACTGTAGATAGCATCATCCCGGAAGTCGCCATGGCCTTGCTTTCTACAGTGAATACATAGTTGTTTAATACTATGAAGGATGAACCTCCTTGCATGTGGCCATGTTTTGTCATAAATTTCACAGTCAAAGATTGCCAGACTGTGTGGACTGTTCACGCGCAGGTAACCTTATGCAGAAAGCGGAAGTCCCGAAAAGCACTAGTTGATGTTTCTTAACTTTTTCAGGTCTTCTTAGTTTTCTCGGATTCGATAGTCGCGTATAATGATAATTCTCTAACATGTTGAATAGTTACGTATTTTCCATGTTACAGCTGGTTTTATCATCATTGTTTGCAAACATTGGTATGTTACATTTTCCAGCGGCATAAATGCTGCCGATGTTATGGTAACAATGGACTATAAAACACTTTCCGTTTCTGACAATGCACCAGAGTGAAGTCAGTCGCTGACAGTGGTCAAGTTATGACATGTTCCCTCTTAAATCCTTGTTTTAAAGTTATACTTATCTAGTATGATTTGTATCTTGATAACGTCTCACCTTTCAACTTAATCATCGTGCACCATCAACTGAAGTATATTTGCATTTGTCACACATGCCTTACGCAGAAGGGACAAAACTTACAGGCCAAACAATGGCGACAGTAAATTCAAAATCTTTATTCCACGTAACTGTAAGTCATGGTCAGTGGGAATTCAATGGAAATCTAGAAAGTAGTTTCGTCTATTAGCCGAACCTTTATAACATAAAACTTAACTCATTATGTCTTTTAACATATTTTATTCAGTGAACCTAATAGTGCTCGTCAGGAACATAAATGTGTATAACTTTATCACAACATGTGCTGGGCCCTGTTCCACAAAGCGATCGTAGCGCTAAGATGATCCTAACTTCCATACTTTAACATAGGC